ATGTATTGTTGTATGCTGTTGTAGCATTATTATAAAGATTTCATAAGAGACGTGTTTTGATTATATTTTATTTAGTTTTGTTCATATATTGTCTTCATATTTATTATAATTACGGTTTGGTGTCATTCCTCTAGAAGCTGCAGTCCACACCAGGTCTGACTGGAATGCTAATGGGGCGCAAGAAAGACAGAAGGAGAAATCCAAGAGCAAAAAGAACCTCTGGAAAGTCCTCCTCAAAGCTGTTGGCTGCTCTAACATTGACACTGCCCTCGTCAATGATGCCACTGAAAAGCCCTTTGAGCCCAACTGGACTGCTGACGTACCTGCAGTCCCTGAGGCCTCTGAAAGTCCAGTCTGTGTGGTGTCCGGCTGTGCTCCTGATGTCTGTGAAACCTATGAAGTTCCAGTCTGCATGGTGTCTGACTGTGTTCCTGATACCTCTGAAGGTCCAGTCTGTGAGGTGTCCGACTGTGTTCCTGATGCTTCTGAGGCCCCTGAGAGTGCAGTCTGCTTGGTGTCCGGCTGTGTTCCTGATGTCTCTGAAGCCTATGAAGGTCCAGTCTGTGTTGTGTCGGACTGTGTTTCTGATGCTTCTGAGGACCCTGAGAGTGCAGTCTGCATGGTGTCCGGCTGTGTTTCTGATGCTTCTGAGGTCCATAAAGGTCCAGTCTGTGTGGTGTCAGACTGTGTTCCTGATTCCTCTGAGGCCCATGAAGGTCCAGTCTGCATGGTGTCTGACTGTGTTCCTGATGCTTCAGAGGCCCATGAAGGTCCAGTCTGTGTTGTGTCGGACTGTGTTTCTGATGCTTCTGAGGACCCTGAGAGTGCAGTCTGCATGGTGTCCGGCTTTGTTCCTGATGCTTCTGAGGTCCATACAGGTCCAGTCTGTGTGGTGTCTGACTGTGTTCCTGATTCCTCTGAGGGTCATGAAGATCCAGTCTGCATGGCGTCTGACTGTGTTCCTGATGCCTTTGTATCTCCGGTCTGCATTGAGCCTGCCTGTACTGCTGGGGCCCCTGATGCTGGACCCAGATTGAGTCAGACTGAAGTGCTGACCCCCTTCAACATCCAACTCCCACTGAGTTCGACTGGAGTGCTGACCCCTCTGAAGCTCTGGTCTGCGCTGAGTCTGACTGGACTGCTGAGGCCCTGGAAGCTTCGGTCAGCATTGAGTCAGGTGGGAGTACAGACACCCTGGAAGCTCCGGATGACATTGAGTCCAGTTGGAGTGCTGATGCCCTTCAACCTACAGCTTGCACTGAGGCAGATTGGACTACTGGAGCCCTTCAACTGCACTTTTTAGTCCATATCTCCATCTACATTTTATCATATTATCTTATATATAATATTATGTGTAATATAATTGTTGTGTAAATAAAATTTGTTTGCAATCAAAATCAAATGGTCTTGCTTTATTTATTTAGATCATGACCCACTGATCAGAACCTGGGAGAAAGTTGGAGAAATCAACCAAAAGTATAACCGCCAACTTATCCAGCAAATGATTTATACAGCGAATGCCCTTCCAGCAGCAACCCATCACTAGGAAACACCCATACACTCTCATTCACACACATACAGTAAGAACAATTTTAGCTTACCCAATTCACCTGTACCACATATTTTTGGACTTATGGGTGAAAACGGAACACCCAGAGGAAACCAACGCAAACATAAGGAGAACATGCAAACTCCAAACAGAAATGCCAACTGACACAGCTGAGGCTCAAACCAGCGACCTTTTTGCTGTGAGGCGACAGCACTACCTACTACACCACCGCGTCACCCACCCACCTGAACATGTTTACAAATACAGTCATTTATTCATGTGATTCAAAGCTGAATTTTTAGCAAACTCCAGTCTTCAATGTCTCATGATTGATTATCTTTTTCATTCTAAAGCCCGACTCACACTGTGATTTTTAATAATCCTAAATGATGGTAGAACGTCAGACTCCATGAACATGACTATGATGTTACACTGTAGTGCTCAGTCATCATAATATCAGACTCCATAGTGTCAATGACGTTTTTTACCCTAACAAGTCAGTATAATTTCTTTGTGTTTATATGAAAGAAACTCAAACAGGTCAGGAACGACTGGACAGAGAGTCAAGTTGACAGATTTTTTTATTTTTATTGGGGTGAATTATTCTTTTGAAGAACCTCCGTTTGGTGTTAGATCCACTGGGTGACGTTGAAACCTTTCAAATCTGCTTCAATTCAAAATAGACATTTGTGCTCTATTATCAGTCCCTCATTATTTTTTGTACAAGTATGCTCGTGTTCTTTAGTTTAATCTCTTAATTATGGCTTTTTTTGCATTCATGTATTTGCACTGAGCTTTTGTACACCTTTAGAAGAGTCTAAATAAATTGTGTGTGCGTGTCTGTGTGGAGAGAGATAATGTTAAAAAGAAAGTGACAAAAGTAACAGAAATGAAAACTACACTTTTCAAAAAAGGTTTATTCATTTGGGATCTGTATGACACCATAAATTAATGATAATCATTAAATAATAATAAATAATGTAGTGTAGTGAAACGATAAATTGTATCCAAAATAAAAGTTCATACTTACAAAATATATTTGTGTGTACTGTGTACAGTATGTGTGGCATGATTGGCTGAACAGCATGAAATACCATCAGTCTACAGATATTTCCTATTTCTCTGTTGCAATCGGTATATCATAATAATTAATCCTGAAAATGCTAAAGCAGTGCAAACACTACCAGATTACTGTTGTGTTTGCGATAAGGAAAAACTCTAACAAATGCAGGCATTTCTTCTTTTTTTCTTTTTACTGAACTAGTCTGCAGTATAATAATATTTGTGTATATAAATACTGAATGCATAATTGGTGAGATTGTGAGGCGTGCACTCGAGTAAATTATGAAGGCGATTTTTATTCATTCACTAGAATTAATGTGATTATGTTAGTTCCACAGCTAATTATCAGACACATGTAGAGTTAATGCGTTCCAGTAAAATATATATAAATAAAATGGAGTGGGTGCTTTTTAAAATGAATGACGGTGAATGAATGAAAGTAAAACCGGTAAGCCGTCAGACAAAAAGTGCCCTTCTAAATTGAATCAGCAGGATACCCTTCTTGGTCTTTCATTTACTTTGAAGACATACTGACTACATTTACATAGTACTTATTTGCCCTAATCTGAAAAAGACAATAATATAATTAAGGTGTTACATGTAGTGCTTTTGAGTCTCATGTAATTTTGAGTGTTTCATTTTTAATTTTTCAACTTTAACTGCAGTTCGGCAGTTTTACTTTCACTAATAAACATTTTATTCATGTGTCTTTTATTGACAGCTGCATGTGTGGATCTTGTCACAAAATGCGGCGAAAAGTCCTACAGTACATGACGTAATGCCACAAATATAAGCATACTTCATCTTAAATCCATTTCACTTGAGTTCAGTTATAAGTTTAGTGCAATTAAGGTAATCAAAAATCGCTGTTTACATGGTAGACTCTTAATCACAGTATTGTCTTAACCATATTAAAATCGTATTGAAGTATTGTTGCACATGTAAACAAACTCAATGTTTGACTCAACCACTCCATCAGGGCTCTGCAATCTTGGATATGCGAAATAGAGTAGACAGTATGGCTCAAGCTTATTGACAGTGGAAGATGATTCACGGTTAGTCGTGTCAGGAATCCAACCACAGATTAGCATGTTGTCCTCACAGAAACAGGCTCAGCCATCACACTAAATCAGCTAAGCTGTATATTTATGTTTAAATGTAATTAATGCTACACACTTTAAATGCAGCAAGTAATATGTAAATGATGTTTGCACATGCATTGTAATTTTGGCTCGAGAGATGGGTGCCTAGGGGGTTCAAGCAAAATGGTACAAACTTGGGGGAACGTGTGTCCTAAAAGTTTGAAAACCCCTGCTCTAGGGGCTTACTATATGACCTCTGTCACCATCTTGTGGATGGACAAGGTGAAACATCTTCGATCTGCTCAGTATGACAGGCTGATGGATGCTGACGCACTGTATCTCCAAAATTATAACTATTTACTATAGGCTTATCCTCATATATATATATATATATATATATATATATCCTTATAAATGAACTGCATAGTTGCAATCTAAACAATTCTCACATGCAAAGCATCAGAAGTACATTATGTTGTCCAACAGCTGCAATATTTGTCAAACTGAGTTTATTGATCTGCTGTCACTCTATGTGGACGGAGTAATACACAAAGGTGAGGAGGCTGTGAGTGCTGTTATTACAGAAATTTTCCACAGCTATCAGCCAATCAGACTGGAAAACCAGACAGAACTGTTGTATAAACTGTACTATATAAGTTGTAAAAAACTACAGTATTGGGTTTATATTAATAGAGTTGTTACCATATCAACTATAGCATTAACACAACAGATTAACTAAACTATAGAATGATCCAAACTCTATATTTACTATGAATTAATATAGTATTTTTTCATTCGGGATCTTATTTCTATTTTAACATTTTTAACAAGCTCCCCTTCATCTTAAATAAGCCGTTTAATCCAAACATGATGTAATAACATACTTGAAATAACAACAATTCCACCAAGTGCTTAGATATATTTGACTTTACTTTTCTGCATTCACACAATCTCAAATCTCAAACTATTATATCTGCCCAAAAGGCCTGAATAAAACTCATCAGTATGTATATTACCACACTTTTAATGTTTTTAAAAGTGAAACATGCCAAAAAAAAAAACCTTCTCCACCATCCAAGTAAGCTTTTGTGTTGTGTGGAATGAAAATCTTTCATGTGCGGATTAGCAGGGAAACAACGGTTTCTTCAGTCCTCACAAACCAAGCAGAAAACATAATTAGAGAACATAATCCAGGCCAATGCGTTCCTCACAATCACCCCGTAACCTTCCCCTAACACACACACAACTCACGCAGTTTGATGACCTGCTTTCTGGACTTCAGATTGTGCATGATCTTGTTGGATGCCAATGTGAGACAGAACTGAAGCCGGAGTGGTGTGTGTATATGATTATGTGTGATAAAGAGATGGAGTCTGGATTGCTGAACGTTTCTGCTGAGACTGTTTATGGAGAAAAGAGCGCCTTTACACAAACTGAGCACAATATTGTTGCTGCTTACCTCATCACAGCAGGTAAAGACCAGAGTGTGTTTGTGTGTATGTGTGTCTAATGGGATGTGAGCTATATGATCAAACTGAAATAAATGTAATAATAAATGAATAATAATTAGTCCAGTTTAGAATCCAAATCTTATTTTGGGCCTAATAATCAGATTAAACACAATCTTAGCTTTGAACATTTTCAGAACTTTGTAATTTGGTAAAGATTCTTTAAAAGTTATGAATAAATGTTCTTCCAATACGTTAGACCACTAGAACATAAACACAATAAACATCATGTGTGTGCACTGCTAACAATATTTGTAAATTACACCGTAATTAACTGTAATTTGAACTGTATTTTACTGTAGGACAGTTATGCGGTATGTTACAGTATTTTAAAGTTGCATTGTGAAATTGACTATATTTTACAGTAAAGATATACATACAATTCTGTTAATACACATTCAGCAAAATAAATGGTGCTGTAAATGTAAATACAGTATTTTTGCTTTAATTGATTTACAGTAAGTTACAGGTGAAATGCTGCAAGTACTGTAAATTGTGTAGTAAATTGTTAACAGTGTATGTATTGCTTTCTTACTAAAGATTTTAATGTTTTTAAAAAATTTTATGTAATTTTTTTTTGGTTGTGGTGAGTTTGACCTAAAAAAATACTTAATAATTTTTTAACTTGTGACACTTTTGGTGTCATGAACATGCCAGCAAAATTCTAATACTATGAGGTGTGGAATGTGCATGAAACATATAATATTGATGGTAGTTACTGACAGCTGCATAAATGATATTGTAGAATATGAATCAATAAGGACTATATGAAAAGGCAAGACTAGTGTAAAGTTCTCAGTAGTGTAGTGTAGACCTTTTTTATTCAAACTATTCTATCAATTAAAAAAGTTAAGGAAGTGAAGAAATGAAACTGTTAAATAATGGAATTAGAGTACATAAAGACACGTGGAGCCTTTGAGTGATTCTAGAATTGTGAGTAGATTTTGTGTCTCTATTATAAAAAAATAAATAAATAAATAAACAATATATATATATATATATATATATATATATATATATATATATATATATATATATATATATATATATATATATATATATATATATATATATGAAAAAATTGTATAATAGCACAGATAAAATCAAGTTATCTTTACAAATAATGTTTGTATTTAGGTACAATTTGCCTTAGACAACAAAATATTGACTTAATCCACTATTTTGGAATGTCCATCTCCCTGATCATACATTGAGCTTTAATTATCATTGAATAATTCCGTTTAATTTTCATGTTTACTTTAATAAAAAATTAGTTGCATGAAACATACATTTTCGTTATTTTTTAGTAATTTCAATTATCAAAAAAAAAAAGTATTTTGTCTATCCCTAAATTCTGGTCAACTCTATTACATCAGATAGAAAAAAAAAAACATGTCTTATCCTCTGGTGGGAAACTCTCTATAAGTCATTGAGACACGTATTCTCATTCATTTGTACAAAATGTTTAAGATACAGTAAGAGTAGATGAATTATTTGTCAACTCTGTTATTATGATATTTCAGTGAATTTCTCGTTCACTTTTTATACATTCATTCATTTGCTTTTTGACTTAGTCTCTTTATTTATCTGGGGTCGCCACAGTGGAAAGAACCGCCAACTTATCCAGCATATGTTTTATGCAGCGGATGCACTTCCAGCTGCAACCCATCACTGGGGAAACTTTTTATACATTTTTAGACATGTGGTTTGAGGTTAGCACTTGCTATAGAACAAAATATTGGATAATGCCAACCATTGATGTCAACTCTGTTATTATCAACTCTGTTATGGTTTAAATTGTTTAACATTAAGTTAAACAACAATTAATAGAGGAGAGCGAGGATGAAATCAACATGGGATGAAACAGATTTTCTCGAAGCCATGTCAACATTTGCTTTCCAGGCTATACAGCACATTCAGCATGCAACCCTTAATGGAGCTGCCAATTATCAGCTGATTTTAGTACGGCGTCCTGCGGTTAAGTCTGAATTTCAGATTTTAAGTGCAGAAAGTACATTATTGTAGCGGTTCTTTTTTCCTTATTAAAAATTGTGTTTCTATTTTTATACATCAGGGCAGTAATGATCAATTTACGGGTTATTTAGTGCAATAACACATCCTTAAGTTTTTCAGTTTGGTTAAAAGAGCAAGAGTTCCTGTGGGGATGAAAGTAACACTGTTATTATGCCCCACTGCTAATAGATAAAACATATTTTTCACTTTTACATTAGAGTTTGCAGTGTTTGGATTTAAATGTTTTATAAAATGAATGCATATTGCCAATAATAATAAAACATATAACAAAATTGTACAAACTTTTAACATTTTGCACTTTCATTGGTCTTGAACAACCTGGACCATACGCTACTTGAAAACTACAGACCAGTATCCCTGCTTCCATTCATGGCCAAGATTCTGGAGAAAGTAGTGTTCAATCAAGTCCTGGACTTTCTTACTCAAAACAATCTCATGGACAACAAGCAATCCGGCTTTAAGAAAGGCCACTCAACTGAGACTGCCCTGCTCTCGGTCGTGGAGGATCTCAGACTGGCTAAAGCAGACTCTAAATCATCAGTCCTCATTTTGCTGGACTTGTCAGCTGCTTTTGACACTGTCAACCACCAGATCCTGCTATCTACGCTTGAGTCACTGGGCGTTGCGGGCACTGTTATACAATGGTTTAGATCTTACCTCTCTGACAGGTCATTCAGGGTGTCTTGGAGGGGAGAGGTGTCCAACCTACAGCATCTAAACACTGGGGTACCTCAAGGCTCTGTTCTTGGGCCACTTCTCTTCTCCATCTACACATCATCTCTAGGACCAGTCATCCAGAGACATGGATTCTCCTACCACTGCTATGCTGATGACACCCAGCTATACCTCTCTTTTCATCCTGATGATCCCTCGGTTCCAGCTCGTATCTCAGCCTGCCTGTTGGATATTTCACACTGGATGAAAGATCATCATCTTCAGCTGAACCTCGCAAAAACGGAAATGCTTGTAGTTTCTGCCAACCCGACTCTACACCATAACTTTTCAATCCAGATGGATGGGGCAACCATTACTGCATCCAAAATGGTGAAAAGCCTTGGAGTAACGATTGATGACCAACTAAACTTCTCTGACCACATTTCTAGAACTGCTCGATCGTGCAGATTTGCACTCTATAACATCAGAAAGATCCGACCCTTCTTATCTGAACATGCAGCTCAACTCCTTGTTCAAGCTCTTGTTCTCTCCAAACTGGATTACTGCAACTCTCTACTAGCTGGGCTTCCAGCTAACTCTATCAAGCCTCTTCAACTGCTCCAGAATGCAGCAGCACGAGTTGTCTTCAATGAACCTAAACGAGCACATGTCACTCCGCTGCTAGTCCGTTTGCACTGGCTGCCAGTTGCTGCTCGCATCAAATTCAAAACTCTGATGTTTGCCTACAAAGTGACTTCTGGCCTAGCACCTTCTTATCTGCACTCACTTCTGCAGATCTATGTGCCCTCCAGAAACTTGCGTTCTGTGAATGAACGTCGCCTCGTGGTTCCATCCCAAAGAGGGAAAAAATCACTTTCGCGAACGCTCACGCTCAATCTGCCCAGTTGGTGGAATGAACTCCCTAACTGCATCAGAACAGCAGAGTCACTCGCTATTTTCAAGAAACGACTAAAAACTCAACTATTTAGTCTCCACTTCACTTCCTAAGCTGCAATTGCCTCTTTGAATATCACACTAACTGTACAAAAAAAAAAAAAAAAAAAAAAAAAAAAAAAAAAAAAAACTACTAACACTTCCCTTCTTAGACTTTACAGACCTGAAACTTGCCTTTAGTACTTATTCATTGTTGCTCTTAGTTGTGTAAATTGCTTCCTTGTCCTCATTTGTAAGTCGCTTTGGATAAAAGCGTCTGCTAAATGACTAAATGTAAATGTAAATGTAAATGGAACAATTTGATAGACCTAAAATTTAAAATGAAAACGCAGTTTAATATATTTTTTGCAAAAATAAAAGACAAAATATGTTTGCAGTGAACATTAACAAGGTCAAAGTCAGATATAATTAAAATAGATAAGATTAAGCCAGTAAATCTAGCAAATATTGATGTCTTTTGACTCACCCATGCCATGTGTTACTTTGTCCCATACTGGAAATTTATTGCAATTTATTGCAATCTGTTCAAAATATAACCCAATACTGATAGACCAGACTTATGACACAGCAAACCACAGCAAAAATATATTTCTGTCTAAAACATTATCTTTTAAAAACAGGTTTTTATGAAAATTGGTACTTTTGTACCTGCTTTTTGTACCCCTAACAGAGTAAAATGTTCAGAATATTACAAATACATACATATATATATATATATATATATATATATATATATATATATATATATATATATATATATATATATATATATATATATATATTTTTTATTTATTTATTTATTTATTTATTTTTTTAAATAACGTATTGAAATGAATAAACAAATAATTTTAAGTCAACTATTTGATGCATTGGGTTCAGTGTAGTAAAATTATAGTATACACTTTTGTTTTACTACTAGTGTAAAACATTCTCGCAGTGTTTGCAAAGTGTGCAACTCTAAAGTTACTGTAACCAAGAAAAACGCCTTTAAAAACTTCTTTTAAAAATTTATTTTTTGACCTCGAAGGTTAACATTTAAGTAAACCATTTTTACAATGTCATCGGAGTGTTAACAAAATACTCCTAGACCACTTTATTTAGTTATATGAGATATTTTCATCTTTCCACGAAGCTGACATTTACAGATTCAGACAAGCTTCAGAAATGTCCAGCAATGCTGTAAAAACGGGTGTAAAACGGTCAAGTGAAAATGGGAAATGTGTCGAGTGACGGATTATTGTGGTGAATTATGTGCTGGCAGAAGTCTGAACTCTGTGTTTGGTTTCAGGAGTGATTAGTCTGTCGAGCAACATCGTGGTGCTGCTGATGTTCGTGAAGTTCAGAGAGCTGAGAACCGCTACTAATGCCATCATCATTAATCTGGCATTCACGGACATTGGCGTGGCTGGCATTGGTTACCCCATGTCTGCAGCTTCAGACCTGCACGGGAGCTGGAAGTTTGGCTATATGGGATGCCAGGTGTGCACATTATACTGTATATACTGTCAAAGCAACAAAACAACTAAAGTAAAGTCATTCTGATTAAGTAACTAATGTTGTGAATATAGCTGAGTTTCATTGTTTGGGGTAATTAATTAGAATATATCTAAAGACATGAAAAATCTAGAATAAAGAACACTACTGAAAATAGGTTACTTAATTGGTTTTCTTAAATAATTATTTTACTTAATAATAATAATCGTCAAAGTACAGTTTAGAGTAAATAACTGTGCCAAGGTATTTAGTATGATTACACACTTTTTGAGAGTCTGATTTTTAATGGAAGTGTTCATCTGTATGTGAGCAGCCTTTCTAAAAATTGATTATCATATCTTTTGACTTTGTTTTCTGAACTTTGATTTAACTTGACTCTGTCTTCAACTGAAGATTTGACTTCTCACACCATCAGACAAAATCAGTGAGTATTGGACCATGACCTGATTTATTATCACAAAGATTTATTATCATAATTTAATATTTAAATTTAAATATTATTTAAATGTGAATAATATTTAATATTAAAACTTACTGTATATAAAATAGCATGTGCATGAATAAATGAAAATCTAAATGTTTATTCTGTTCATAAGCACAAAAAAGTACAAATAAATAATATATTCCCTACTAGATTTTTTTTATTAGTTAAATTTTTAATTGATTGTGATCCATGGAGAAAAAATAAAACAAATAAAAAACAGAACAGAACTTTATATTTATTTGTTTTAATTAAAACTGTACATACAAATGTAAATATTTACTCTGAAATGTTACGTGAATTATATATTTACTTTAGTTATATTATTAATTTAGTTATTGGTATCTAAATTGTTATTTAATAAATATGTTATTGTTATTTTGCTATACAATTAATTATTATCGACGAGCTGTCTCAGAAATTGTAAATTATTTAAATAGGCTCTATTCTTATAAATATACTGCATAGTTGCAATCTAAACAACTACATTCTTGACTAAAAAAGCCTCAAAAGCACATTTTGTTGTCTAACAGCAGTAATATTTGTCAAACTGTAGTGTCTCTCTGCTTGTTGCTGGCTGTATGTGGGTGGAGTAATACACAAAGGTAAAGGGTGCAGAGACCTTTGTGTGATGGTCCTGCCAAAATATTGCGCAACTATTAGCTAATCAGATTCAAGAATCAGACAGAACTGTTATATATATATATAAACATCCACACACACTCATTCACACTCATATGCTTTGGACAATTTGGCCTACCCAATTCAACTATACCACATGTTTTTGGACTTGTAAAACCGGTGCACCTGGAGGAAACACGCGAACGCAGGGAGAACATGCAAACTCCACACAAAAACTGACCCAGCCAAGGCTTGAACCAGTCAATTATATATATATATATATATTATCAGACACTTCTGTTATTACATTTTACATATTACATTTCAGATGCACGTTTTTATTATTTAATTATTTTCATTCAGTTTTTCATTCTTTCTAAATAATATAATACTGCTTCTGTTCTAGATTTACGCTGCGCTGAATATATTCTTTGGAATGGCCAGTATTGGACTGCTTACAGTGGTTGCCATTGACCGATATCTGACCATATGTCGACCTGACATAGGTATGAATCTCCACAAAGTGACTGCCATTGTCTCTGTGGATGCTATATGGTGAACATCAATCATTCCTTATACTGTAAGAAACCATTAATGTGTGTGTTTCTCCACAGGACAGAAGCTGACCACCCGCTCATACACTCTTCTGATTGTGGCCGCATGGCTAAATGCAGTGTTTTGGTCCTCGATGCCCATCGTGGGGTGGGCAGGATACGCTCCAGATCCCACAGGAGCAACATGTACTATCAACTGGAGGAACAACGACACGTGAGCAAACATCACACAACACACAACAAACCACAACACACTTTAGTCTAGCTGTTTCACCACTCTGCATGCTAGCATTCATACCGAGATTGTACAGAGAATAGGTTTCACCATCAGGAGGGGAACTTCAATGCTATGTGGAAACTTCCACTATGGGGATTTTATCAGAATCCAATCATATTAAAGAATAATAAAACTGGCCAATGAGTTTGTTAGTGTCAGCGTGCACAGCTGGTGTCAATTACAATCAGTGTTGAATAAAGATGCCGCTCCTGCCATGCTGAGGCATCCTTTTTGATTTCGGAGCCTTTCACTTAGCTTCTGAGAGAGTCTGAGAGAGAGGGTTTCTCCAAGTATTCGTCACAGAGAGAGAGAATGACAAAGCAGGCTGCTTCTCCCGGTCTAGAGTGTGCGATACGTGGCAGCACATGATCGAGCTGGAATTCTCCCTTGCCTGCCGTTCTTTGGGTCCAGTCCTCCAGAGCGGTTTGTATTCAGCAAGTTTCCCAAAAGAGCAACGCAGTCGTGCAGAGCGTCTTTTTCAAGATGTCGTTCCGACTGTGCGTTTCTGGATGCGGTGGTTCCTTGTCGCCAGATGATGGGCTGTGTTGGATGTCTGGGGGTCCAGCATGTTAATGCAGTGCTCGCGGGCAGTCCATGCCGTCACTGTAATGGCATGTCTGTTGCGCAGTTAAAATCGCGGCTCGCTCTTGCAAAAGAGCGACCCACCCCAGTTGTTCACTGCTCTGCGGCTGGCACTTGGGCAGTTCTGAGGGTCACATTGGGAGTAAATCTGCCACCTTTTGGGCTCGTGGACCTCTCGCTTCTCCATGCGCACCATCCAAGCTTCAAGCAAAAGAATCGCTCCATCCTCCCGGATGATCACTCTCGCTTGATGACACAGAGGATCAGATGTCCATTGTTGCATCGGAGGGTGGGCTATCGCTGTCTGACGAGGATCTGAACTCGCCCCATCCCTTCGAAGTAATGAGCGCGGCGTCGGGTTTGGAAGCGGACATGATGGCTGTGGTTTACCGGGCTGCTTCGGTCGTGGGTCGATGGTTCATCCCCCAGCACCACAGCCCGACCGACTAGACAGGTGTTATGTGGAGGATATTAAGAACGCAGTCTTGGAGGGCACCTTTCTCTGCCCGATCTGCGTGCGCTTCCGCCCTCGCCACCCTTGACGGTGGAGCAGCCAGGGAGTACCAGTTGATTCCCCAGATTGAGCTTGCCATCGCAGTCAATTTATGCCCGGATTATGCCCTTTTTCTGGCGTGATCAGTCTCGTCTCCCGTCCAAGACATGTAGGTTATCTGCCTTCCCGGGGCCAGAGCCTTCACATCCGCGTGCCTTTGCATGCGATGGCCACCTACCAGCGCTACCAAACGCAGGTGCTGGCCCAGTCACATGAGGGTGGAAATCCACACACGTCAGAAGGCTACACCTCTGGTGATGCAGGTGGGGGGGGATACTTTGTTCCTTTATCACAGCAATTGTCCCTTTTTACTCATATGTTAGAGTCTGTCAGCAGTTGAACGCACAGTATACTACATTTCATCAATAAATGAACACTAGAAAGATTCATCTCAGTTCACTCTTTGTATGGAAAACAGGTGTAACATTAAACCACTCAATAACAAACTCACCAGAACCTCTATTAGGTACACCTGTCCAACTGCTCGTTATCGCAAATTTCTAATTAGCCAATCAAATGGCAGCAACTCAATGCATTTAGGCATGTGGACATGGTCAAGACAATCTGCTGCAGTTCAAACTAAACATCAGAATGGGAAAGACAGGTGATTTAAGTGACTTTGAATGTAGCATGGTTGCTGGTGCAAGACAGGCTGGTCTGAGTATTTCATAAACAAGCTGATCTACTGGGATTGTCACGCTCAACCATCTCTTGGGTTTACAGAGAAGTGTCCAAAAAAGAGAGAACATCCAGTGATTGGCAGTTCTGTGGGTGCAAATGCCTTGGTAATGCCAAAGGCCAGAGGAGAATGGCCAGACTGTCTTGTGCCATTCCTGTCAGCTAAGAACAGGAAACTGAGGCTACAAATCGCACAGGCTTACCAAAACTGCAATAAAAGATTGGAAACCTGGTTGCCTGGTCTGATGAGTCTCGACTTCTGCTGCAATATTTGGATGATAGGGTCAGACTTTGCCATCAACAATATGAAAGCATGGATCATTCCTGGCTCGTATCAACAGTTCAGGCTGGTGGTGATAGTGTAATGGTGTGGGGGGCATTTTCCTGGCACACTATGTGCCCATTAGTACCAACTGAGCATTGTGTCAATGTCACAGCTGGTCTTTTGAACATGACAATGAGTTCACTGAACTCAAATGGCCTCCACAGTCACCATACTCAATCCAATAGAGCACATTTGGCATGTGGTAGAGCTGGAGATTATCATCTTGAATGTGCAGCCAAATCTGCTGCAACTGCGTGATGTTACCATGTCAAGCATGGACCAAAATCTATGAGGAATATATCCAGTATCTTGTTGAATCTATGCCATGAAGCATTAAAGCAGTTCTGAAGACAAAAGGGGTCCAATCCATAAGGTGTACCTATTAAAGAGGCCTGTGTTCATGCTTGACTACTACTACTAATGCTTTTTATACATGTATATAGTACTTACTCAAACGCTCACCGTTTCAATATACATTGTAACTATTATTTTCCAAAGTTGTAAATTAAAGCAAAGACTGCTGGACTTTGTTTACAAAAAAACTCTAGTTGCCCTAACCCTAACATTTGTACATTTTATAGATTAAATGTAAAACAAAAAAGCCTTTTACTTGTTTAAAATAGTCACAGATTTTTTTTGATTCTCCTCACACAGTTTTAATTGAACACTTCAGTGTTGATAGTGCTAAAAAAGTGAAGTATATTTGGCTTTTAAATTTGAGTGGTGATTACACTGTTCTTGTTTTATTGCAGATCTTTTGTGTCATATACAATGACTGTGATCACCGTCAACTTCATCATTCCTCTGTCGGTCATGTTCTACTGCTACTATAACGTTTCTGCTACTGTGAAGAGATTTAAAGCTAGTAACTGTCTGGACAGCATCAACATGGACTGGTCAGACCAGATGGATGTCACCAAGGTAAGCGGCAGCATATATACACTGTAACTCTCAAAAAGTTAAGGTAACTCAACCCATTTGAGGAAACCGATTGCAGCAAACCATTCAAGTTCAAAAACTGATCCTAATGAGTAGTGTGAACTTACTCCATTTGAGTTAATGAAGCAATTTGAGCACAGTAAAACCCAATAAATGTAGAGAACTCAAACCAACTGAGTGCTGTAAAACCTAATAAGTTAAGGCAACTCACACCATTTGAGTTAAACAGAAACTAATCTATGAGTAGTGAAAGCTTACTCCATTTAAGTTGAAGTAATGAGTTATTTAATTAACTCAACACCTTCAACTCTGAGTTCAAAACTCTTTTCAAATAAGTAAAATTTATTAATTTATTCATTTTCTTGTCAGCTTAGTCCCTTTATTAATCCGGGGTCGCCACAGCGGAATGAACCGCCAGCTTATCCAGCGAATTTTTACTCAGCGGATGCCCTTCCAGCCGCAACCCATCTCTGGGAAACATCCACACACACATTCACACACACTCATACACTACAGACAATTTAGCTTACCCAATTCACCTGTACCGCATGTCTTTGGACTGTGGGGGAAACCGGAGCACCCGGAGGAAACCCACGCAAACACAGAGAGAACATGCAAACTCCACACAGAAACGCCAACTGAGTTGAGGTTCGAACCAGCGACCCAGCAGCCTTCTTGCTGTGAGGCAACAGCACTACCTACTGAACCACTGCTTCGCCCCATAAGTAAAATTAACTTTCAGTGACTTTCGAGCTGACTACACTCATTTCATTTAATAAAGTTGACCGTTGGGTTTTACAGTAATTTTTATTTTAGTTTAAATTATCTTTATACTGAATGTTTTAAAAATATTTTTTTTGTAATTTGTGTGTGTTTTATCATTTATTTTATTTGCTGGTTTAAAATATTATATTAGAGATTTAATTGATTTATAAAATGTTTAATTTCATTTTACTCTTCATAAAAAGTAACTGAAATGACAAATCATTTTTATTTAGCCAAAATATTTTTAGGATTTGAAAAATGAATAAATTAAAAGAATAATTTTCTGAACCCATAATAAACGGTGGTTAAGTGGTTTAAGAAGGTCACTGGTTTGAGTCCCGGCTGGGGCAGTTGGTATTTCTGTGTGAAGTTTGCATGTTTTCCCGATGTTCACCTGGGTTTCCAAAACGTGCTCCGGTTTCCCCCACAGTCCAAAGACATGTGCTATAGGTGAATCGGGTAAACAAAATTTATTTTAGTCTTAGTGTGTAAATATGAGAGTGTATGGGTGTTTCCCAGTACTGGGTCATGGCTAGAAGAGCATCCGCTGCGTAAAGCATATGTCAGAATAGTTGGCGGTTCTTTCCGCTATGGAGACCGCTAAAAAATTAGGAACTAAGCCAAAAGAAATTGAATGACTGAATAAAAAGCCAATGCACAACTCTAAATTACAACTTGCTCTCCAATGTAGTTAGAACTAAATGTTCCTTCATTTTTACAGATGTCTGTTATAATGATAGTGATGTTCTTGGCTGCCTGGTCTCCGTATTCCATTGTGTGTTTGTGGGCATCATTTGGTGACCCCCAAAAGATCCCAGCTCCGATGGCCATCATCGCCCCCCTCTTAGCCAAATCATCCACCTTTTACAATCCCTGCATCTACGTCATCGCCAACAAGAAGTACTGCCATCATTTTTTAAAATGTATGTGATAAGTCAGACATACTCTTTGCTTACTAATAAGCTGTATTTTTTGACTGCAGGTTCAGGAGAGCCATTATAGGAATGATACGATGCCAAACACGACAGCGAGTCACGATCAACAACCAGCTGCCAATGATGGCATCATCAGTGCCGCTCAACCCATGAACATTGACGCTCAGATATTAAGAAAACATTCAAAAAACATCAGCGCTGGACGCTCTCCATCTGCTCCACTGTTTTTAAAGGGATAGTTCACCCTAAACATGAAATCTCACCTTCAAGTGGTTCTTAACCTTTATAAAATTCCGATGAACAAAAATGAAGATGTTTCGAAGAATGTTGTAAACCAATAACTATTGACTTTGTTCACTGTAAAAAAAAAAAAAATTATATGATCAATTAGTCATGACAGCATGTTATTAGGCCATTGCAACTTATTAAAACACACGCTGTTTTGAGTCAGTTTAACATATAAACTCAATGGATTCATAAGCTTAATTAGATTTAGCTTAAAAATTAATCAACCAGGATTTATTTTACAGCGTAGAAGTTAATAAATATCACAAATATCATAAAATAATAAAGTCAATAAAAGTATATATATTTTCAATATTCTTCAAAATATTATCTTTTGGGTTCGGAAGAAAGAAAATGTAACAATAATGACCACATACTTTTTTTTTGAATGAACTATTCCTTTAACAGCAGTAGGGTACCATTACATATGAATGTAAAGTTCTTATAGCATGAACATTTTTCTTGCGAATGGCTTTGACTTTGTTTTACTACTACTATTCAGAATCTAGTTTGATGGACTGATGAGTGTAACGTTATCATCTGCTTACTGCAAATCTTGTGATACTACTGTCCTTGATACTGTATGTGCTTAAGATTTGAATAAAAATAAGTCCAGTATGATTTATTTATCATAATTGTTTCTATGAGTTTGCATGTTCTGCCCGTGTTCGCGTGGGTTTCCTCCGGGTGCTCCGGTTTCCCCTACAAGTCCAAAGACATGTGGTATTGGTGAATTGGGTAAGCTAAACTGTCCGTTGTGTATGTGTGAATGAGTGTGTATGGATGTCTCCCAGTGATGGGTTGCAGCTGGAAGAGCATCCGCTGCGTAAAACATATGCTGGATAAGTTGGCGGTTCTTTCCGCTGTGGGGACCCCAGATTAATAAAGGGACTAAGCCGAAAAGAAAATGAATGAATGAATATGCATGTTCTCCCTTTGTTCATATGTTTCCTCCGTGTGCTCCGGTTTCCCCCACAGACCAAAGACATGAGGTATAGGTGAATTGGGTAGGCGGCTAAGTTGTCCGTAGTGTGTGGATGTTTCCTAGTGATGGGTTGCAGCTAGAACAGCTCTGAAAATGTATATAAGTTGATGTACTTTTAACTCAAATGGTATTTTGAGTAGAGGACGGGGCTTTCTTTTTGCGCATCATTCCCACATAGCAAACTAAAGAGGAGCATGGTTAATTATATTAAAATAAAGTTGCTATGGAAGCCATAAAGCTGACATCAACAGAAGGACCGCCACTCCAGAGGCAGAAGTAAATACTCAGACTTTCATTGAAGATTACCAAAAAATGTGTTCAGTGGATTCATTTACATGGATTAATTGTTCAGCTTAAGAATAAAAATGTAAGCAAACAAAATAAACATTGCAAATTTGGATTTAACATCAATCGGTCAAAATATGGATGAATAAATGTTTAAGTGTCATTCAGTATAACAGGTTCATGTAAAAATCTAACACCATGCTTATTCTGACCTCTACTTACTAACTCCCAATGACAAAAAATGAATGTAATTAGTATTGTCATCATTTAAAATGCAATAAATAGTTAAACCTTTGTTTTCCATTGAGCTCCTGTTATAAAAGCTGCTGTGTTATTCAATTTTTTTGTTTAGATTTTTGAGCCTAATTTTACAAGTGGCTATTTTAGTAAATGTCAATCCTTTTTTCCACATGTATTTTTAAAATCATAAGAACTTGATACAGTTTGTCACTAAAAATCATGTCCTCTGGCATGACATTACTGTATATGCTAATTTTAAATGGTCAATCTCAATGAAAAATTTCAATTAGTTTAGGGACGTCATTTAAGATCGTGTGACTGAAGCCCCCTGTGAAGCCCATGATGCACACTTGATAAGTTTTTGTCAGAATTTCTCACATATTTAGAACCACTATAAAATTTTGCTGTCCTTTGTGACTACCCATTTATTTAATAATTTCATATATAATACATGTACAACATTGTAGATGAATTGCAATTTGTATATTATTAAGAGTTTTTATTTATTTTATTTTTGCCATGTCAGCAAAAGAAATATTCCAGTAAAAAAGTTAGTAACCACTATATTTTTTGTCAAACATCAAACTACATACAGCAGGGAAAATAAGTATTGAACATGTCATGTTTTTTTGGGAATAATATTTACAAAGGACTGTACTGAAACGTGTTTGATTATTTAAATCAAAGCTTTTTTCAGCTCAAAGACGCCTCTAATGTGGAGAATGAAGTCATATAAATTGCTCAGCTGTAATTTCTTAACAAACTTCAACAGAGTTTAGAAATTTCATCTATCCAAACTGATCTTTATTTTGCATTTTCTATTGGATTCAAGTCCAAGATAGACTGGGCCATTCTACAGCTTGATTTTCTTTCTTTGAAGGAATTTAAGAGTTTCCTTGTTTTGTCTTGCTGAAATGTTCTCCCTGGTTTTATCTTCATCCTCATGCTAATGTTGATGTTGGACTGAAGCAGCAAATGTTAATTTACAACAACAAAGGGCAAAGAATTGCTGAAGAACTACTGAGAGACTTCAGCTGCTGTCTGGGCTTTCCCTGCCTTTCTACACCCCCCTTTCTTCATGGGTTTAATACTTTATTCCTGGGTTGTTTCATCTTATTACACATAACTTAATCTGTAAACTAATTTGATTTCTTTTCTTTGCATATATGGATTTCTTTGGTTAGTCAACATCTGGTGAAAATTTCAAGTCAACGTCAGCTTTAGAAATGTTTTCTGAGAAAAATAGTGACCTGTTAAATATTTTTTCCCTGCTGTTAATATGAAAAATCTTTCTTCCACAATTGTGTTTAAAATAAGCATTTTTACTCCCTATTTGTGACCAATTGACTTCACTTGACTTTATGTTTACTGTAAATTATTTGAAATGATTAAAAGTTATTTGATTACTTTTTTGATGGGTAAATCCTAGAGGTTTCAAGGATAGTGGCAAAATAAAAGATTTACAGTGACAATTTGTGAGTATTCTGGTCCTCAATGCTCCTTAAATAAGCTATTTTAAAATTAAAATGATTTGAAATAAATGTTGTTTTAAATAGTGCACATTGAAGCCATTGAATTCAAATAAAAGTAAACGGGACACATTCGATCATCAGAATCGAATCAGGATCATAGAACATACCTCTTCGATCTTCAAACAATAATCACATTTACGCATTTTACAAATAAAACATTTTATGTCAATTGCAACACATTAAATAAAGAAACAATGTACAGTTCCAAAGGATTTGTAATGCCTACTGTAGTTCCAGAAAGCGTTTTGTTTCATTTAACTGTCATGAACGCAATTATGGCTCTTTGCTAAAGATTCATTTTCAAGCTGCCCTGAGCAATTCATTGACTTGTGAATCCTAATTACTTGAGGGGTGGGCAAAAAATGTTCTTCTAGTACTAGGACACATTGTTCTCCAGCCAGAACCGGATCTCATCCTTATTCCTTTCCACCCATTCGATATTGTTCTTCACAGTCTCCAGTGCCTGCTTTCTGGGCATCTCACCTGCTCCTGCATTCGGGTGCAGGGCAAAAAAGTGCTCCATCTAAAACAAAGAAATCAACTTATGAGATATTTTGACTCATTGCATAGTTGGATGGTCCAAAAATAAGGACATTTAAAGTGAAGTAAAAAAGAATAGAAAAAGAAAATCTCACCTTCCACAGTTGAAGATTAGAGCTGTATGTAGTTGTAATTCTGGCTGGCAGGCGGCCCAAATTTCTGTCATTGATAGTGTATCTAACAAGCAGCAGAGAACAGAGATCTTTATTATACTTAATCAACGTCACAAATCATGTCACCCGTATAGTTTTGAATGGGGGAAATTGTAATGGTCAATTTGGTGAATGAAGCCCGTCTTCAAGTAAAGGAGCAAATCATCAATCACTAAAGACTAGGGATGTAACGGTATTGTAAATACCGTCATACCGCAATATTAATTTTTTACGATATTACCGTAGTCGCATGACTCGGTAAAACTATAGGTCTTCTGAGAAAATTTGCTCAGGCGAATGAAGCGAACGGGAGGTAGCGAAAACTACAATTCCCATCAGCCCATGCTTGACCATCATCCCTTGCGGTCTGTTGTCGCTACAGATCCAGTAATGCGGAAATGGAGTGTGCTGCTAGAAGCGGGGATGAAAAAGAGCTGGAAAACTCTAAAGCGGGTGTTGTCGCCGCGCGCGTACTGAATAGCGGTGTTGTCGCGCGAGTTCTTATCAGCTGTGTTGTCGCCCGCGTACTGAATAGCGGTGTTGTCGCGCGAGTTCTTATCAGCAGTGTTGTCGCGCGCGTACTAAATAGCGGTGTTGTCAGAACACTGTTCAGATTGATGCAGACATGAGACCTCTATCTCACTCATGGTTTGTCCTCTCAAGTGGGGGAAAGACAATGCACAACGTTACCCACTGCTGTCAACCTGGGCCAAGTCATATCTCTCTTGTCCCAGAAACCTCAGTCCCAAATGAGAGGGTTTTTTCTGTTGCAGGGGACATTGTAAATACCCAGAGATACCAGCTTTTACCAGATTATATTTATATGATAATTTTCCTTTAAACCCATCTTTATCTAAGTGAGTGATTAAATGTTGAATGAGATGAGTTTTCAACAAAACTAAATTGAAACTTTATTTTTTTACATGGTTTAATATTTTTTTGTTATTAAAATTGAAGTTCCTGTTTCAAAGCTTACAGATAGATGGCTAATTTGTATGTCATTGACACTTTTGGCACTTTTTTTGAGTATTTTCATAAGTTTTGTTTTTTCCTGTAAATAATTCAATAAATACCGTACCGTGACATTCATACTGAGGTATTACCGAACCGTGAAATTCTGTCACCGTTACATCCCTACTAAAGACGGATAATTCTCCAGGAAAGGGGCTCAGACCAGACGTGTGTTTTCTCAACCGTTTCTTAGCTGTTATGCACTCTCTGGAATCAGCAAATGGTATGAGCTGGTCTGAGTATTTCAGAAACTGCTGAGCTACTGGGCACAATAGTAGCTCAGCTTCACGCACAACCATCTCTAGGGTTTACAGAGAATGGTCCGAAAAAGAGAAAATATCCAGTGAGCAGCAGTTCTGTGGGCGCAAATGCCTTTTTGATGCCAGAGAACAGAGGAGAATGGCCAGACCAGTTAGTGCTAATTAAAAAGACAACAGTAATTCACATGACCACTCGTTACAACCGAGGTATGCAGAAGAGCATCTCCGAACGTACAACACGTCCAACCTTGAGGTGGATGAGCTACAGCAGCAGAAGAACACACTGGGTGTCACTGCTGTCAGCTAAGAACTGGAAACTGAGGCTACAATTCGCACAGGCTCACCAAAATTGTACAATAGAAGATTGGAAATATGTTGCCTGGTCTGATGAGTCTCCATTTCTGTTGCGATATTCGGATGGTCGGGTTAGAATTTGTCATCCTGCCTTGTAGCAATGGTTCAGGGTGGTGGTGTAACGGTGTGAGGGAAATTTTCTTAACACACTGTGAGCTCATTAGTAATAAAAATAAATGAATTAAATTAAATTAAATGAATGAATTGCATTTGAAAACAAATGTTCTCTGGTTTTGTTACTTGGATGAAACAAACGTGAGGTACAGTCTGTCCTGTAAAACATGAACGCCCACAAACTTGTAAACAAAGAGGTTGCTGTCAGAGAGGCAGGCAGGTGATTTACCATCAAGACCAAATTGGGATTTACTTCAGTAGACCAGTACGATCGAAGGAAGCATTCAGAGGAAGCATTCATATGATTATATGTGTAAAACGCACATAAACGAAGTTGGTGTCGTGATTTCATTCCCTTCGGTTGCGCAAACGCGTTAGTTTGGGCAACCTAAAAAAAATGCCAACTTTGTTTAATACATTTAGAAACTAAACGTGAGAGACAGTTGATGTTTAACATTATTGGCGATTCCAAATATGAAATTTCTTCGTAAGCTTGGTAAACAATTTAGGAGAATTTGATGTTTCCCCATTCAAACAAAATGTCCAAGCACGCCCATGAGGTGTTTCAAAAATGGCGGCCAACTAAAATGACTTGCTTTAAAGGCATTTTTACTCAACACAAGTGCTGTTTTTAGTTTTATTTCAGCGGTTAGATGAACTAACCTGTTCACCAGGTAATCCCAGTTGAGCGTCATCCAGTCCCAGGCCATAATTTTACCATCAGAGCTTCGTGACACGTATTGCACTAAAGTAAAAACATCTTGACTCCTTATGATGCTTTCATTTTTTGTGGCTTCAAGCAACCTGTTAGAAAACAAACATGTTGAAATAGTTTCAATTTATATCAATTCATTAAAAATTAAGGCGGAGCTCAGAGAACAGTACAAAACAAACAAAACAGACTTCTTTAACACAGATGTTGCTAAATCAGATACGATTGCGGCCTGAAGTTAACAAGAATTATTTATATTATTTATTAAAATTCCCATTTATTGTATTTTATTAACATCTACCCCTACCCCAACTCTAAACTCAACCATCACAGTACTGTTTAAACCAGTGGTCACCAAACTTGTTCCTGGAGGGCCGCTGTCCTGCAGATTTTAGCTCCAACTCTAATCAAACACACCTGAACAAGCTAATCAAGCAGCTCAGAGGTATACTTGAAACATCCAGCCACGTGTGTTGAGACAAGTTGGAGCTAAACCCTGCAGGGACACCGGCCCTCCAGGACCGAGATTGGTGACCGCTGGTTTAAACCGTAGTTGTACAGAATATTATTTGTTATTTATTACATTTCCCAATTATTGCATTTGATTAACACCTACCCCCAACCGTCACAGTACTGTAAAAACATTACTTATTGTTATACAGTGTCACAAAAATCATGCTATATTGATGTGCGTTTCCGCAGCTGTATCCTGTATAGACCTTAGCCTTTAACACTGCTCAAGTGTACGTTTACCTATGAAGCAGATGAATATTTTTGACTGAAGCCAGACCATAGAGCAGCTTATCTTTCTCCTGGGCCAGAGTGGCAGACAGATACTTCTGGAACATGATTTCCCAGCTCTCCTCTGTTCCTGAGTTCATCATGCCGTACCGATATACCAGCAGACGCAAGTTCACAGGCACACTGCTGCTCCCCAATCAGAGAAAAAAGCTTATTTAATACACTCTCTAGACATCTTATGAGGCTTTATGTACACACGTTTACCCGATTGTTCCTTTAATCCATTTATTGAAAATATCAGAGGCTTGGTCAAGAGCTTCCTGGTCACCCATTTGACATGCAATGCCCAAAACGATCTCTCTCAGCAGCCTGAGGAGGAAAAAGAAGAAGTTTAGTTTGTTGAGCTCATTATTACAAGCGTAGACATTAATGCTAATTCATGTTAAAAACATACTCGCAATGTGCTTATTCTAATAGCAACATGTTAGTTTATTCAAGATGCAACATGTTAAATTGTTACCTATGCTAACTAAATGCTAATTCATGTTAGAGATCACAAAAATGTTAAATGGTTTCCACAAAAAATATGGCCAACCATCAAAATTTAACCATGAAAACCAAATTAGAAAATAAAAACATATTTTTATGTATGCAGAGAGTAAAACTCTAGATGACATTAGAAACTGACCTCAGAGAACTTGATCCTTTGTTCACTTTAACAAACAAAGTATAACAAAGTACAAATTTTAATCAATAAAATAATTTCAATGGTTTCTACAGTGTTTTTTTTTTTTTGGACATACTCCATTAGGATTTATTTATTTTAACATGCCACTAATAGAAGAATGTAACAAATTACCAGCAGAGACCCACAAAGACCCATTATAGTTACTATGGTAACACTTTACAATAATAGTATATGAATAATGATGTATTAATTCATTCATTCATTTTCTTGTCGGCTTAATCGCTTTATTAATCCAGGGTCGCCACAGCGGAATGAACCGCCAACTTATCCAGCAAGTTTTTACGCAGCGCATGCCATTCCAGCTGCAACCTATCTCTAGGAAACATCCACACACACACACATTCACACACACACTCTTACACTACGGACAATTTAGCCTACCCAATTCACCTGTACCGCATGTCTTTGGACAGTGGAAGAAACCGGAGCACCCGGAGGAAACCCATGCGAACGCAGGGAGAACATGCAAACTCTACACAGAAACGCCAACTGAGCCGAGGATCGAAGCAGCGACCCACCGAGCTTCTCGCTGTGAGGCGACAGCACTACCTACTGCGCCACTGCGTTGCCCTCCTTTATAATATATTATGTACAATAAAGCAGTATGTGAGCCAAGTGGTAAATCCAAAATTCATTGTAACAGTGAGCAAGAATTAACAGGTACATCTCGCTTACAATTTTTCAAATACAATGAATTTTGACCCATATAATACCACTGAGATTCTGAACATCAAAGATTATCATGAAAAAATTTACTCACACTGTAAAGAAATTGATATGACAACAAATCATTACAACAAATGTTTTATATGCTACTTTAACTTATTTTAATAAGTTAATAAATTAAATGCAGCTGCTAGATTCAATTATAATAGCAGGAAACATGACCACATTACCCCTATTCTAAGGAGCCTCCATTGGCTGCCCATCCTATTCAGAATTGAATTTAAAGTACTTTTAATGGTATATAAATCCCTTCATAATCTAGCCCCAACTTATCTCTCAGAGCTGTTGCAGTTTTACACGCCTGTGAGATCTCTTAGATCAAGTGATCAAAATCTTCTTTAACTTCCTCAATCCAGAATCATAGAGGGAACTGAGCTTTTTCTGTGGCCGGTCTGGGGTTACGAACACTTTGCTTATTGACATTAGAATGGCTCCATCACTATCTATTTTTACATCACTATTAAAACTTACCTGTTCTGCTTGGCCTTAATGTTATTGCAACAGTCAACCAATTGCTTATTTTTTTATTTATTAAGTCATTTCTCTTGGTTTATTTTATTATTTTTATAACCTGTCTCTATATTTTACTCCGTCTTATGCACAGCACTTAAATGTGCTTCATAAATAAATGAACTTAAACTTGAACTTGTTATTCAAGTTTTATTATTCTTAACATTTTTAGTGATTTGTGATTTGACTAATAGGAGTTGAGAAAACTAGAATAGTCAATCCAATATATCTAAAGAATAAGAGACATGCATTAAATTTACCAAAAGCCAAGGCACCAAATATCAAGCAAAATACTAAGACATTCGTTTTTTGTTTTTTTTTCAATAATAACATGAACTCCATTTTAAGTTGGAAATAAAAAACTGAATCCAAAATCCAAAAGTGACAGAAATTTTCACTTGAACTCTCAGACATATGGACGCCACTGTATATGTGATAACATTAACAAAATCAAACCATTTAGCAAATATACACAAGATTTTTTTTCTCCCAAAGTATTCTCACCGCTGTGTTTGATTCCCCTCATCCTTCCAGCCAAGCTCTCTGGATATCTTCTGCACGTGACCCCTGAATAATTTCTAAACAGATATGATGTGAAACAGAAAACGTGAAAAACAAAACACATGAACAATTCACATCTAGAAAATGTTTATCCAAAAAAATCAGCTACAAATCTCACACTGGGAACAAGTCCACATTTTGCATGATTTTTCATAAAAAGACAGGTCTCCTGCTCTGGAAGTTATAGTAAAGACTTTGGAGCCCAACCTGAAATAAGGGGTACAGCACTGTATCATCAGCCAACATTTCTCTCACGTAGGAGATAGAAGCAGAAACTCGATCCCACACAATATATTCGGTTTCGTCAGCCAGATATCTTGTTAAATTGAAGGCATTCCCGTAATCAACCATATCTGCCCTGTTAATGCAAAACAAAAGGCGCCACTTTAAGCATGACTTCATCTTCCTCACTTTCTGACCTCCACCACTTTAACCATAAAAAGCTGTGCTATGTAAACTCAATTTTTCGCCTGTCATCAAGTTGATATTAAAAACACAAGCTCAATGGGGTTAGAAAATGTTTGCACTCACCGTCCTAATGCGAATATATCATCAATGTAGCTGCTTCTGTCAGTTGCATCGTAGACCTAGGAAAATAACATTCATTCAATCATTTTCTCTTCGGCTGTGGCTTCTTTTCTGTTAGTGCATTTCTAGAATAAACTCGCTTGTTGATAGCTTGTTTATGATGTAGCAAGTTTAATAAGCTTCTAGCAGAAAATAACACATTTCTAGCACATTTTAACAGATGGCTAGCATGCTTATAGCAGGGGTGCCCAAACTTTTTTTTTTATGAGGGGCCAAAAAACTAATTTGATTGAGGGCTGTGGGCCGTTTCCTAATATTTAAAAAGAGGTATAAAACATTGCTTTAAATTATCAAAGATATTCGCCCCAACCAGCTCCCTATCAATCTATCTTCACAAATGGGATGGTAGGTCAAATTAAAAGTTAGAATGGGCCAACTTTGGCCCGCGGGCTAGTTTGGGTATCTCTGCTTTAAAGGAATAGTTTACCCAATAATAAAAATGTACTTTAAAAGTTTTCTTGCTTCTGTTAAACACACAATAAAATACTTTTTTAAAAGTTTGCAAACCCGTAGCCACTGGTTAAAACACAGGGAAGTCAATTGTTGCAGTATTCCAACATGCTTTAAAATATTTTATTTTGCTTTCAGCTGAAAAAAAGAAACAAGTGACAATTTTTTAAAGTTAACTATTCCTAAAATATGTCAGAAGCATTTTGCCAGCTTAAAATAGCATGCTTCTAGCATGTTTTAACCATAGACTGTAAAAGATATGGACGTAGTATCCGTGACATCAACCATAGGTTTCTGAAGAAGACGAAAGAAGCTACAAGGAGGCCTTGCCACTCATCGCCATTTTGTTCGTGCATCATCGCACCGACCGGAGGATACCAAACAAGGGCAAAAAAGCAGAGCTACAGACGCCTACTAGCATTTTACTTAGACAAGCTTTTCTTTGGGAGAAATGCTTAATACTTACAACTCGTTTTTGTTCATGCAACTACTTGTGCTTGGTTGTACACTATATCAATAAAGTGTTTAGACTTTTAAAAACACTGTTGTAATACTTTAAGCCACTAAGAACTGTTCTTATGAAGTTTTTCTACAGGAGAAAAATGAAAATTACTTCAAAACACTTCATATACAGTCTGTATTAGTAATTGCAGGGCTACTTATGAAATCCAGGCATAACACTGTATGACAGTGTTTCAGATGACTGTTCTAGAGCCTATATAATAAAATAATTAGAAAATATAATAATTTCACTCACGTGGGAAATGGTTAGTGAACACAATTAAATGCACACAGCATGCCATATCATCTGAAAATTGTAAGAAATGCTTCCAAAAAGCAACTGACTGTGTAAAGCCACATAAAACAAAACAAAAATATAATGTCCAGTATATGCTGAGTTCATCGGCTAATCGGCCAGAATCAGCTGGACGGCAACCAGCAAGACCTAGCTGTCGCTCAAGTGGCCACACCCTTAATTATGCAGACTTAATATAACTTAATAAAAAGGAAACGGATGAGTTATAAAAAAAAAAAAATCACCATCCTCACAGTTGTCATAAAGGGTAATGTTAGCTATATGGACCAAAATCATTCTTTGTACCAGGCTGTAAACACCTTTACAAGGGAGAGCGGGAGGTTGCCACTTGGTTTAACACATGGCCAGCATCAGGAGCATACTTAACCAATAAGCGAGGTAAGCAGACGCTTAGTGCCCCGGGGAATTAGGGGGCCCCGACCAATATAAAGAAGCCTATATTAAATCATATAACGTTAGCTTTTTTATAAAGTTATGTTGTAAAATCTGTCTATAATCATTAAGATTTTAACATTATTAGCCTAATTCTTTTCAAAAGTGAAACGTTCCTTCCGTATAGCACATGCAAATATCAAAATCTAACCACAAATATGGCTAATTAGCTGTACATAGTTTGTTAACTTAATTTGTGAATTGACTGTTTTTAATTTTACATTAAGAAGATAAATTAAGTTTCCACTTAAAATATACTTTTAAACATGAGAAAACAAAACAAAACCAGTCAAAACAAAGCTACATAGAAATAAAATCTATAGAGAATGAGAATCATGTTTTGAGTTTTAATGCTAGGGCCCTATACCTGGAATTGCTTAGGGTCCACAAATCACTACATTCAGCCCTGGCCAGCATGCAGTTGTTAGATTGTTAAACATTTTGCTGGCTTGAATTGGCATATTGCTAGCATGTTTCTACCATCGACATGCTTGATTTGAAAAGTCATGTTTCAAGCATAGCATGCACACTGCATGTTGCATATTACTAGCATAGCTTAACATTATGCAAGCATAAAGTAGCATAACTTCTAGCACTTTTTAGCACTTGCCAACATAATTGATACCTGATGATCCATAAGAAGTTGTTCAGCAATATCGCTCCACATTTGGTCATGATGATTTACTCTGTAGAAGCCCATGTGGTCTTTGTTGACTTTGATAAGACCATTGGTAGCATGCGAGTATCCACTAATGACTGCCTCTAATTAAACACAGACCAAAGAAATTACACAATGGAATACCTCAATTAATAACAGTGTGTAAACTGTATAAGTTATCTAAGCTTTTTTACCTGTTTGTCCTTTTTCAAATATAAAAGAGTTGTTTGTGGAGTCAAGTGCTTTCCATTTCACTGGAATAGTCCATTTATACCTGTGGAACAAGAGATACATGATCACAGTGAACTAATAAGCTTTAATTGGAAAGACATAGATTAATTCAGATTAGTAATTAGGTTTAAGGTGGGTCATAAGTCAGTTTTGATTACACTTTGTAGTGTTTTTAATACAATTTTTGATTCAATTTATAGTATGTACTATATCGTCATTATAAACAAGTCATAGTAATTATTTTGCTTATACTTATATAAAAAGACTAATTTAATAAGCAATAATAAGCAAGACAATTCTTAAACTTTTTGCTGATAATTATTTGTAAAAACTAATAGGAACTTAATTCCTTCATGTAGTCCCAACATAAAATCGATTGTGTGGAATCCAGATTTTTTAGTGTGTGTTGTGCCTGTGTGGTTAATGGTGACTTGACTGGATTTGCTGTGCTGGATTCCATTAACATTTTATTTTTTAACAAGAGGGATGTGGGATCATCAGTCTTACCCCAGTGGAGTGGTGGGCTGACTAGGGTCAGCATTAGGGTCCAGAAGAAACCTGGTCTGCGTGAGTTTAGCTTCAGTGTCTGTGTTGGTCAGACTGAGCACTGGATAACCCATCTGCTTGGTCCATGTGTCCATAATGTCTGCCACGGGTAAGCCACTCTCCTAAATTATGACCCAAGAGAATATACAATGTTTAAATGTTTTTGAACTATGTCTGCCTCTATTTAATAAAAAAAAAAATATTCAGGGGTGCGTTTCCCAAACAACGACATAACTCGCGGCTAAACTATCAAAGTGCGATGCATTGTTTGGGAAAAGAATGATGTAGTGACGAGTGTTTCCCAAAACCTGTAGTTTTTCTGTTGCAGATCCATCATTTGAATCACGTTAGCTATTCGCTTGTTAAGTGTGAAGTCACGCGGAGCGGCTTCCGGGTCCAAGGGCTCTATTCAACTGAATGGAGAGATTCATGAAATGGTAATAATAAACGTTTACAAACGATTTAATACATTCGAAAGTCACGATCGCAATATATATGTCCATGCCTAATATCCTATGACCAGAAAGTGATTCATTGTTTTATAAATTGTTCAAATTTTGGTATTTGTTATGCAGCAAGCCCAGAGATTGTTGTGTACACTATGACTTTATGTAAAATTAACTTTAATGTGTGATAGGAATAAAACGCGATCATAAACGAATGATTTCTCCACTCAAATGAATGGCGGCTTGGACCTGGAAACAGTATACATACGTCACAAACACATCACCACTTAACAAGCGGATAATGTCAAACGCCGATAATGATGCTCTAAATGGGGTGGTAACAACTTCTTTAGAGAAGAACACCAAAATTTCTAAATTCAAATTATATTGTTTTACACGCACACGAATTAAAAAAAAAAAACATCCAATATTAGTTGTGATAAAAACATACACTCATTTTACATAATAATTGAAATAAAAATGGCACATACGTTTACTTTACAAAATATTGTATTATATTGTATATTTAAGAACATTATATATTCTATTCTTAGACATAAAATCACTTACAAAAGCTAACATGTATTTTAATCTCATATATAAATCACATGAATAATAATGAAAATAAATAATGAGGTTTTTTTTCTTTAAAATTAAATTTAATATTTATTATTTATTAGGATATTTTAAAAAAACCTACTTTAATAATAATAATGATGATGATGGTTATTATTATTATTATTATCATTATTATTATTATGAAGTAGGATATTGTTCATTTATTATTTTTTTTTAAGTCTACTTTTACAATTTGACACATTCAAGCCACTGCAGAAATGTTCTAACCAACAGGCCCATGTCATATACTGTACAGTACAGATACTTAATAAATAACCTACTATTAATTAAAAGCATTAACATATGCTATATATTTTGGAGACGTAAAATTCTGCTTTTAAATAATAGGTCACCTACAGCTTTCGTCATGCACAGCTGTGTTCAAAATGACAACAATGTTTTCAAAGTGCACTGCGAAGGGACCGCAATTGTAAAGATGAAAATTGCTAAAACTGAACTGTAAAAATACTTTGACAGCAAATTACACCTAAGAGAGATGACCTTAATGCTTTTTTTAAAAATAATTCCAAGTTTAAATGTTAGAATGTTCTAAGGAAATAGGGGGGATCACTGGGAACAGAACACAGCCAGAAACTATGTTTCGAACTACAGCTCAAGAGGTGTAGTTGCAAGCGAACAAGTTTGCAACGCAGTTTCCAAATGTTAGTTGGAACGATGGATTTAGGAAACGCCAAATTAACAAACTATGTTTGCAACGACAGAACTTGCGACCTTAGTTGGCTAACGATGGTTTTCAGAAACGTACAATTACAATTTAAAGTAACTGCTTTCCATTTCTAATGTGTTTTAAAAAAAGGCTTTTTCAACAGTCCACTCTAGTTTTCAGTGTCAATAATAAATACAATTCTTTTTGTTGAAGACATGATACTGTTGAAAGATTGCACAATAAGTTAAACTTAAGCTTGAAGATAGTTATATTATTAAAATAGAATTCAAATAAATGCTCATTGAACTTTTACCTAACAATAAATAATGAAAAATGTTTATAATGTTACATTTTTTAAATTAATTTCAAGGTTTATTCTGTAGCTGTATATGTATGGATTTGTATTGACTTTGTGGGTTAACATACAAGCATACTGTATGTACATGTATTTGTTTTATATATTTCTTGTATTTAAACAATGATTTATATACATTTTAATTTAAAATTACATTTTATTTTTCCAATATAAATAATAATACCCATTATTAATAATTTAATATTTACTAGAATGTTTCATTATGCACATGGCTAATATAATTTAATTCAGTAAATATTAAAAATGGTTAAAAACTCTGCATTGGAACATTTTTCAACAGTGAAAATAATTTATTATTAAAAACTGACCATCAATAATAATTGAGATCTAAATGAGCATATGATTGATTCCTGAAGAGTCATTTGTCACTGAAGATTGCAGCAATAGCTGCATTTGGGGAATGAATAAAAATTTTAAACAACAGTGCTCAGCATAATTGAGTACACCCCACTTAGAAAATGAAAATTTTTATCCATTTCTAAGTGAATATAGGCAATGTATTTTTGGTGCGTTTAAACAAAACAGATTTATTAAACATATATAATTATTCAAATAGAATTTTAGTCACCAAACATATTTTAAAATTTTAAAGATAATACATTTAAATTCAAGGTAAATATTGCAAAATAAATTACAACCTAAAAAATTTCAACAGAATTTTTCTTTCTTTTCTTTTTTTTTTTTTTTTTTTGCTTCTCTTGATTTGTCCTCTTTTTTTTTAAATAAATTGTATTTAATATTTTTCTAAAACATAAATTTGGCTGTACTAGTTTATGGACCATTTTCGTAAGTTATTTTGCTAGATTAGCTCCAGATTTGGCTTCAGTACTGACTAATCCAATATATATGCACAAATATAATAGTGTATAGCTTCCTATTAAAATTAAGAATTTAAAAGAGAGATTTGGGAAGGGTGTACTTATATATGTTGAGCACTGTAGATTACATTGGGAACAAAATAATCTAAGAGAAAAGTGAACAATAATAAATAAAAAAGACTCCAAAAACATTAAAATGGGTTTTTACATCAGCCAAGGCTTTCCAGAAGTCTGAAGTCTTTGCGTTCTGGAAGAGGTAGGTCTTCAGATATCTCTGTGGTAAAACAGAAGTGAGATATAAATACAGAGCCACTGGAAAAAGTAGGTTAAAATGTGAGATGCCTTACTCGACAACCATCCCTAAATGTCTCTCGGCCAAGTAAGTCCTCCAGCATTCGCAAAATAGAAGCTCCCTAAAACAATAAGATCAGAGCAACTATTCAAAGCAAATACATTTGATAGATCAACACCAACCATCACTAACTTTACCTTACCTTGTTATATGAGATGGCATCAAACACAGATGTGATCTCAGCTGGGCTCGACACATCCACAATAATGGGATGCGAGGAGAGAAGGGCATCATCGACCATGACAGGATATACATCGTTGATAAGCATGACGTCACGCTAAAAAAAACAGAGTGATGTGGGTATAACATAACATCTTGATTTAAAGGGCACCTATTTTACTCCTTTTTCAAGATTTAAGTAAAGTCTTTCGTGTCTCCAGAACTTGTCTGTAAAGTTTCAGCTCAAAACCCCTTCCAGATTATTTATTATACCTTTTAGAATATAAAATTTTCTGCTCTAAACACAATGTAGCTGTTTCTGTTGACGGTGCCTTTAATGCTAGTTCTCCCTGCCCACCATTCCCACGTGCCTGTCAGAGTGTGCCTCAATCTCTGCCTCGGCTGCATCAGATGAACAGCACAGTGACAGACATGAAGGAAGCAGATCTCAAGTAACTAGCGGTGGGCTGGCTATCTGGCAGTCAGGGCAGTTTCCTACTGGCCCTGTTTCTTTTTCGGACAGACCAACCCATGTGGCATAATCTGCAGCCCATTTGGTTCTTTTTCTTTATTGACATCGGGCTGACCCAATAACCTTGCGGTTTTATAATTGGACTGCGGCTGTGGTAATAAAGTAAACACGGTAAAATTGCTGTAATTCATTACAGACATGCACTGTTTTTAAAAGTTTTTTCACACTAGGCAAACTGCTTAAAATGTTCTTGCTGGTTTTGCTGTAATTTTAGCTAAATTAGAGAGCTTTTATTTAAATTCAGTTACAATTTGAGAGCTGTTAATTATTAACAATTCTGCAAAAGAGCTACAAGATTTGTATTTACCTGTCTTCATTAACTCTTGACTCTTTTAAATGTTTAAACTTTTATTAGTAAGAACTACAACTAGAGAGCACAAATTAGATAGCTTTACTGAAAACAATACCATTATGTTAAATTGCATTATTGAATAATAAAACTCTCTAATTGCAATTATTAACTGTCAAAAAATTCAATTATTAAAAGGATAGTTTACGCAAAAGGAAACGTTTTGTCATCATTTATTCTTCACGTGACTTTCTTTGACTTGCACACCAAATAAGATATTTTGATGAAAACTGTAAACATTCAAATATTGACGTCCATCTATTTGCTTTTCCTACTATGGAGATAGGAAATAATAAAGACATTGTTAAAGATTTTGAACCACTTGAGAGAGAATAAATAGTGAGTAATTTTTTTGTTTTAAATGAACTGTCCTTTAATAGCTAGAGTTAAATTGTATGGAACATATGGCAGACATATGTATGGGAGTGCTTTCTAAATGTAATTGTTGCTGGTAATGGTTGGTTTAGAGAACTTTCCTATTGGCAAGTTACACTAGCCCAACTTTTTTTTTAAAGCTCTCAAATGTATTTTCTACTACTAATAAAAATGGAATTATAGATATGATGCTCATCACATACAATTTATTTCCAAACTGTTCAACCAACATTATGTGTATCTGTTTTGTGCTTCTGACAAACATGAAGAAAAGCTAAATTTAAAGGGATAGTTCACTCAAAATTGAAAATCATTTACTCAATCTTGACTGGTTTCAAACCAGCTTGAGTTTTTTGTTCACTTAAACACGAGCATACATTTGTGGAGAATGTTGAAAACTGGTTGACTTTCATAGTAGGATGAAGAAATACAATAGTTACCGCTTATCTTTTTTGTGTTTACAGAAACAAAACATCAACGGTAGTTAAATAATGACAGACTTGAAATTTTGGGGGAACTTTCCTATTAATACTCATGCAATGCGTCACGTGACAGTTTCTGTACTCACACTTTGTGTTTGTGCATTCAGAAATTTTCAGAGAATTCAAACTGACACGATTTAAATACACTTTCACACGTTGTTAACTGAGGCACAAACTGTAAAAGCTGCACCACTAGAAATGGAGAAGCAGCTTTTAAGAGACACACAGTGTTTTTTTTTTTTTATCCTGCATGAAAAGAGAATATACAGCACAGTATAATAAATGATCGCTAAGGGATTTTGAACCAAAACTTCACTGCACATTCTGGGAACACTTATAAACATAATCTTATAAAACATTATATGGACCCTTTACTTGTAAACCCTGGGTCATCCTAAACTCTGAGTAAACAGTATCCTGCCTTATCTTGCTTCACATTTCACACCGTTCATAATTTACCTAGGGTTAAAAATTAATCCTGAGTATGTACACTGATGATTTTCACCCTACAATCCGAAACTCTGGGTTAACATCCTTATTCACATATTTGCAATGTCATCAACTTGACAAATGCAAAAGCGTGCTAATTCAGAAGCACATTTAACTTGCTTCATACTGAGGTTAAAAGCTGCACTTAGTTTGATGATAACATGAGGTAAATATTGCTTATTAAAAAGATTATAATTGAATAATTAAGACATGTGCTCACCATTCCCCAGTCATGCTCAGCTTCTTCCACTCCAATATACTCAAAAAAGCTGGCAAAGCCCTCGTTCAGCCACAGGTCATCCCACCAGTCCATAGTCACAATATTTCCAAACCACTGCAGATCAAAACACAGAAAAAAAAAAACAGCTCCTTAAACAATAGACGTCAAAATCCTCATGCTTATTCCGTCTTATTTTATTCATTGAACAATACCTTTAATAAAAGGGTTTATTTTCATTTTAGAATGTTTTAACACACATAGTTAGCAAACGTTCCCTGAATTTCATCTTATGCACTTAAAACTGGCAGCACTAGGCATCAGACTTTGCTTTGAGCACATTTCCTTACAATGAAATACATGATAACATTAGAGCATCTATAAAAGTAGATTCTACACTTCTATTATTCAATCAAAACGTAAACATTTTAATTCTGATAGTTTTTTTTGGATTCCAGCAACCTTGGACCTGGCCATAAAATGATAATCTTATCAGCGTGCAATGTGACCGCAGTTATTATCCCCAAAACATTACTGCATTGAAAGCTTCAGAGGGAGTGTAATATGTAACCGTATGATAGCAATCTTTATGGTAATCATATTGTTCTCGGGCGGTATTGTTACTGTAAATTCAGCCTCTTTGATTGAAAACGCATTACAGGAAACGAGATGAAATGAGATGCAAGCTCAGCACAGGGTGTTCTGCCAAAGCCTTTGTTTTTAAGATGTGTGACTGGTTAAATATATGCGATTGTCCTCTGTCACTCCGCACAGCATCCTGGAAAGAACATCTGTAGTGTGCTTTTAAAGGGGTAGTTCACATAAAAATAAAATTGCAAATCATTTAGTGATCTTGGTGTTGTTCTAATGCTGTATTCACTAATGCTCTTTTCATTTCACAAAAACATAGATTTTTAAAGATGTTCTGATTGTGCTTGTCAATATACTGGCTGGCAATGTACAGTGATTAGCATCAAGCTTTGAAAAAACGTGCAAAAGTATCAACTAATAATTCTATGTGAAGGAAGGGTTCAGGACATATACAATAGAGTAAAAAAAAAATCATAAAATATATCTTAATTTGATGCATTACTTACAAAAATCCTGACACAGTTGCACTGTCATGAAGCTGTTATATCTTTAAAAAAAATCACACCAAACCACAGTGTATACAAAAACTCATTCACTGTCCCCCAGACCCACACAACAACAAAAGGAACATCGATCAGTCAGACAAAGCAAAAAAATATCAGAACAATCGATCCTTAATAAACAAGGCATGTGCGAACATAGTGGCGTTATTAGCACATCGATTCACTCTGATCAGAAAAAGCCAGCCTGATCTCACAAGCAAACTTAACTATTTTACGTTTTGTCAGTTTAGTGGCTAACTGGTACGAATTCGTGTTAGATTAGTCGTATAAAAATGTATGATTTTAAAAAAGAGGCGTGGCACCCAACCCCGCCCCTAAACCTAACCCTCATTGGGGGATGAGCAAATCATATTAAATTGTATGAATGTGAACAAATCGAATAAGTAGCCACAAAATCAAAAGAGTTTGCCGTGAGATTGCGTTAAAAAAAGCACACAAATTTTGATAAACCAATGTTAGTATGATTCAAAATATAAACCATGCACTATGAACAGGTTTACACATTTTATTTCCCAGGTAGCAAAGAATTCTGGCCCAGATTTGGCATAAAGCTGGCACAGCAGGCATTCCTCCGGCACTGGCATACAGCATATGGGCCAAATATGTCCTGCATGGGTTTGGCAGAGGTGGCAGCATCTTTAAGGCAACAAATAAAACCTGGGCCAGATATCAAATGTAGTATTTGGCCCAGATGTTTAAAATGTAAACGTGTGCCATGTTTGGTCTATCTTGACCCACTTTTAAAATACATTTTAATTATTTTTGAGTAAAGAAAAAAATTCTACCAATCGGTTTGTTTCGAGAAAAAGCGCGGTTTATAAAATTCATTGCAGTCATGACACACCAACATGTCTGGCCCAGTTCAAGCCTAGTTATGGGCAGGGCCAGACGGAATCTGTGGACGTTTTTTGCTATTTCTTCTGAGAATTTAGGTAAAAATCAGCGGATTTCTGCTGAATTATTTTGGGAGTATCATATCTAAATCCATAGTGTGTGAAATAAAAATTTAATCTTTTTAAATGTATTTAATGTATAAAACGCAAATCCAATTAGATTCAGTTTATTTAGTAAACAAAGCAAGTTTCTCACATAATATATCTACTAAAAGACATCAGATAAACATTTTCATATTAGTCAATAATATTACTGTTTTTAATTTAAAAACTGATTAAATATAGATTTACACACATTTACTCAAGCAAATAAACAACTGATGATGGCCTAAAAATCTGCGGCAAATCTGCAGAATTCCGTGTGGGCCTAGTTATGGGTTACTACCTTGGCTAAGACTTGGTCCAGATATAGTCCAGGTATAGCTCTTGTCTGGAAACCAGACTTGGTCCAATCATGTACAATAATTCACTGTAGCATGTGGGCCAAGCAAAAGCTGAATGTGTGGGTCAGATCTGGGCCAGGGACATTTTGCTATGTGGGTTGTTATGATGAGTGTTTGTCACATCAGACAAAGAGATTTTCAGTCTGAAGATTCTCAATAAAAATACTACAAGGGCTACTTTCTATATGTATTATATTTCATGTTCAATTTATCTTGAATTACCTAAACAGCGCACTGGTGTCCTATTTCTGAGGGGCCTGGAGTGAAGCATTTCTTAAATGTGCAGCAGACAAACAAACAAACTGTCAAGGTCAAGATATTTACCATTCTGTGATACTTTTGCATTTTTTTTTTTTTTTTAAATCTTTTACCTTTCAAACAATCAGCTGCTAAATTCAAATCTGCTTTCCCGCAATGGCTCATGCTCTGCTAGGGAAAGATGTGTGTGTGTTCAAACAAATAACATTCATTTTATCACTAATCTCAGAGTATATAGAGGAATCAGAGAGTGTAATTAAATACATTATAATACCTTTTTTAAGACTCTTTTCATACATTTTAAAACCTTATAACCACTTTTCAACCGGAAACACTAGCGTGATTTTAACTAACAGCATACATGCTAAATATTAATGTAAACTAAAACTAAAACATTATTTATATACTGAATAAAATTCTATTAAATCTAGCTAATTCAGCAGGTTGGCGCCTATAAAACTGCAGAAATAAGGGTGTTGCCTTGGTTTACTGCAGTAAATAAGGCAGCATGATGTCAAATCTAGTAGAATTTTATAGCAGATTTAATTCAGACAAACTTTAGCATACAACTAGACATTGCATAATCAAAGCTAATATAAAATTTAATACCTTGCAAAATAGCATTTACAACTTTTTCATACTTTTTAGGGGCCTTAAATTTCTCTACATTGATTTATCAACTTTTAATCCTTTTTAAGATCCCACGGACACCCTGTATCTATTATATCTAGCAAAACATAATATTCATGGTTTATAAAACATGCAGCGATGTCTATGAAAATGAAAATAATAATTATACCTTAACATAATCGAATTTTGTTCTTTATTTACATCTGATTTTTCATGTATTTTGGGAGAGACTGATGAATTACCATGTTGTAAATCCATCAGCTCCAATTTATCAGGAAAACATGGTGCCACCCATCATTGGTAAGTCAAATAATATGACTACTATTAAGCTGCATGTTCAAATGATGCATCACATGTTTTGACACCTTTTTGAACAACTATACATTAGTGGTGGGCCGTTATCGTTGTCAACGTGCTGCGTTAATGCAAGACTCTTATCGGGTGATAAAAAAATATTGCCGTTAATCTATTTTCAAAGTTGGTTTGCGAGCTGGGTCTGCTCTACGCAAGCTATGATAACTTTCGCTATGATATTTTAGAGCAGATGTATACATGACCAAATTGCACTGTAGGGGGTGAAAAAGAGTCTTTGAACCTGTGTGTATTCCTACTGTGAAATTACCACATCAAACGTGACGTGCTAACATGGATGCAGTTCACTAGAGTGAATCTGATTAATGTTAGCTACACATCTAACTATCAGGCACCTGTAGAATTTATGCATTCAAGTTAAACATATACAAATAAAATTGAGCGGGTGCTTTTTAAAATGAATGACAGTAAAGGAAAGTGTGACACAAAAAGTGCCCTTCTGGTTTAAATCAGCAAGATGCCCTTCTGGATCTTTCACTTACTTCGAAGACACTACTGACTACGCTTATATGGTCAACTGTAATAATCTAGTTATTTGCCTTAATAGACAATAAAATAATTAAGATGTTTATGGAAGTGCTTTTATGTAAGAGTTTCCTGTAATTTTGGGTGACTTTAACTGCAATTAGGCAGTTTTCACTCATGAACATTTCATTCATGCCCCCGTGACAAACTGGGGTATTAGACGCAACGAGTAAGGACTGGTGAGAGTGTTATGGAATTTTTTATCGCAAGCCAAATGAAAAAAAAAAAGTCCACATTTCGCAATGTGTGTGTGTGAGAGTGTGTGTGTGTGTGGTCCTTTACTGACAGCCGCATGTGTAGATCTTGTTGGAAAATATGGCGAAAAGTCCTACATGACGTTAATAGTTTGATTGCCGTGTTTACTTCCATAATGTCACTAATATATGCATAGTCCACGTCTTAATTTCATTTCTGTTTAGTTCAGTTATGGCTTTAGTCGCATTAAGGTAATCAAAATTCTGAATGCCTTCGGCAGAATTCAAATGAGCCATTTTAATCTAGATTAATCTAGATATATTCCAAGATTACAGTGAGATTAATCTAGATTAAAAATGAATCTATGCCCACCTATACTATATATGCATTAAACTAGGGCTGTGTTATTGGATAAAATCTATGCATCGCCATGAAAACTTTAAAGTGTTGGGATACAAATAATGATCATATTAAAAAAATCTCATGCAGGGGTAAAAATTATGTAACTTATTTGTGAAAGGATTAAAAGAGGCTAAAACATCTCAAATGTATCAAACATGTTCAGTTCAAGACAATTATCAGATTTCAGTGTTTGCTCTTTGTGTTGTAATGAAACAATAAAAAATATGAAGTTCCCCAAAACAAAAAAACTAAATGAGAGGCAAACAGGAACCACATGGGAAATTTCTGTTTTCCCTGAGGTGTTCTCTCTCCCTCTGTGCTATTAGTTTATATTCAAAACGATGCTGTATCTTTATCGTTATCATCATATTGTTCTTGACCTGGCTTCAGAAAGACAAATAAGATTAAGTTACCTGTCACACCAGGGAAAGTAAATCCTTTTCAATGAATTAAGTGATGTTTTATAAACACATTTCGGGAGGAGCTCGTCTTTGACGAGGCTAATTCATCACACACACAATCATTCTATTATACAATAAGCTCAAAAGCAAACCCCTATAATAATAATAATAATAATAATTCCTTACATTTATATAGCGCTTTTCTGGGCACTCAAAGCGCTTTACACAGTGGGGGGAATCTCCTCATCCACCACCAGTGTGCAGCATCCACCTGGATGACGCGACGGCAGCCATTTTGCGCCAGACCGCACACCACACACCAGCTGATTGGTGGAGAGGAGACAGTGATGCAGCCAATTGAATATGGGGATGGTTAGGAGGCCATGATGGACAGAGGCCAGTGGGCAGATTTGGCCAGGTATAAATAGTCAAACACATCATACTTCCATTTTCTCTCGACTTCAGCATCCCTCCACAACCCCAATTCCACACTATTAAACAGATACCTATTTAAATCTGAGGGGGGAGCTTTCTGGAGCCGGGCTAGACACTGCACTCGGACCCTATCTCTCTTTATCCTGATAAGGGGAATAACACGAGTTAGGGTGTATTCCCGAGCTCAAAGCCCTCTTCCCGGACAGCACGCCAAATACGCATATTCTATTAATTCTATTTAGTTAAATATCTGCGATTGTGAACTCGTGAATCTCTGTGAACAATATCATATGGTAGCTGCAGTCTGAATAAATGAAGAGCAAACTCCTAGCAACATGGTGCTACCATGATCGTAGCATCACAACTCATTATTTCAAACCAGTTTCTATCAGAACAGATATGTGAAATGTTTAATAACCTGATGGACAAGCTCGTGTGCAATGACACTGGCCACTCGCTGCTTGTTGACCGAGGATGACTCCTTCTCATCGAACAGCAGGTTGGTTTCTCTGTAAGTGATCAAGCCCCAGTTCTCCATCGCTCCTGTCCCAAAGTCTGGGATCGCTATCTTATCTGCAGCAGGGACAAAATGTATCTTATATTCCTTTGTGACATTGATCATTGCAGAGAGAGACATGATACAAATTAGCTGATAAGATAAAATGTGATATGAATCAGTGCAATTTGGATGAGATTGTTTTAAGGGTCAGTGAATGACAAATGAGAAGTTTTTAATAGTGGCTAGACTTAAATCTGCGATCTCTTCGTATAGTTTTGCTTGCATATGATTAAGAAAAAAGTTTCATTACATTGTCAAAAAAAGCTTAAAGAATCCCTTAAATTTTGCATTATAACCGGTCATATTTTGGTTTTGGGGTCTACAACAACAGGCTGATATGCAAGGTCAAAAAAGGCTTTCATTGTTTGTCCAAGTGATTTGCTTAGTGCTTTATTTGCTCCCAAACCCCTCCTTAGCGCGATGCTAATCTGCGTTAATTGGACTAATGACCCGGCCTGTTGTGATTGGTTGACTAGTTTCAGCGTGACACGCCCACCTCGGCATATTGTTCTACTCTTAAACCTAACCCCAAGTAATAACAACACACATTCAATACTAATCCACACAATGGCAAACGTTATACTATTTTATAAAAAATTGACCGCATAGCGCGTGTGAGTAACAGATTGCTGATGGTGGCCATAGCAAAGACAAATGGCAGAAGATCGCAACTTCAGAAACGCGTTTAAAACTGTAAAGGTAGAAGCATGGGTCACATTTTTAGGCGGTTTTGTATGCAATATGTGAATAGCCCCAAAAAGATTTAACCTGAGAGATACAGTACAAGCACTGCTCTATGGCAGATAAGTGATTACAAGCCGTGTGGGGCGATAACAAGTTAAAGCACACAAATAAGCACATATTTTGCAAACTACACAAAGTGAGACAACAATTATAATCACACTTACAAGTTATGATCCAGAGGAAGAAGAAACTGGTTCATAAGAACTGTAACAGTTACTGACAAAGTCCTATACAAGATAGTCTTTGCTGCTCCTTCCTTTATGGCAAACGGCCGACAAATGCCATGTTGCAGGATAGGTTATTGTATCAAAAATCCGAAAAATGACAGGAACAAACAGCACTAGGTCGGCTATACTGCGGTATTGTTGTGAAAATGAACTTTAACCCACATCTGACCCTCTATTTGTCATTGAACGTCATCTTTGTGTCATGATCAGTCCCGTAATCCCCCGCACTCCGCTAGTTTCTTAAAGGCACCTTCACGTCCGAGTAAAAGATCCAAACCCAAATTAATTAATTTTTCGACTATTTCGTGAAGGAATAAATAGTTTTAAACACGGTGGACTTTCAGATTTAAACCTCAGCTGGATGTTTTAATTCACTTAGTGCGGTGTTAAAGGTCATTTTCAAAAACCCATAATAGGGGATCTTTAAATAATGACTGAAAAGGAAGAAGATTTATTGGTTAAGTGATTGTCACCCAATATGGATAAACCGAATGTTGGGTTCATTTTTTCAATATAAATGACAGTTTGAATTTGTCCATATCATAAATGCTTAGGGAGGTTTCCCACATTATTTTTTATTTAGTGAACAGGCTTTAATATTAATAATTTAATAATAATTCAAAAAGCAGGAATAATTTAATAATAAATCAAATTCAATTTTTTTTATAATTCAAAAAGCAGGAATAAATAGTAATTATATTAACAGCTATTGCATTCTAATATTTTATTTGATGGTAATAAACATGTTAAGGAATTATATAAGGAAGTAATAAAACTATTCCCACTTACAATACTAAATAAATTTATTTTTAAAAAATCATTATTTTTAGAAGAGTTAAAAATTACCACTAAAATGTATTTTAATTTATGAATTTAAAGCTTTTTTTAAGCACTGGATTCACATCATGTATTAATTGTTAAGCCTTTTTTTAAAGCCAAAAACAAAATGATGACAAATTAGTACCTTGCCATTGCAAGACAGCTTACAATATACTGCTGTATGACTAAAACATATGTGCTATGTATTACCAAGTTTTTGTATTGAATATTCCATGTCGAAATATTCCTCAAAGTAATCGAATATGACCTGTGTGACATCTGCAGCATATGCAGCCGTGGAGATCTGCAAAGGCTGAGCATAGATCCGCAGCTGAGAGAAAGAGAGAGGAATTATGAAAATCTAGTCAGGAACTGTTCTAATTAATCAGACATTAAAACTCATTCAGTTAAACAATGAAAGAAAAGGCTTACCGGTATTCCTCTTTTCGAGGTCCGCTCCACAAAATCGAACTGATGCACCGCAAAACACACCAGATAAGTGCTCATCTTTACTGACTTCATGAAGGATGTTTTAGTCTTTTGTTCTGAAAGTTTTTCTGTTTTCTGTGACAGAGAAAATTAGAAGTTAAAGACCTATTTGGGAAACTGAACAATATATGGAGTTCACCATAGACATAGTTCACCCTAAAATAAAAGTCAGACATCATTTATTTTACGGGAAGTCCTTATCCGATCATGTGGTTTCAGACTCAATAGGAAAGGCACATTAACATCTAATTAGGATATATATATATATATATATATATATATATATATACAGTTGAAGTCAGAATTATTAGCCCCGTTTTGATTTTTTTCTTCTTTTTTAAATATTTCCCAAATGAAGTTTGACAGAGCAAGGAAATTTTCACAGTGTTTCTGATAATATTTTTTCTTCTAGAAAAAGTCTTATTTGTTTTATTTTGGCTAGAATAAAAGCAGTTTTGAATTTTTTAAAAAGTATTTTTGGGACAAAATTATTAGCCCCTTTAAGCTAGTTTTTTTTCCGAGAGTCTACAGAACAAACCATCGTTATACAATAACTTAACTAATTACCCTAACCTGCCTAGTTCACCTTATTAACCTAGTTAAGCCTTTAAATGTCACTTTAAGCTGTATAGAAGTGTCTTAAAAATATCAAGTAAAATATTATTTACTGTCATCATGACAAAGATAAAATAAATCAGTTATTAGAAATAGGTTTTTAAAACTATTATGCTTAGAAATGTGCTGAAACAATCTGCCCTCCATTAAACAGAAATTAGGGAAAAAAATAAACAGCAGCGCTAATAATTCAGGGGGGCTAATAATTCTGACTTCAACTGTATATATATATATATATATATATATATATATATATATATATATATATATATATATATATATATATATATATATATATATATATATATATATATATATATATATATATATATATATTTATTTATTCTCATTGTTGCAGAGACGCTATTGATTAAAAGGCTTTCTTTTATTGAGAATGTACAGCAATGATCTAAAATCTTTATTGCCAGTTATATTCAGGTAAAAAATTCAGGTGAATAATGAGAATATCTTATAGTCCAAAAAAGTACCATATATTACAATCTGCATATTAGATACTGAGCAGTTTATCAGTTGTCATATATATGACTTGTTGGATGCAGGAGAAATAGTCTCCCACTGTGCCATTTTTATCAATTTTTTTGTTTACATGCCTGCTGGGTATTTTAAATTGAGGTGCTATTTGTATTTGTATATATTTATAATTTATGTTATTTATTACTTGATTGTTCAAGTTACCTCACAGAGGTGCTCGTTGTGTTAACAGATTTGTTGAATGTTAAAATAAGGTGAATTAAATAAAAATAAGGAACATCCTGGATCTGTTTCTTCACTTTTCTTTATTCTTTTTTTATGTATTATAGAAGTATCGGATCAAGTATTTGTATTGCTTGTGGCAATGATCACTGAGCTTTTAAACAATGACACACAAATATTGTATGTAACCTCTTTTTGATATACATCTAGGGTTCAGGATATGGGAAAAACTAATTCAATGCATAATTTCATAAAAATTTTTAAGTGAATGCTAGATTATGCAAAACTGTGTTTTTGAGCCTCTATTTGCAAGGAAGTTTTCCCCAGCTCACCTCGAATAAGCATGTTTTGAACACAAAATGCATTCAGCATAGTTTCTTTCATTAAAGTAATTATACTTGTATTCTTGTGGCATAGAGTGCATTGATTCATTATGTTAACTTGTTCTCTGATACAGCATCTACACAGTAGATATGTGGAATAAATAAGTTCAAAGATTCTCCAGATTCTCCAGTTTTATATGCTCATATTTAATACAAAGAAATTACGCCTAAAATGAAAAGTTTCATCATATTTGGAATGGTAAATATTATATATACTGGATGTAAACTGAACTTTGACTTGTTTCCACAGTCGTGATCTACTATTTGTTTGTATTTTGTTTTTAGAAACAGACTCAGAAATATTTATTCAAATCTACATGATTCGGAAGTTGCTGAGACATTTATTTAAGTAAGTTGATGTACTTAAAACAGAAACAGAATATCGAGTAGGTGGTGGGACTTTTTTTGCACATTTCCTCATAGCAAACTAATGATGAAGGGCGTGGCTAAGAATATTGTGGCTGAAGCCATCAAACTGACTTCATCAGAGAAGTGTTTAGATTGATATTGAAGATTACCAAAACAACTTTTTTAGAATTAACCTGCATGGATTCATTTTTAACCAAAAGAATAACAATGAGCACTAGCAAAAAAAAACAATGTAAATTATAATTTCACTTTAAACACTTGCACTGTATTACAAATTATTACGCAAATGACCATCCACTACTCCATCCCTCTGGACCCTCCTGGGTTGCACTAAATAAGACTGTTTGAAAATCTTCATGTATTTCTGGGCCAACTGCAACTGTTTCTGCTTGTGAGCATTGGTTAGGGTTGGTTTGGTTATATGCACAATTTTAAGCTTTTGGAGGATCCTACACCTTTCAGTTTACGAGTCTTCAGGGACACCAACAGTTTCAAATAACTTTTTGCTGCTTTGTAAGGGCATTTTAGCAGCTGCTTTTTTAATACAGTGAATATGTCTGACAGAAACCTTCTTCATTCTGCCGTTATCTGCACAAACCCATCTGTGCTTCAGCCACAAATCAGCAACAAATCTTTTCACACTTTGATGATTACGCATAAGTTTTCATGAAATATGTCTAATGTCTTCATATCTTGTCCAAAGCATTGCACTATTTGGTCAGCAGAGAGATCCTTCTTTTCCATATTGCTTGAAACATGTGGCTTTCTTAATAATGTGGAAGGTCCTTAATTAGTTTTCCTTTAATTGGGATCAACTGGCAAATTAATTATCAGGGGAGTCTGAGATTGATTTCAATGATCCAAAGAGCACCGAGACACAAGACCATTCGTGGCTTTTATGTTAAAAGAAAACATGTTACTGATATATAAATTTACTCTTCTTATTTTTGATAACATTGATAATTCATGGCATCTCGATCTGCCCTGCTTTTGCCCATTTTGTAAATCTTCCTTAATTTTGTTAGCAACACTCGTCTTCCAATGATCTTCCAATGATCCAAAAAAACAGTGCTAACTGACAGTATAGTCCCCATATCTATACAGGGGCAAAAGGATGCACACAGACAGCAGATTAAACACCCCCTACTGGCCTTTCTAGTACCCGTCATAGACCTAGTTTATGTGGTCTCCCACTAACCAGGCACAGTCCTGTTTAGATTCAGTGGGCTACCTAAGAGCTGCAGTAAGCTAGCTGTGTGCCAGATATAAAATAGTGAGCTAGCTATGCCAGATGTTTTTATATGTATTATCAAATACCATAATTACCCTTCCCCCTCAAAAAATGTTTTTCCACTTTTGGTCACATGGAATGCCTTTTGGGAGGGGCTATCGGGCCATCTCAATTTTTGCCCTGTTTTTGTCATTTGTAAATCTTCCTCCATTTTGTTAGCAACACTCGTCTTTCAAGAATCCAATTGGTTCCCAAAGGGTGAAATCATGCACCACCCTGCATTTTTGACATATAATGATATTGAATTGAATATCAATGATATTGAAAAAAAAAAGACGATCTTTACTTCAATTTCATGGTGACTTTAAATTTGATTGGCATAATATTTTGGAACACAGTGTATATTCAGCAGTTTACATGTGCTTGTTGCCTTATTAAAAACATAATTGGCAAATTTCATTATATATTATATATATATATATATATATAATATATATATTATTATAAAATGACATCAGTTTTTTCTGTTTATGTAATTTTTCTGCTTCCCAGAAAAAATTTTTATCAGTGTGGAATCACGAAAGTGCAGTAAAGCATATAAACAACACAAACCACGGGCAAAGTTAGTTATTCTGTAAATTTTGGTTTGTTTTTTTATTGAAAATGTTTGTTGGTAGATGACATACACTCACTGGCTACTTTATTAGGTATGCATGGCAGCAACTCAATGCATTAAGGCATGTAGACATGGTCAAGGCGATCTGCTGCAGTTCAAACCGAGCATCAGAATGGGGAAGACAGGGGGTTTAAGTGACTTTGATTGTGGTTGTTGTTGGTGTCAGACAGGTTGGTCTGAGTATTTCAGAAACTGCTTATCTACTGGGATTTTCACGCACAACCATCTCTAGGCTTTACAGAGAATGGTCCAAATAAGAGAAAACATCCAGTGAGTGGTAGTTCTTAGGGCGCAAAGGCCAGACTGGTTTTAGCTGATAGAAAGCAACAGTAACTTCAATGACCACTTGTTACAACTGAGAAGTGTATCTCTGAACACAACACGTCGGACCATGAGGTGGATGGGCTACAGCAGCAGAAGACCAGGTGCCACTCATGTCAGCTAAGAACAGGAAACTAAGGCTACAATTTGCACAGGCTCACAAAAATTGGACAATATAAGACTGGAACGTTGCCTCGTCTGATGAGTCTCAATTTCTTCTGCGATACTCAGATGGTCGGGTCAGAATTTGGCATCAACAATCTGAAAGCATGGATCCATCCTGTCTTGTATCAATGGTTCAGGCTGGTGGTGGTGGTATAATGGTGTCGGGGAGATTTTCTTGGCACACTTTGGGCCCATTAGTACCAACTGAGCATTGTGTCAACGCCACAGCCTACCCAAGTATTGTTGCTGACCATGTCCATCCCTTTATGACCACAGTATACCCCATCTTCTAATCTACTTTGCGCCATGTTGTAAAGCACGAATCATCTCAGACTGGTTTCTTAAACATGACAATGAGTTTGCTGTACTCAAATGGCCTCCACAGGCAGCAGATCTCAATCCAATAAAGCACCTTTGGGACGTGGTGGAATGAGAGATTCGCATCATGGATGTGCAGCTGACAAATCTGCAGCAACTGTGTGATGCTATCATGTCAATATTGACCAAAACCTCTGAAGAATATTTCTAGTACCTTGTTGAATCTATGCCACGAAGGATTAAGGCAGTTCCAAAGACGAAAGGGGGCCCAACCCGGTACTAGTAATGTGTACCTAATAAAGTTACCGGTAAGTGTATGTTGAATGGTATCATTCTACAATATTTTAAGAAAATTGATGCTGATGGCTATCCACTTCCATTATGAATGAGTACAAGCAGGAAGTTTATTAAAATTTCTACTTTTTGATCTGGAAAATGGGAAAAGCTTATGACATTGGAAAAACACCAGAGTGTGTAATTCACTGAATATAAAAAACATATGAATTTTCATTTTTAGGTGAACACATAAGCTACACATTAAGACTGTTGTGAAATCTCAAGCAGCAGGGAACGTACCTCCACAGGCATGTTGGACAGTGCTTTATATGTACTGTCATGGGTGATGGAGATTGTGTAGGTGGCCTTTTTGTTGGGCTCATCAAAACATGGAAAAGATTTACGAGCGTCCGTGGGTTCATGGTCTGTTGCAGCGATTTTCCTGTAAAAGATCAGAGCTGCGTTCATAAAACTCAACTAGCGGTTTACATTTACCTCAGTGACCACATGTGGGGAAAATCCAACCACATTTTCATCAACATCTAATCAAGTTTGATTACAACTAAATTAAACTCACCGCCGCTACTAAGTGTATGCGCAACAAAATTGATTTTGGTGGCCTTTGGAATTTTTCACAACACAAGTAAGATGTGATTAAAGTCATGATTAAAGACCCTGAGCAGTTACTAATTTTATCTCTTAAAAGCAGAGATGCCCAAAGTAGGGCCTGTGGGCCAAAGTTGGCCCATTGTAACCTTTGATTTGGCCCACCATCCTGTCTGAGAGCAGAGTGATGACGATGGAAAAGGTTGGGGTGAATGTCTTTAACATAGAGATCATCATTTCTAATTTCACATAAACTTTTTTGTTTGTTTTATCGCTAAACTACAAAAAAGCAAACTGAAATGAAATGTTTTAATTAAATGTTGTAAATGAATCAGATTTTTAAAAATATAAAACTGTCACTCGACAGATAGAAGACATTGGCGAGCAAATCAAGGCAAAGGCTAGTGTAATTCTGTTATAAATGAGATGCTTTTACTGTAATAAGTTCATTATAAAATGTAAACAAAATACTGTATTACAATTACTCATGTAAACTATATTTACCTTCAGCCCACTAGCCTCAATCAAGTTTGGTTTTTGGCCTTTTTATAAGAAAAAGTTTGGGCTGTTATTCAAGCTAGTTATTTTGATTTGAATCAACACAATTATTTTGATTTTATTTTTGGGACAACTTAGTTGTTTTATATTTAATCCACTTAATCCACTTAAATTTGCAAAAAAAATTATTAAGATAACTTAATTTGTGTTGGGAAATATGATGTAATTGTGTTAACACAAGCATTTTTTTAAAGTGTAATGTTTAAATAAATAATTTGAAAAAACTCTACATACTAAATCATCAATGTTTAAAGTCCTCGTCTCCACACCAGTTCACACCTGTTCAATTTTCTCTTAGTTGAAACAGTAAACGGTACATATGTATGGTAAATATCAGACATAATGACATAACTAATCTTGGATTAATAGTCAATGCTATGTTACTCATTGCAAGAGTGAGTCTATGAGTAAATTTATTCCAATTATAACTGGATTAAGTAAAGATCAGGGATGAAAGTAACACCTTTTTGTGTGAAATAATATTCACATTATCCAGTTTATACAAGTACTTTATTAAAGAAAAAAAGAGAACAATTTAATTTTAAACTGCCAAACAAAATACAACTGAAGAGTTCAGATATCAGTTCAGATAAAAACAACATCAAAGTAACATTTGAAGTGTGTCTCAGGCTGCTGTTTAGGTCCAGTAATTTCACTATTATGGCATGGAATATACTCTTTCCATTGCCTTTAAAGCAAAATAACAGAACATAAACATAAGTGTAGTGTATTTCATCAGGGCTCGGTAAGTTTAACATTTGTGGCCATTTCTGGCAAATGTAGATGGCTGCTGGCCCCAGCAGCAGGCTTTGTGGGCTCAAAACTAACAACATCTGACAGATTTCTGCAGGGACACCCCTGTCAGCTCTATGCTATCACTGCCTAAACATACTACAAAAAAACAGAAATGTGGCAAAAAAATCTATTTAAAAAGCTGAATTAGAGTTTGTTTGCCTTATAATAAGCTGTTACAAATATCCCCACCCCAGAAACGCCATAACATATACAGTATAACTTTTTTATGAGGGTTTGCGGTTGATTAGTGCTTAGAATCAAAATAGATCATTTAACTCATTAAACCAGAGAAAGAGAATACTTTAGATTATACAAATCCAAAAATGAAATCTACAAGCTTGCTCAAAGACACATCTGTGGGTTCAAAAAGCACTCGGAGTGTATGATAATGTTGATATTACAATATGTTGTTTTTAAACTGGTCAAATAGCTCTAACTCTTATAACAATCCCGATCTCCCCCAATAGCCTAGACACCGCTCAGTCATCTTATTTTATTCCAATCCCACAAAGTTGGGTTAGTAAATGCTACTGACAAGCAGCACTCTTGAATCGTTTTGCCAATTGTTGCGTTTTCGAGAGAGTCTGTGAGTGAATTGATTCAAATTCTGAATGGATTATACAGTCTAGAAAACATGCAAAAAGAACTTCTTTATTTTACATAATTTATCTCTTATTTACATAAGCATCACTTTCATTTGAGGATCAATTCTCACTTTTAACAAGTTGTTTATTTACTTATTTTTTTTTTCTGTTTATTTGTACTTAAAGGAACTCTCAGATAAAATAGAATCATTTTAGAACTCCCCTAAGCTTAAACAGTTTTACCATTTTTTTTTAATCCATTTTACTTATCTCTGTGTCTGATGGGAGATATTTTGGCTAAACTAAAATTATTGAATCAGATTATACCATTAAAATTAAATTAAAATAAAATTGACCAAAGTTTCCAGTTTTCCTATTTAAAGCTTGACCCTTTTGTCATTTTCGGGCAGAAAAAATATGATTATGAACTGCTCTCATTTCATTGTAATATTCAAGGAAATTTGCTGCTGTACCATGGCTGCAGCAGGTGCATTATTACAAAGTGCCTGGACATCAGTTAACATCCATCAATATAATGGAATGGCAGCAAAAGTTCTTGATTATTATGCCTGATTTAAAGCATAGTTCTTAGCCATAACAGCAACAACAACTCTTAATTTTCAATTGATCTTAGTGCACGATGTAACACGAAGGAACCTTTGAAGAGTGGAGATTGAATGAAAGTGCCGCCCATCAAGTGGTTGAGATTGCTTAGATGTTTAAAATAATAAACAGTAATTTCAAACAACGTTTTAAAGCTTCTTTCACAGCATTTGTATTGACTTTTAGTCATTGACTTGACTGCAGTATTGTAGTGGATTTTTAACAAAAACGGAGCATTGAAGAGGACAGAGTTTTATTTTAGTGCTCTCCTGTTCACAGCAAACTAATGTTATTGGCACACTACTTCTCCATTCTTTTACATTTTTTTGTCGGTTAAACACAAAATAATTGCTTGCTTCAAGAATGCCAATGCCATACAAACAGTGTAAATTTACCTTTGATGACAATTTATGGAGAAATTGTTCAGCTGTTGTTGACTGATTAGTCAACTTTGGTCCTTTGCGCATATAAAAACACTAGATATTTTAAATGTTTTAAAAGTTAAAGTTTAAGTGTTTTGCCGAGGTTAAAACGTATACGCATTTGTTGATCACTTACAGTTAGTTAGTAAGTAATTAATGTGTATTTATACAGTGCATTTATTACGTATGGCCATACATCCAAAGTGCTTTACAATCATGGAGGTGGTCTCCTACTCCACCACCAGTGTGCAGCATCCACTTGGATGATGCAACGCAGCCACAGGACAACAGCACCAGTGCACTCACCACACACCAACTAAAGATTGAGTGGAGAGACAGTGATAAAGCCAATACGGTGGATGGATATGATTGGGAGGCCATGATGGGTAAGGGCCGATGGAGAGAATTTGGCCAGGACACCGGGATAACACCCCTACTCTTTATGAGAAGAGCCATGAAATGTTTATTGACCACAGAGAGTCAGGACCTCAGTTTAATGTCTCATCCAAATGACTGCACTCACTGACAGTATGGTGTCCCTGTCACTGTACTGGGGCATTAGGACTCACTCTGACTGTTAAGTCCAACAGCAACATAGTTTTCCCATGTGGTCACTCATCCAGGTACTAACCAGGCTCAGTCCTGCTCAGTGAGTAACCGGTCTTGGGCTGCAGGGTGATCTGGCTGTGGCCATTATAAGTAATTTAAGTTGAAGACGATATAATTAGCCCTAACTAATATCTTTCATTTTTGCTATGTGTTGATGACAGTAGACATTATGCAGCTTCAATTTAAAGTCTTAATATGTTAATTAGATTAATTAGGCAAATCTGGTTAATTAGGCAAGTCATTGGACAACATTAGTTTGTTTGATAGCCAATTGGGGGAAAATATTTTTAGGGAGCTAATAATATCTACATAAGCAGTTTTACAATTTAAGTCCAGCCAAACTAAAAGAAATAAAACTTTCTCAAGAAGAATTAATAACTCACATGAGGGCTAATAATTTAGTCTTGGGTTGAATCTGACACATCATTTTTTAGTTTTATAACCCTCTAAAATATAGCATGAGATGATATTTAGTGATAAATTAGAAGTGTCCTTTAATACTATAGTGTTTTCGAGCTTGTTAACAATTAGTTTTTCATTTCTGAAAGGGAAAAAGACAAATAGAGCATGAGTTCACAGAGATATTATACTTCATGATTAAATAAGCTTTAGCAGATGTCGATCTCATTCTGGGCACCACTCTGCTTTCTTTCCACGAAATGAGGGTCCAGGTCAGTTCAAAGCATTTATTACAATTTCACACCATTCCCAAATCAGAGCTTTATCTATGTCAATGGCATTTTTCCCACATCAACAAAAATACTACATCATAGGGAGTGTGTTTGAGCACGTTGCATAAGAGTAAGATAAAAAAGGCAATTCCCAAACATTAAATATATCAGCAAGTGTTGCATTGTTCAATTCTTAATGTTGCATTAACTGCATTGGGGTTTTGCATCAGTTTTTTTTTGTTATCTCCCTTCCTCAGAGACTGTTTTATTCCTCAGAGGTCTCAGATCACTGTAGGCTAAATTCAGACATTCAGAGGAAGTGGACTCTTTAGTGTTTACAAATTGGAGGAGCCGAGATGTAGTTGTGAGACAACTGAGATAAAACATCTAAAGAAGTTGCCAAGACATTTGGTGGGAGATGTTGTAATGTGGTGAGAGATTGTTTGCATTAGTGAGATCCAACTGCTGAAGCCAAACAGTAAATCTTAGAAGGTTTTATTGCGCAGAAAGCAAAATCTAAAACTAGCAGGGCAACCATTGTGGGTCACTTCGAGTTCAGAGAGATATACCAGGGTCCACTAGTCATAGTGGTCAACATATTTGTAGCCAGGCCAGGTCACCTAAAGTTTAGGGCAACAGTTTTGTAGTACAAGAGTGACGATATGTGTTCGACTTTGAACAGGGTTGTAAAGAACTAGCAGATCTTGACTTTTGCTATACTCAAGTCATTATTTGACAACTGCTTAAACTGATTATTGCATTACCATGATAAAGATACTTTCTCAGTGTCTCCAGGATTATGTAGTGGCATTTTTTTATATATTAGCAGTTTAAAATAACTGATTTTGTGATGACTTTAAAAAAAATGGCATTATTTGAATCAATGCTTGTATTTTCATTTTATGGTCAGAATTATTATAAATAATTTTAATAAAATATTATATTTAAGACACAGCTTAAGGTTACATTTAAAGGCTTAACTAGGTTAACTAGGCAGGTTAGGGTAATTAGGCAAGTTATTGTATTAAGATGGTTTGATCTGTAGACTATAGAAAAAATATTGCTTAAAAGGGCTAATAATTTTGACCTTAAAATGGTTTATAAAAAATTAAAAGCTGCTTTCTTCTAGCTGGAATAAAACAAATAAGACGTTCTCTAGAAGAAAAATTATTATCAGACATAATGTGAAAATTTCCTTTCTCTGCTAAACATCATTAGGGAAATATTTTTGAAAGAAAAAATTCAAAAGGGGGTTTAATAGTTCTGATTTCAACTGTATCTTCTAACATCATCTAGTTATTTTTGCTTTTGATCTCATAAACCATTGGACAAAATTCTGGAGGGACTTCTGTTTATTCCTTACATCTTTTTAAACCTCCTAAATAAAAAAAATATTCATCACATTGTAAATCTGTCTCCTGCATTGCTTGGCAATTGAATTTAGTTAGGGAAAAACAAAGAAATGTAAAATAATTTCCACACACATTTTCCATGAATAATAATCCTATTTTTAAAAAGATTAAATAATTCAATGTGACACTATAGACTGGGGTAATGGCACTGCAGAAATATTTTTGTTGATTAACAATTTATTTATTAGGCTTACTGTATATTTGTAGGTGTGAAATATATTTGACCATCTTCCTCGTTTTACTGTATTAATGCTACCTAAAATTCTTTAGTTGAATCAAATTCAAACTTTTCTAGTCATCTCAACTCAACATCAGTTAAACTGACTAAAAAATATTAGGTTACTTTTTGTAAAACTTGTGATACAAAACCTGAATAACTGATTACTTAGTTAAAAAAAACATTTGTTGTTGTGACTTTTTGTCATATTGTTTGTTTGATTTTTTCAGTGTAGCTTATATACCAAATAATCTTACCAGGTAAATTTAGATCACAAATCATTCAATGACATATTAAAAGACTGCATTTAAGGATTACAGTGTAGACTATTAATACTAGTCATTGGGATTTTAAGTATATTTACTTTGGCACAATCCTTCTCTATCTTATAACATATCTCCAGCTTTTAGTCATCAACTAGAATCATGTAATAATAAACCCTAATAAAATCTAGCTTATGTGTTATTCTTTTATAAGTTCAATTGAGAATGAATTTGGTGTTTAATTTTTACATTAATATGTTAGTTAGGAAACATATTTTAACATATTTTACATTTCACAGTAAGAAAAGTTACTTGCATCCTTAAAGTAGACAATTTACTTGGATTCAGTGTGTTTTATATATATACTGTATATACTTTGTGAAATGTCAATTTTATTCAATTCATATATCTCATGTACAGTATTAACACCAATCGCACTTCTAACTGGACATGCCATCTAATCATACATGCATTCATTAATTTTCCTTCAGCTTAGTCTCTATTTCAGAGGTTGCCACAACCGACCGAATCGCCAACTTTTCCTTAATATGTTCTACGAAGTGAATGCCCCTCCAGTTGCAACCCAGTAATGGGAAACACCCATACTTTATTACATACACACTCGTACACTACGGCCAGTTTTAGTTTATTCAATTTACCTACAGCGCATGTCTTTGGACCGTGAAGGAAGTCAGAGCATGAAGAAGAAACCCACGTGAACACAGGGAGAACATCCAAACTCCTCACAGAAATGCCAATTGGTCCAGCCGGAATTCAAACTGGCAACCTTCTTACTGTGAGGTGACAGTGCAAACCACTGAGCCCCCGTGCCACCTGCCATCTAATAACCCAACTGAAATGCATTCATACAAAACAGATGTTTTTAAGTGCTTACTTGGTAACTCCATTCTCCTGATACGTGGTCCTGTAGAAGCCAACCAGAGAGCCATTTAACCAGCCCTGGAAGTGCAGAGTGAGGACGTAGTGTTCATCCGGCCCTGTAACGCTCAACTGCTCAGCCGCTTCCACAACCACGTACTCCTGCGGCTTGTATTCAAAGCATTGCTTCAACTTGACAGAGGTCACACCAGACGGGCTGCTGCGCTGTAGTGAAGGCATCACAGTGACAAAAGTGTCCCGGATGTGGAGCCACAGGTGCTGACTGGGCTGAGTCAGTTTCAGATGTACAGACACGTCCCCAGTGTAGATGTCCGTGTTGAGGTCAGGCTCCATATGCAGATCGTAATGGAACGGAAGAATGTAGTCAGGTAATCGGAAATTGCTCCAGCCGCCATTGGTGTTCTCAGATGGTTTGCATGGGCGATCATCAGGCACTTCTGTGGGTAATGGAGTTGGTAATGGTGTTTCCTTTTCGGATGAAGAATTCAAGCTTAAGCCAACTCCAAGTCCCACAGCTACACCTGTCACTACGATGACGGCACAGATGATAGCAGCGTGCTTTCCTCGGATACAGTACCGCTTTTCCTTCTTCTCGAAGTCCAGGCTTTCCATGCTGTCTCGAAGTCAGAAATGTGTACAAACACTCAAAGTTCACCAAGTCAGAACACTCTCTCCCTGCGAACCCACACACTCTCCTCACGCTTCTTTTTGCTAGCAAAGAGAGAAAACAGCTGTGTCTGGATTTAAAAATGCACACCGTCATGCAGGGCGGCCTGTGGGAGGCTCAGAGGTTAACGCGGGAGTTAAGTTTCAGCACAGTCCAAAAAATTGCTCTGATCCCTGTGAGGTCACAGCTATGCACTGGTCAAACGTCCAACGCCAAGAAGAGATCCTAAGCTGGTGTGTGTGGCAAGTCCTCACACTGAATCTCACGCTGATAATGCTGATATATTGGGAACAGGGGGATGAATTTGTACCGCCCTTCGGTTAAACATAAATCCAAATATGTTAATCAGCAGTCAAAGAAGAATGATCGCAAACAAGCATCCGAGAGAGAGAGAGAGAGAGAGAGAGAGAAAGATGTGGGGGAGGGAGGAATAGAAAAGCTGAGTGTAAACGGAAAGAGTAATTATGAGGAGAGGAAGGGGCTTATGAAAGTGGACTGGGGAATGTAAAGGTTAAGTGGTTAAACAAATTATATCCGGGATTTGTCTACATGAGTTGTACTGTAAATGATCCTTTCATTACAACATCTAACATTTTAAGAGACAAGTCTTGTGAGATTTTCTTTAGTTTTTGTACGATGAGCCAGAACACTCCTATGCTTTGAAACACTCCTATGCTTTACATGTTTGTTTATATAACTGCTGTTTTCATTTACAGCACATCTTTTTTTTTTTAGATAGATATTTAATATATATTGTTTAAACTGATGAACAGCAGCTATGCTAATTATCTTATTTGTTCTCTACTTCCACCATTGATGTGATGCAAGTCCTGTGAAGAGATGATGCCAACCATAAAGAACTTCTAGAGGTCTCCATAATCCTGGACCAGGCCATATCCTGAGCAAATGCTGTGGTGGTCATGAAAAAGCGAAGAGCATGAGACTGATTCCTGAAAGACCTAGTGTGGGCCAGCTTGAACACTCGCCGGTGACCAACTCACACCTGCAGCTTCTTCACGATAGTTGTCTAGCGTTCTCCAGCTTCCGGTGTCTAGACTGCAGCTCTGTACAAGAAGTTTGGCCTGAGAAGAAATGGTTGTGCCCAACTGAGCCTGGTTTCTCTCAAGGTGTTTCCTTGACTTTCATCAATTGGTGTAGTTTGTTCCTCACCACTGTCGTAACTGGCTTGTTTGGTTTGGGACCTGTGGAGCTGCGCAACAATGGATTTGCTCATCAGTGTTTGGACTCTGTAAATTGCATTGTAAAAGTGTTGCATTGTAAAAGTGATATAGAAATAAAGATGAATTGAATTGAACATGATGATCAAGCACAGGTTTATCTGTTATCATTGATCATTTCCTAACAAGGCCACATATTAAGGTCTGGGATTATAAGATAAGCAAACAATACATGTTTGTACAAAGTGTTTTGTGAGTAAAATCGAGGCGTGATTTCCCCCTTCCCCACCAGCTTGCAATCACATTGTACTTATCTTTCCGTAATTACGATGCAGTTGTTTAGAAGAAAACGGGAAGAGATGTGCTCTCGCTCAATGCAATGGAGCACACTTCTTTTGTTATATTGTGGAGGATTATTTTGAGTCATTTAGTATGCAGTGACACACGGCTGAATATTTCACTGAACAGATCCACCGCTTTTGTTACTCATAAATTTACAAGTCATCATGCTGCATGCATTAAAGATCTATCTTTTTAGTAAACCATACACACAATGCATCACATACAGTAAGTGTTGGATGCATGAGTGTGCTCCATGCAGGTGAGTGAAATTGACAAACTACCAGTGGGACTCTTTCTGTCTTAATACACCAGGGACTTTGTTAGAAATACTTATCTGTTTAATATGTTTGTTTTTATGTTTGTTTACGAGTACTAATTTCCTTTATAGCACTTCATTTTCGCATTGACATTTAGCTATGCTAATAATTTTCTTTGTTCGCTTTTCCACCAGGGGATGTCCATCCTGAGGCCTCTACACTCTCAGAACAAAAAGGTACAAAGTGGTACAAATAATGTTCCTTGAGCAAGAGTTTTGTACCTTTGTAAAAATTGTACTCTATATGGTACAGAAAAGACCTCTTATAGTACTGTTGTGTGCCTTTTATGGTACAACTGAAATGAAGGTACACAATTGTTCTCATTTAAAAGGTACAAAAGTGTTGAAGAACTCCTTCTTTATTACAATATCTATGAAAATAAATATGACAACTGGAAAAAGGCAAAGTGATTTTATAAATGAAAACATGAATAAAACATGAAAATTTAAAAGTATATCATGAAACTTATAAGCACTAATTATTAAGTTCTATAAAATACAACAACTAGTAAAACATACAACCATAGGTATTGTGAACTAAACATTTAAGGCATTTTAATAAATGTTTGTAAGTATTTTTGACACTGTTAAGGTACAAAATGTCTTGTCACTGTAGTGGTACCTTCATAGATCAGATTTGTACCTTTGATGAAGGTACTATATTGTTATCTGCGGGTTTTAAAGGGGTGGTCCAGAACGTAATTTTAAGGCTTGGTTGTGTTTATAAGATGTAAAGCAATGTGTGCTCATGTTCCACTCGAAGGAAATCACGTTATTTTTTCATATATCTCATTTTGATTATACACAGCTACTCAGCTAACATGAAAACGACTGTCAAATTTCCTAGCTCCTCTGAAAGGCCCGCCCTTAAGTGACTCTGATTGGTCATCGTCATAATGTGCTGCTATTCGAGGATCGGCCCCACATCATGCCCGTAAAAGCACGCGCTTTTCTGCTGTGTAAACCTCAGTCAACTTCCTGCCTGCTCACTAAAATAAAATCTGACAAGTGTCTGTAACGAGTGAAAATAAGGTGCGGCTCCTTTAAGAGATCTCGTCTTTGTGTGTGTCTGTGTGTGTCTATGTGTGTGTGTGTGTGTGTGTGTGTGTGTGTGTGTGTGTGTGTGTGTGTGTGTGTGTGTGTGTGTGTGTGTGTGTGAATGTTGTCTGCGTCTATGTGTGTGTGTGTGTGTGTGTGTGTGTGTGTGTGTGTGTGTGAATGTGTAAACTTTCTGTAACAAGCGCATGTGCAAGGGTGTTTTTTTTCTTTTTCTCTAATGCTCGGATTAAGTTATATTTTGTACTATATCAGTCACAAAAGAATAAAGCACAAGATGTGGGATGAGATCTGTGTGAGCCTTGATTTTATATTCTGCTGCTACCACGAGTCAGGTAAGCTAACCTGTATTTTTTTAACTCTATGCGTTACACGAAGTTTTTCATAAATATCCGGAATATGCAGGTGTAAATAATATGAATCATCCACATATCTTTTGCGACTTCATCATCTGAGATGTGAAACGCATGAAAAAGGTGACTGAACACAATCAATGCAGTCGCGCGTGCACACACATAATAGACACGAACATGCTGGTGGAGTGTGTGTTTGTGTGTTTACAGCAGTTAGACTGAAAAATATGAATTTGTAGCTCAATTATTTGCCCACAAAGCAGCATTTTGCATTGTTTACATTGTTGCTACAGCATACCGTTAACGCTAGACACTGTACATGTCATGTTCAATTTTAACAAATAAAAACACTTACAGGTTGTAGTTCACAGCTTCTGCTTTGAGGAGATTTTAACCGAATCCAGCACTGAACTGGAAGAGATTCTGGAAGCTGTTTTGTCAAATCATGCTTGCTGTGTATTTTATAATTCTCTGGAACATAATTAATATTGAACTGTAGACACTTCTGTCTTTGTGTCGTGTCCTTTGGAAGCCCAAATATAGAAGCAGACGAAGCTCTGTGGAAACTTCAATGTTTGGACGCATTTTTAGCTTCATCTCTGCTATAACATTACAGCGCCTCTGGCCACGGCCCTTACCTGTGCAGTTTGTATGCGCAGTAAACGAACCTTTGTGATCTCACAGGGGGCGGAAGTATTTTTTGTAGTGCCCAAAATTTGTTTATTGTAGGCTTTGCTAAGCTAACTCTGTAAAAACCAAGGTCTCCATTTGCATTGAACTTGTTGTCGTTGTTGTTTATGTTCACATAGCTACATTATACATCAACTAAAGTTTAAAATATGACATCATAGTGGACCACCCCTTTAAAAACCAAAGGTACGTTTTGGATTTCCATTATACAAATCATGTCCTTAAGGTACAAACTGCACTGGTAAAAATTAGTTTCTTTGGTACTATTCTGTTCCATAAAAAGGTACTGCCCCAGTGACAAGGGTTTGTACCTTCTTTGGTACAACATTGTACTATTTCTTCTAAGAGTGTAGATTGTGCAGTGCCATTGATGGGATCCAAGACTTGTGAAAAGATGCCAACTATCGAAGACTTTGAGTAAAACACAAATACACTACATTGAACATATACACGTAGACATCACCCATTCACTATGTAACTGCAGGTTATGTTTATATATAATAACTTTAATTAACTAGTAACTAATAACTTTTTTACAGTTAAAGTTATTAATAACTGATAAAGTTAAGGCAATAACCATAACTTTTCTGATTTTGATTGAAATGCAGTAATGTGCACCTTTTGTAAAGTTGCTTTGAAACAATAATTATTGTGAAAATCGCATTTAAAATAAACTTGAATTGAATGTATTTAGAGGTTTGAGAGGTCGCAGCTGTAGTGTGGATTGCATCGTTGATAAATTATCACAGTTCCTGTTCATTGGCAAGATATATCCACAGGGACGCAGTGCGGTGGCGCAGGGAGTAGCGCTGTCACCTCACAGCAAATTCGCTAAATTGAGCCTTGGCTGGGCCGGTTGGCATTTCTGTGTGAAGTTTGGGGTGGGTTGGTGTAGGTTTCCACTCTGGTTTCTCTCACAAGTCCAAAGACATGCTCTATAAGTCAATTAAATAAAGTAAATTGGCCATGGTGTTTGTGTGAAAGAGAGTTTATGGGTGTTTCCCAGTGATGGGTCGCAGCTGAAAGTACATCAGCAGTGTAAAACATATGCTGGATAAGTTGTCTGTTCATTTCTCTGTGGTGACCCCAGATTTATAACAGGACTAAGCAGAAAAGAAGATAAATGAATGAATGAAATCTATAAGGAATGGTCTCTTAAAAGTGACATTACATCTTAAGTTTTGTGCTCAAACATTGCACACACACACTACATTTATTCCACACTAGAGCCCAACTGAACCATACTCTGGCCCACCTCCTCCAGAAAGGCCAGTGCCGGTCAAACGCGCTCAGGTATATTTTGGATAGCCTAGAGTGAGTACACCCTGAGTGACATTCCCAAGACTCAAAATTTGTTTCTAGACCACTGGGACAGTCAGTATATGTCTGAAACAGAAAGGCTTGAATGTTGCTCCTGTTTAGCAGTGTTGACAATTTACCAACAGTTGTCAGAGGAGGGAGACTATTGTTGGATGCTCAATGCTCAAACAAAAAAGGACAACAAAAGCCATCCTCTCTGGTCTACGCCAGCAGAAAGTGTAACACAAATGTAATACAATACACAGATCAGAACACTGTTGTGCAGTATATGTGGCCACAGACCAGTCAGAGTGTCTATGATGACCGATATGTCGTGAGCTCACAGCTGTGTTCGTGTGCACTGTTTACCTGGGGGAAGTGATGGCACATGGATGCACTGTATGATGACAACAAGCTGGTGGAGGCCGAGTGTGTGATTGTCTGGTCAATGTTCGAAAGCTCTGGATCTGTTTTTTCCTGTGGACATAAGCATAACATATGTTAACTAACGAAACATAATTCCAGTCCAGGTATACAGGTCATGATAATGATGTTCTTAGGCGGAAGTAGGTCTTTTAGCAGGGTAACGTACCCTGCATCTTTAAAGAACATGATGAAGATTTCAAGGTATTGATCTGGCAGCCAAATTTAGGCTCCACCTTGGAACCTAACAGACCTAAAAGATCTCCAGTTGTTGGCTTGGAGTCAAAGGAAACCTTCAAAGGTCTGGTAGAGTCCATGTCTTCATGGGTTGGCACTGTTGGCAGCACAAGTTTACTCAAGTTAACATTCATTAAAGTGTTAAATCACTCAAAATGAAACATTCTGTAATTAAATACTCACCCTTTTTTCTAAATCCTGAAACCTTCATTTATCAGTGGAACCTCCATGTCCTCCAGCAAGAGTCATGGAACTTTCAAATCCTCAAAACATAGTGTTATACATGACGGGATTTACAGTCAGCATAATGAACGACTGGAAAGATTCTATTCACATATAGCAAGAGGAGTGTTTTGAGCCCTTTAGAATTGAGGTGCCCACACTTTATACTTTGAAGCTGCGATCAGGGCCAACTAAACAGAGGGATGTAGGTACAAGCAGCAGACATTGCATTATTTCAAACAATGTTATATTACATTTACATCTTTAAAAATCTAGTTAACTAATATTGTCTGCCATGGAAAATATTATTTATAAAAAAAACTTGCATGGCATCACAGGACAAATATAGAATCCACAAATAACTCATCTCTACTAAATCTCAGTTCAATGTAAGCTCCGAAAAGTGGACACTAGAATAATTATGCTTTGATCCTTTTAGCCAGATGTTTGTGTGATGACAATCTCGTGTGAGTTTGAGGGTCCTTTTAAACCATCACCCCTTCCAATCACCAAATCTGTTTTATTTTATCATCTTTTAAGAGTAGGTAATTACATTGCGACCTCTATAAAAGCACTTTCTATAGCACAAAAGTGTACATCTGCCACCTACCAGTGCCAGTTTGATTTACAAATCTTCTCCTGTGTGGAGTCATGGGACAGAAAAGTGTACATCAGATGCACATCTACTATTTTTGTCAATTCTTTTATGAAGACTATGAATTCAGACATACTCTGACATACAAATACATAGATTTTAGGCAGTATTGGGGAGTTTTGGGCTGTTGGGCTTATAATTCTCAGTACAAGATAATATTTGACTAAACTGAATTATGAAATCAGTTATTTAATCTTTACAGGAGGGAGCTAATTTAAATATGAAAGAGTTAGCTTGGTTATCATTGACATAATAGTTATTATATCATAAAACCATTTAATAGCATCAATACTGAGGTGACGTCTGTATCTGACAGAATCAATGATCTCATGAAGATGGGAGGCTGTTCTAGCTATTATGATTAATAATCTCTCCCAGAATTTCACAACTTTATTATGCAACTCAACATAAACATCATTTCAGAAGAAATGATGTTAGCAAAATTGTCATGAGGCCAAATTGTTAATCAACAGAGCAGCAACACGGTAAGCTCACTAAGATCTATCAAGTATCTGGATGATCATCAGCCTCATATTATTAAAACGGTCATCCCTTTGTGAGATGCTTTCATGGTATCTTATTTATAAAATAAAGACAGGAAACAATTGAGGTAAGACCTTTATCTGGGAGAATCAATAATCTCACAAATATTGTTTCAAGTGTTAAGATAAACAACTTCTCACTAAATTCAATTTCATTACTTTATTATCATTACTTTAAAATGTAATTGTCATTTCAGAAGAAACTAGACAAGCAATCCACAGATCAACCCTGCAGCAAAAACAGCTGGTTAGGGAAGTTTTGACATGAGTGCTGGTTTAAGCTAATTCTTTGCTGGTCATGGCTGCTGGTTTAAGATGGTCTTAACCAGCTCAAAACCCCCATGTGTCAAAACCTACCTAACCAGCTTATTCAGTTGTTGTTTTATAGCCTTTATGATCATTAAATACACGTTATAAAAAATTAGGCCCTATTTAGTTATATATGGACGAGACCATCATATACAGTAATTGTAATATTACTAGATTTTCTTTTATTATGGTACTAATCAGGGGCATTGCTAGGGTCGAAAGGGATAAGGGGCTTAGCCCCAAAGAACCCCCCCCCCCCTCCCCCCCCCCCCCCCCCAAAAAAAAGAAGTTTTAATTCACCGCACTAATATACCTATTCTAATCTTATTAACAGGATTAAAAATGGTTAATAATAAATAAAGGGTTTTTAAGACTTGTAAAATCCAAATAGGAAAAAAACTAGTCTGTAATGAGCCATATCATACCTCTTGAGCCTCCTATCTCCTCCTGATTTGAAGTTTCTGTTTGTTTTTTGAAAATTTAATTTTCTGCATGTCTTCAAATCTGAAAATATGATTTATTTTTATAGTGTGAGCTGTTATCTAATGTGATACAAAGCTACAAACATGTTCATTTGGACAGAGTGATTAACTGAGGTGTTGTCAAAATAATGGAATTTCTAAATTCAATACCTTGCAAAATATTGATATTCAATAGGCTACTATTCTTTACATAATAACAATTCTATCAAAAATAGTAGGCTAGCTAAGGCTACAAAAAATAAAAATAAAGATCTATATGCTAGAAATATGTTTACTTTAAATTTCTTCAGAGGGATTTTTTTTTCAGTTTTCCTCAAAATAGGGTGATGTGGGCATTGTAGCACTTTAAATGCATGTAAAGCCTGTTTTATTCATACTTGAGCAGAAATTCCATATATATTCTTCAAAAAAGGAGTAGAACATTCTAGGAAATCCCTAATATGGATGAAGGCATCCAGCTGTTGCTGTAGTAGAATAAAAATATGATCTGAATAAAAATAAAAAGGCTTTAACTGATCATTTACACGACTGCGACAATAAATGTTTTATACAGTTGAAGTCAGAATTATTAGCCCTCCTTTGAATTTTATTTTCTTTTTTAAATATTTCCCAAATTATGTTTAACAGAGCAAGGAAATTTTCACAGTAGCCTATGTCTGATAATATTTTCCTTTTGAAGAAAGTCTTATTTGTTTTATTTCAGCTAGAATAAAAGCAGTTTTACATTAAAAAAAAACATTTTAGGGTCAAAATTATTAGCCCCTTTAAGATTTTATATATTTTTCCTATAGTCTACAGAACAAACCATCGTTATACAATAACTTGCCTTATTACCCTAACCTGCCTTTAAATGTCACTTTAAGCTGTATAGAGGTGTCTTAAACAACGTAGTCAAATATTATTTACTGTCATCATGGCAAAGATAAAATAAATCAGTTATTAGAGTTGAGTTATTAAAACTATTATGATTAGAAATGTGCTGAAAACAATATTCTCTCCGTTAAACAGAATTTGGGGGGAAAAATAAACGGGGGCTAATAATTCAGACTTCAACTGTGTGTTCTTCCAACCATTTTAGGCATTTTCATAAGAAAGTCGATTTATAATTTGATTCAAACTGACATAGCATGTTACAGTAGAATATAGTTATATAATAATAAGCTAGATGCATAAACTCACTGTGATTTAACTATTACAGAAACAGATGTGACTTGCTATATCATATAAATATATCATATCTAGAAAGCTAGTACAATTTACGTTTTTTTTTACTTGTATTTACATTGATATGATGCACATTTTACTGATTATAGTTATTTTATGTCACCAAAACTACACACATTTTATACTGTGGAAACAAGCTTCATCAGTAGTTAAAACTATTTAGTTTCGCGAAAGAGTTGTATTATTACCTCATTAGCTTCAGCTCCTCAAAATAATAAATGAATGATGTGCAGTGGCGGGATTTTTTAAACACCATGTGACAACAGAGCCACTCCCACCTGCCGGTAGAAACAGGTACTGCTGAACAACTGACGGTTTAATTACCTGACACAAACGCTGCGTTAAGTGGAATGTTCGTGATGTATGTGGTAATTTTTAGTACTTACATAACAAAATAAATGTTATATAACATATTTTTATTTAAGTGCAACATATTCCAAGAGATCAGGGGCTTTTGACAATACATCAGGGGCTTAAGCCCCCAAAGCCCCCCCCTCGCAACGCCCCTGGTACTAATATGAAAAGGGGCAAAACATACCGTTCAAAAACGTTCTGTACTGTACGCTGCTTTTGTCGTGTAGCTTCTTTAGCTCAGAGGTGCCATCTTGTGATCGTTGCTGAGTACTACATTTAAGAAACCTGATGAAATGAACACAACATTTACCTTCATTCAGGTAAAAAAGTAACTTCCTAAACAAAACATGTTGTAATTTGACGGGTCAGGTTGGAATTAATATCAATACAAGAGGTGTTTGTCAGCGTGAGAGTGAAGGAGTGAATCATCAGAAGCAGTCAGAAAGTGTCTGTGGGACAGCTTCTGTACAGCTGTCCTGTCCCTTTTCATTTTGTCTCTGCCAGCTTTGGGGGTTTTCAGGACTCTCTTTAGAGGAGAAAGTGAACCGGTCATATTTCGAGGCATCATCGCTTTAGATTTCTGCTTGGGTTTCGTCCGTTTAGAGTCTGATTTTGTGGTAGTTTGCTGTTGGTCGGAGTTTTTGAAGTCTGTATATTCGGCCATTACCCCGACCACATTCAGACTGACGACGGCCTCTGAAATGCCTGCCATGTTTTGCGCTCTGCACCGATACTCTCCTGCATCACTATAGGAGATCCCGTTTAGACTGACCACAGACCATCGGACCCCCACACGAGGAGACTCTTGCACATCTGCAGAGATGTGTGTAATCATTAAAGCAGATGAAGAAAGGTCAGACACACTTACATGACAATTTACTAGCTCATTAACTAGTAAAACATTTGCACCATTGTGCTTTGTAAAATATTAAGCACAAAGGTTTAAATTAAGTATGCAATAACTACATGTGTGACAAAAGTCTTATTTTAACTTACAGCCAAAAAGCTTTTTGGGAAATCTTTCAGTATCCAGGCTGCTTTGTGTCTGCTTACAACAACCTTGAAACATATGTAAGTGTATTTTATTGGAAACAAAATATCTGACATTTTCCACTGAAGTTACAGTGGTTTAGATAGCATATTTGTCATTTAAATAAATTACACACAATAACTTATGTTTGCAACTTAATAACACAATTTTTTGATATCTATAAAGGTTCACAGTGCATTAATAAAACGTTATTGTTAGTTAGTAATGAATGAAAGCTTGCTTTGAAAAATAATGTTTCAAATGTTCGTAAAAACAAAACAAATTGAATAAAATATGAAAAATATATCTAATTACTTAAAGAATGTAATTAAAATAAATGTTTACACTTAAATTACACAATGAACATTTGAGAAACAGACAAATTGTGGGTCAGTGTTAGTTTTACTATTATATTTATTTTAATCCTTCTGTGTTGTTTCAAACTGACTACTTTTGTTACGTTCATTTCTGTTTTTGCCTCACTGATTTCATTTACAATAACATTTAATGATTGTAATGCCATGACACCATATTATTATTAAAATTATATGGTGTCATGGCTTTGCAATCCAAAAATGTCCTCATAATGGATGTCAATGGAGCAAAAACAGCCACAAACATAAGGAAAGGATAGTAAACTTTTAAAGAGGAGCTGTTGAGAGTGTTCTCACTAATGGCATCTCTCTTTTGGTATAAAAATAGCAGCGTATCTGACAAGAACACCATTAAGAAGATAATAAAGTCAGCTGTAAGGTCTGTTGAAGTCAAAATGACACCTTTCTAGGAAATGTATCAGCAACACTGTCTGTCTAGGGCAAACAGCATTTTAAGGGATCTAACCCAGCCTGGCCATTTGGTCTGCTCAAGCTCATGCCATCAGACAGGCGTTACAGAAGCCTGAGGAGCAAATCGGCGATATTCGTGATAGTTTTTAATCCTGTCATTATAAGTCTTTTGAATAATACCGTATATTAACTACCGTATATTACTTTTGAATAGCTAGTATGAAATAATAAATCAATACATAGTTAAAATAGCACAAAATGTTAATATTATAACTATTAGGCAAACTCTGCAATAGTTATTTAGGTATTAATTTATTCCGTTTTGTGATTTTTTTTAAATTGGGTTATATATATATATATTTATTTATTTATTTATTTATATATTTATTTATATATATATATATATATATATATATATATATATATATATATATATATATATATATATATATAGGAAATTATAAAAGTTAATTTTTTATGTTAAGTATTTATAGTGTTTGATGTTTTTTTATGTTCTTGTTGGGTCTGATGCAACGTAATTTCGTTCTGCATTAGAATTTATTGTGATGTTTTTAATGACAAAAATAAAGGAAACTGAAACTAAACTGAAAGTGTAAATTTGCCCTAAGTGTAATAAGTTTGAGTTTTTGGAAACAAATATGTGCAAAAACAAGATTGTCACCCAAAATCATTCCATTAGCTAAAAAACATTTGTGGCCAAATTAAAACACAAAATCACGTCATAGTGGATGAAAACATCCCCAACAGCACATACAGGTTAAGTATTGCTAAATGTTAGTAAAATACCATTGCGTAGCATTTTGAATTATTAATTTGAATTATTTAACTCATTAATTATATTTTTTTGTCATGTGATTTAGCAATTTTTACGTATATTTTTTTTTACAATTAAATAACATATTTATTTAAGTAGCTTTATTTAAATTGCTAACACAATATTTATTTAAGGTAAGTTTATGTTTTTCATATTAAAATTTGATTTATTTCAGCTTTATTTCATCTAATCAAAATATTTTTAATACTTTTTAAATTTTAGTTAAACGTTTTTCATTTTTATAACATTTCAGCTGACAATAACAACACTGACATCTATGAAAATACACCAGACTAGCATTTAAGATGATACCTTGATTATAAAGGTTGCGTTTGGCAGATTTGATCCACATGAGTGCTGGCGTCGGGTGTCCTGTGGCCTCACAGCGGAGCAGGACAGTGCTGCCCAGCAGAGCGGTGATCTTTGTGGCAGACGTCACCACATACGGCCTGCGGCATCGGCTGAGCTCTACACTCTGAAAGGGAACTCCAGCCAGATCCAAAGGTTCACTACATGTCAGGAAGCGGTCCAGCAGGACCAGAGAGCTTTCTGGGCCTCGACTAATGTCAAGCAAGGTGGAAAGCCGACAATCGCAGACCCAGGGATTGTCTTGAAGACCTGTGAAAGGAATGAAATGAGTGACAAAAGGAATGAAAAAAGGAAATTGTGTTGGTTTCAATGGAAACTCTATTGATCTTTTTGCCTCTCTACTGGTCTTTTTTTTTTAAGTAAAATCAATACATTATAATAGAATGTGTCCCAAAACACATTAGAATCACATATCAAATGTTGTTTTAGTTATAATGTTGATAGTTATAATTTGAAGGTTTGTAATAATTTTATTAAACTTGTTTTAAAAAAGTAAAAACAAGTATTTTAAAATGTTTTTATTAGCCTAGTACAGGGGTGGCTAACCCTGTTCCTGGGGAGCCACCTTCCTGCAGATTTCAGTTGCTTCCCATATCAAACACACCTGAACCAATTAATTAGGACCTGAACACCACGTGATAATTACAGGGAGGTGTGTTTGATATGGGTTGCAACTGAAATATGCAGGAAGGTGGCTCTCCAGGAACAGCAGGGTTCAAAGCTAAGGAATTTTTCTACTGGCCCGATTGGACCAGTGGTTCAGATTTTTACTTGCCCTGCCAATATTTTCACTGGCCCAACCAAAAAAAAAAAATGAATAGCTATTGCTAAACCACAAATTTAAAAAAATGTTTGTGAATCTACAATCTAAATATTATAAAAATGATAAAACTGTACAAAACATCACTTCTTTTTTTCTTTTTTCTTTTTTTTTTTTTTTGGTGTAACCTCGCAATGTCAGCTTTAAAGAAGTTAAAAACAAATGTTTTCTTTTTGCATCATCATTTAATGTTGCCATCTCTTCGTTGTACTGGCTGTTATGGAAAAAAAATAACGTGCTCACAACATCCAATCAGATAAGAGAAACCAAAAAGTAATATAGTGCTTACGACATCACAGAGAAGGTAGCATTTAAAGGCTTAAAAACCCAAACTGTTTCTCGATTCTGAGAATGTATTTGCAGGCAATTGACAAATAGTCGCAGACAAACTAAACTTATAGAGGAAACCCACACAAACACGGGATCAAAATGCAAACTCCACACAGTGACCTTCTTGCTAAGAGGCGTTAGCACTAACTAGAGCTTGTTACGTAACTAGTGCTAACCTATGAGTTTATTTTCTCTGTTAAACACAAATAAAGATATTTTGAAATAGACTGGAAAATAAAAGCCTATGACCTCCATTCCCTAATATGAAAACAAATGGCTAGCTATATTCAACATGCTTCAAAAAATATGTTTGTTTTCAAAAGGAAAAGTAAACTCATAAACGATTAGAACCATTTGAGGGTGAGCGAATGTCAAGTACAATTGTGTTGGTGCAAACTTTGCATTTACTAGTAGTATTCCTTGCATTTAACTCTTTTCATTCAAGTCAAAGGCCATCTAAAGGGTAAACATGTTTATTTTTGATTCTTTTTTTTTCTATTTCATAAGTTGCCACACCAGAATGAACTGGCCAAGCTGACACTAAAACCAGTAACTTTCTTGCTGTGATGCAAGTGAGCCACCGTGCCGCCTTGTTATTTTTCAGTACAAGTGTTTTCGTTTTTAATTTGGCATTTCTATCATTGTTTTTTTTTCTAATGTGAAACTTGAAATGCACTTTAAAACAAAGATGGAAACAGCTATTTAGTCTTCAGAGGTGTTTGCAGATTACATAAGCACGGCGAATCAAAGTAGGCTTTGGTTTCCACTGTAGGAACGCAGTGAGCCATCAAAAGACTGAAGACTCTCAGATCACACTGATATCACGCATGTGTTTGTGTAAACCAGTCAGGATGGGTATGTATTTCATTACCATGAGATATTAATGACTTGATGGTGTCACTGACGTTGGTAGTGTCTATGTTTGCCTGTGTGCTGAACAGTTTGGCTGCTATAGTTGTTTAAAGGCCAGTCAGGGAATGCTACTGGCTTACTGTAAGACATTTTTCCATTTGTTAAATTAAAATCATTTAATTAGTTTTATAATTATTATGCGTGGCAGTTGTTGGGGCAGTCTGAATACAACAGTCCCAACATTCTAAATACAATGGCCAACTAGTTTTTTAGTGTTTTTGCTGTTTGCCTGTGGGTTATGAATTAACTAAGAAATATTTTTTAATTATATTCATAACACTATTCTAAGTAACTTTTGAGTTTTTAATTTTAATTCTAACTTTTGGACTAAAAGTCGACCAAGTTGAAGGATTACAGATGCAGTCCCAGCAGACACACAATGTCATAAGACGCAAATATCAGGTTAGATTTACCGTAGGTCACCTAAGGACATTGTTATTTTGACATCCAATAACGTCGTGAAATTATGTTGATATTCGGTTGACCAAAATCCAAGGTCGAGCCAACATCTTATGCCAACATCTTATCGACACATTGATGTAAAATACTGACATTTGTTCATCAGGTATGGCAACCAAAACTCAACATCTGATAGGTGTCATAGTACCGTTCACACAACGCCAAGTTGTAACATCATTAGACGTTGATATTTGGAAAAGTAACCAAAATGCAACATCTGTCCAACGTTAGACACTGAAATCGGCCTGACGATGGGTTCAGACGGCAACCTGATTTTTATTTCCAAACAAAATGCAATGTCCCACCACATTGGGGTAAAAAAATCAATCTGACGTCATGTATGACATCCTGTGCATGCTGGGGTCCGTCACCTGTTCATTATGTTCAGACTCACCAAATACTTCCTGGCAAAATAAGTGTGTTGGATGCAAACTCTCAGCAGAACTTTGGCCGTCTAGAAACAGAATTGAACAAACCCTTAGTCTACAACATTTGAGGTTTCTCTGTTTCCATGGAGGCAGTATGGGTGCTAATTCAGGGCCAGGGTGTAGTTTAAAACGGGATGTGAATGTTTTACCTAAAACAAAGGAGCGCTGGGTTTGATTGCTGTCACTGAACAGCCAGAGAGCCGTCAGGTCATTGGCCAGAGTGCTCAGCCTGTTGCTCGAGAGATCCAGGTAAGTCACATTTCTAAGGTAGCGGACAGCCAGGAGTGGTATTCGTGCCAGGCGGTTATTGTGCAGTCCAAGAGTTCGCAGACGGGGCATATCCCTGAGCCCTTCCCAGGGGAAGGTGGACAGCAGGTTCCCGTCCAGTCGTAACTCATGTAGGGAGGACAGGTTTGTGAAACTTCTTGGGTGTAGGACGGAGATGGAGTTATATGTAAGCCACAAATAAAGCAGCTCTGGCATGGCTGAGAAAGCTCCTCTAAATATCCTGGAAACAGAGGTGCGCTCCAGACGAAACTTCACCGTGTCATTTGGCAAATCTATTGGAATGGCAGTCAAGGCTGGGTTCTTGCAGAGCACAGTTCTGTGAAAAAAACAAATATAATTAAAAATTGAATAATAATCCTAAATTCTAAGTGAAAATGAAATTGTAATGCTAAATCTTTCCGACCTGTGTGCAGCTTACCATGCCAAATATATTTATACAGCTCTTATTCATAATCCCTGTACAATATATAAATAAATATAAAAATAAAATAAAAAAATTAATAGATTTGCAGCTAACAGGTTTTCATAGCTGTAAGCTGTTGATAATAATACCTTGATATAGGTATGTAAATCCAATAATTTATTATACACTAAAATATAACCGATAATTAACACTTTCCGTATTTCATAATTAACTTTTTTTTCTGTGTATTTACAGTTGTGAATTTTATTATGTGATGTTGATCTCTGCTCTGTCAACTTTTGATGATGAAAATTTGCAATTTTCTATGGAATTTATTAAAGTGACTATTACTAGTTCTAGTGGAAACAATTTAATTTAAAACAATTTATTGTACAATAAATAATCTATAGAAAACTAAGTCTTTAAAAAAACAAAAAGAAAAAACTGGCAGCTTATTACCAGTTTATAACCATATAATACATCACATTAAATAATTTAAAATGTCAATAAAAGCACATTTTTCAAACTTTTCAACATCAAAAATGATGTACATCAAGGTCCCACCGTGCAATTTAAAAGCATAAATGAATAGTAATATTAAATAAAACATTAATCTCTGTAATGCCTAGTTCAGACTGTGTGATTTTAGCCCCGATTTTGGCTCGCCAACAGGTTTTGAGAAATCGCCGACAAATGTCTGAAATCACAGTCAAAGCACAGTTCTGTGAAAAAAACAAATATAATTAAAAATTGAATAATAATCCTAAATTCTAAGTGAAAATGAAATTGTAATGCTAAATCTTTCCGACCTGTGTGCAGCTTACCATGCCAAATATATTTATACAGCTCTTATTCATAATCCCTGTACAATATATAAATAAATATAAAAATAAAATAAAAAAATTAATAGATTTGCAGCTAACAGGTTTTCATAGCTGTAAGCTGTTGATAATAATACCTTGATATAGGTATGTAAATCCAATAATTTATTATACACTAAAATATAACCGATAATTAACACTTTCCGTATTTCATAATTAACTTTTTTTTCTGTGTATTTACAGTTGTGAATTTTATTATGTGATGTTGATCTCTGCTCTGTCAACTTTTGATGATGAAAATTTGCAATTTTCTATGGAATTTATTAAAGTGACTATTACTAGTTCTAGTGGAAACAATTTAATTTAAAACAATTTATTGTACAATAAATAATCTATAGAAAACTAAGTCTTTAAAAAAACAAAAAGAAAAAACTGGCAGCTTATTACCAGTTTATAACCATATAATACATCACATTAAATAATTTAAAATGTCAATAAAAGCACATTTTTCAAACTTTTCAACATCAAAAATGATGTACATCAAGGTCCCACCGTGCAATTTAAAAGCATAAATGAATAGTAATATTAAATAAAACATTAATCTCTGTAATGCCTAGTTCAGACTGTGTGATTTTAGCCCCGATTTTGGCTCGCCAACAGGTTTTGAGAAATCGCCGACAAATGTCTGAAATCACAGTCAAAGCACAGTTCTGTGAAAAAAACAAATATAATTAAAAATTGAATAATAATCCTAAATTCTAAGTGAAAATGAAATTGTAATGCTAAATCTTTCCGACCTGTGTGCAGCTTACCATGCCAAATATATTTATACAGCTCTTATTCATAATCCCTGTACAATATATAAATAAATATAAAAATAAAATAAAAAAATTAATAGATTTGCAGCTAACAGGTTTTCATAGCTGTAAGCTGTTGATAATAATACCTTGATATAGGTATGTAAATCCAATAATTTATTATACACTAAAATATAACCGATAATTAACACTTTCCGTATTTCATAATTAACTTTTTTTTCTGTGTATTTACAGTTGTGAATTTTATTATGTGATGTTGATCTCTGCTCTGTCAACTTTTGATGATGAAAATTTGCAATTTTCTATGGAATTTATTAAAGTGACTATTACTAGTTCTAGTGGAAACAATTTAATTTAAAACAATTTATTGTACAATAAATAATCTATAGAAAACTAAGTCTTTAAAAAAACAAAAAGAAAAAACTGGCAGCTTATTACCAGTTTATAACCATATAATACATCACATTAAATAATTTAAAATGTCAATAAAAGCACATTTTTCAAACTTTTCAACATCAAAAATGATGTACATCAAGGTCCCACCGTGCAATTTAAAAGCATAAATGAATAGTAATATTAAATAAAACATTAATCTCTGTAATGCCTAGTTCAGACTGTGTGATTTTAGCCCCGATTTTGGCTCGCCAACAGGTTTTGAGAAATCGCCGACAAATGTCTGAAATCACAGTCAAATCGGTGCTCGTGCACTCAAGTGACAATCACACAGTGTGAACTATCAAAGACGTGATCTAAGAGAATCGCCGATAAGTTGCAGATGGCTGTTAGATATTTAGTGTGCTAAATATCTGGAACTGTCGGCGATTCAAATAATGCTGTGTGAAATGAGTTTTGACTGAAAATAACATCGGCGATTACCTACAGCCAATGAGACAGCAGCATTCACTTGTGTGTGTGTGTGTGTGTGTGTGTGTGTGTGTGTGTGTGTGTGTGTGTGTGTGTGTGTGTGTGTGTGTGTGTGTGTGTGTATACCTGCAGGCCAGCGGGAGGTTGGGGGAGAAGTTAAAAGCGATCGTTTTCTGTTTATTTTGGACCCACGAAATGGAGGAAAAACTAGTGGAGGTTTGACAGGAGCGCCCGTGTCTGTTTGACGTTTCATACAAAAAGTTAAAAAAGAAATTAATTTATTATCAACTTAAGTTGAGGAGAAATGGATAATTCCCTTCAAACCCAGGTGAGCAACTTTGTACATTTTCTACCCCATTAAAGGCTTCTTTCTCATTACGTAGTTTATAACAAAAGATATACTACGTGTTTTTGGCTCTATGACGCAGTTTGGACGAAGTTGTCGGCAATTCTTCCTATTGTAAAGTCATGCAATGTGAAAGTCCCTGTCGCTGATCCATCTTGCAGTGTAAACAAAGCAGCAACAAAACGCTAGCCCAGATAGTCATGCAGTGTGAAAACATCTGTGACATCACTACTTTGAAAATCATCCAGTCTGAACTTAGCATAAGAGATTACACTGTAAAAACTTTAATTATAAAATTGTATAATTAATTAATTGTATAAATCTTGAATTAAATTTAATTGTAAAAACTTTAAACAATCTCAAATTTATGTGCAATTTTTTTATTGAACATAAAAAAATTAAGTTGTCCTAATGAAATCCCAAGAATTGTGTTGTTTCAGCTCATTTTAAATAAGTAGTTTGAACGAGCAAGAAAAAATATTTTTTGAGTGCAACATATGGAAAATTGTTACTGTTTTTCTCCGATGGTTTGGCTTATTTCTTAAAACAGAAATTACATTCTCAAAATTGAAAGATCATTTGGCAAAACAGTATTACAGTTTAGCACAACACTATAGCTCAGTTGCAAAAGCTCATATCTCTCCAAAAACACTTACAAAAGCTCATACTGTATCTCTCCAACACTCATGCATCAAAACTAAATTCCTTTCCCATATAAAAAGTCAGTGCCACAAAAATGGCAAATATCCTTCTCAATTACTTTGGTTCATTTCTTGAAACAGACCGGACATTCTCAACACTGTTGGTGCTTTTGCCAAAATAATGTGGATGGTTCAGCACTACACCATGGTTCACCTGCAACAGCTCATACCTTTCCCAAAACAGTTCACTCATGTGTCAAAACTAAATTTCCTTTTCATTTAAACCGTCAGTGCCCCCAAAATGCTTCGTCCCTTTGGCATTGTGTAAGCACTGCAAGTCAAAATGTTTAGATGTTTTGTCACTATGGCAAAGGACCACTAAAAGTGTAAGTCCACCTTAGAGTCTTAGCCCAGTCCTTCATTGACAATGGTTACTGTACTGTTTAGCTTACAGAATACAATTATGTATAAAACTAAAAAAAAAGAAATAGGATTTTAGAGTGAGAGTAGCCTCCAAGGTTTGACGTCACACATTGTACTCATACTGCCAAGGAAATGGTAACTCCTTTTTTTTAATGTAATGATCAACCACACACAAAGTAACTTCCATATATCAGAGCAAAAAGAAACTGTATACAGCATTATAAACTGTAATATAAACACACAAACAAAAAACTAGAGTGCTATAAATAGAGCATGTCCTCGCTCTCCTAACCATCCACACGCTACAGTCTGTGGCCACAGATTCTCGTCCACATCACAGTGAATATTCTCCTTTGCGATGCAACGAGGGAAGAAACTACATGAATGTCGCAACCATCCCCTACAGTAATCAATTGTTCCAAGGATTCACCTTCTGTATGGTATTCATGGTATTATGGTCTTGACAAATTTTGACAATTGAACAGACTATTGTGCATGTAATGACATATACAATGAAATGACGCTGACACATTTTGGAGAGAACAACCATTAGACTGAGAATTAACAATCAGTTTAGATCAACAAGATCTATTCACTCGGAAAATGTGCTAAATGTAGGCTATCTGTACTCAATCATTTGCAAATATGTACTTGGACATGCAATTTGATCAAATGAATGAGAAATTCAAGTCTGTTGTGAACAATTGCCAAGTGGTTTGGAGGTTTGTCCATGTTGTTTTGAGAATGTAATTTCTGTTTCAAGAAATGAGTCAAACCAATGGAGAAAACTGTAATTTACAAATATATTGTACAGTGGTCCTTAAAAAAAGATTCCAAAATGTTTTTTCCACAGAAAAATAATGTTGGGTTCCCTTTAAAATCAGTGAACAGTTCTTATAAGAACAATTAAGTGTGTAAAGAATGTAAATAATTTAAAAGAGAGAATCATTACTTTTACCACACACATTTTTCTATAATAGAACAGTCTCTGCTAGACTACAAGAAAACAAGACAGTTGAGGAGAAAGTGTGTGGATTGAAAAACTCAGGAGCACAGAATTGACCAGACAAAAGAGATTACAGAAAAGCCAATATGTACCTCAGTCCTTTGGTATCACTGCGACCCTGGAGCACACACGTGCACAGAGAAGGACATGCTGGACTCTGAGCACAGACCACCAAAGCCAAGCACAACGAGAGATCTGCATACAGAAGTGGGCGCATCGTTCTGCGGGGTACATGAAGAATCTCACACACTGCTGTCCCAAGAAAGAAGTGACATTCTCTGTCTGAACAGGAGTGTGACATTCCCAAACACTACTGTAGATTAGGACAAACACTAAAAGGATTAGTTCAGATTACTCTGGTGTGGGGCAGATCAACACCTAGTCAAGTGTAGTAAAGAGAAACTCACCCTAATTCTGATGCTACACAGTCGGAATGGAAATTAAATGGAAGACGGATTCAATTAAATTTAAGTACAATTATTTTCAGTATATTAAGAACAATTTGTTGCATAACATTATTTTGAAACTTGGTTTCAAATTTTTTTTAATTCTAATGGTTTTCTTTTGGTTCCACAGACTGTTAAATAAATTATTAAATGAATAAATAAATGAATTAATTAATAAACAAATAAATAAATTAATTAATTAATTAATAAACATACAAAAAACATGCATAAATACAGGGCTTGAACAATGAAACTAAAACACCTGGGTTTAGTAGGACCTCCTTTTGCAGCCAATGTAGCATCAATTAGTCTTGGGAATCACAGATACAAGTCCTGGACAGTGGCCAGAGGGATTTTGAGGTGGCCAGGTCACTATGTGATGCTGGTGGAGGGAAATGTTTCCTGAGTTGCTCCTTTAAAACACGCCAAAGTGACTCAATAATATTACGATCTGGTTACTGTGTAGTCCAGGGGTCACCAACCCTGTTCCTGGAGAGCTACCTTCCTGCAGAATTCAGTCCCAACCCTGATCAAACATACCTGAACCAATTAATAGTACCTAAAGCAGCACTTGATAATTACAAACAGGTGTGTTTGGTCAGGGTTGCAACTGAACAGGAAGGTAGCTCTCCAGGAACAGGGTTGGTGACCCCTGGTGTAGTCCATTGGAGATGTTCAACTTCACGTCCATGTTCATCAAGCCATTATGTCTTGCTGTGTGCATTAGTGTATCATCATCCTGATAAACAGCACTGCCTTTATGATATAATGTTTGAACCATTGGGTGCACATGGCCCTTCAGAATGGTTTGGTAGTCCTTGGCAGTGTCATGCCCATCAGCACAAATATTGAGCCAAGGGAATGCCATGATATTGCAGCCCATCACTAATCCTCTTCCATGATCACTCAAGGCATGTAACAGTCTGGGTGGTTCACTTCTTTGGGGCTTCTCCACAACGTTACTCTCCAGGATGTGGGAAAGACAGTGAAGGTGGACTCATCAGAGAACAATATGTTTCAACCAAGATTTTCAAAACTGGCATCATTGAAACTGACATTTGGCATTGGCATGAGTAACCAAAGATTTGGTTATAGCAGCCTAGACATTTATATTGACCCTGTGGAGCTCAAAACTAACAGTTCTGGTGGAAACAGGAGAGTTGAGGTGCACATTTAATTTTGAGGTGAGTGTGAACAGTTTTGTTTTTGTTTTTAGGAAACAATCCAGATGCACCAGCAAGACGCCCACCAGCAATTTGTCCTTTTTTGAACTCTGATATGTCACTCATAATGTTGTGTGCATTTCAATAAAAACTGGGCTATTGCTCTGCTAATTAAACCTTTACACTTTGCCCTTACTGATAGACTGTGCAATCTATGAGAATTGACCACCAGATTTAGCCATGAAACCTAAAACACTAAAACCCTGTCCACACAAACACAGGTATTTTCAAAATTGCACTTTTTTGACACAGTTTTGCTATTTGTCTAAACGAAAAAGTAGTGTCAGGTGACTGAAACAGAACCTTTCTAAAAACTCCAGCCAGGGTAAAGATTTTCCAAAACTTTGGGTACAATGTGTTCATGTGGACGATCCAACCAGAGTTTTCGCCCCATGATGTCAACATGCACACTGTTTTCTTCTTTCTGATCGGCCAACACTTCTTTTTTTAAAAGAAGAGGAGCAGCATATCCAGGATTCACCTTTTCCAGATGTGAAAAGCTCTCAGCTAAAAAATGTTCCTAACAAACATATTTTTGTTGTGTGTTAGCAGACCACTGTAATCCAACTGCTTGGTCTACACGCGAGCTGTGCTCTCACTGCGGGGAAATGAAAACAAAACTTTTGTTTCAGCACATTTTAAAAATGGAACACTGATGACTCATGTCTTTGTACAATTTTTCTAATACTTGTTTGAATCACGGTTGGCAATACAATGTAGCATCTCTCTAAACACTGTAACAGGTAAAAGAGTCTTTAAAGCTATTTCATGCATATTAATGAAGTTGCATCTCATTCACAACAGGGCGCACTGATTGGCTCGAAGTCTTTCTCATGAATTAATGGTGAAAACTGTATGATCTCAATTTGTACTGGCCAGTACAGATAGCCAATCTTCATGCTGGAATTTACACAAGATTCTCATCGATGCGACATATATATATTTACATAATGTTTTCATCAAACTATAACAGCAGATAGAGGTAAAGTTAGTTTTATATTTACACATTCCTTCATTTAGAAGTCTCTATATTGTTTACCATGTTACTCTGAATATTCGATTGGAATTAGCATGCAAATGTGACTTGAAAACAACATTAACAGTGTTTATTTGACTCTGAACAATGTTGTACTTTGATAGTCATTGGCTGCTAATATGATTTCACTGTTTAGAGTTTGCAAATAACACAGAGGTTCTGTCTAGCCAAACAATTAAGAAAAAGTTGTTACAATGTTCTTTAATCTTGGTGCGGTTCGCTTTCACACAGCAGGAGTTTTGAAATGGACCAAAAGAGCTAAAACAAGTCACGTGTGAGTTATCTCTCCTCACATTGGTCAGAGTTTCAGGGTTTATTTTGCAGAGTCCCGCTCAGCTGTCATGCGTCCTTATTTTAATTTATGACCATGAGCAATAGAGATAATAAGCGAAAAGCTGCGCTTTCATTTTGAATGGTGACACCCACAGACTTTGTCACCAAGTATATATCAGAGGTAAGACTTTCTCATACACAGCAGTTGGCTTATCCATTACAGGCTTTACATTATAGAGAGAAATAACAGACAAACTACTGCAGTTCAGCCAATTTTCCTAACGGATAAACAGCTCTTGTTAATAGTTCAGCATGCTTTCACTTTTGTATTTTACACGAAACGCACAATTACCGGGAAGAGATAGACCTCCCGCCATACTCATCATTCTCTCTTCAGTCATATACCTATTATATATCTATAAAACACTGTGATATAGCCGGGATAGAGTCGAGAGTCGAGCATTCTTAATTAGGTCCTCACTCCATTCAGCTCTTCTGATGGCTGTTAGCCAAAGACATCTGCGCTTGGTATAAAAACAGTGTGGTCTCCGGAAAAAAATAAGTTTTCTATTTTTGGACTCTAGATTTTATCATCCTACCACACAACACGGCATATTTGTTTATTTTTGCAACCGGAATGCGCTGATGAACCAGTATGACGACATTGGTGACATTGGTAACTCGATCATTTTGCAAATGATTTTGTAGATTGATTTGAATTTATGAACAAAATACAAGCCAACTTTTCATAATCCAGGATAACTCAAACACAGCTAAATTTTGTGTTTTCTATATTTGGCTCATTTGTGTTTTTATAAACGTTTTTCCGGGTTTCTGCAGAAATTAACAAAGTGCGGCAAATTAAAACCCGGAGTGGAGAATCAGTGAGCGGATCAGGGGAAGAAGTCTTTCCACTCAATTACGGTGCTCCAGTCCAGCTTTTGGTCGGCGTTGCTTGGTGACTTTTGATGCCTTGACTTGTTTTGGAACTATTTTCATTGAAAGAGGGAGATATATGTGAACTAACTTTGTCTGATATAAATACATATAGCTTCAATGAGGAACTCCGAAGAAACATCAAAGAGGTAAATAAAGTCTCCATTTTGCATTGATTCGCAAGGTGGTGTCGGAGTCCCTCCCTCTGATCTCAGATGACTGCAGCAGCAGACAGCAGCGGCTCTCTCTCTCTGACCGACAGCAGCAGAAGCATGGCGGCGGTGGAGACACGGGAGTGCGAGACGGAAGGCTGCCACAGCGAAGCCAAGCTCCAGTGTCCCACCTGCATCAAACTTGGCATTCAAGGCTCATACTTTTGCTCTCAGGTGAAGCTCTGACACCCTTTGCTTTAAAATAAATAAAGCGACGCTCTCGGGTTTTGTAGCGCATGTCACGCTGCCGGCCTACGAGCTCAGCATTAGCTTGTTAGCTGTTCTTACACCACAAACAGACGCATTAAACTTTACTTTGAGCGTTGACGTTTGTATTAAAGTTTTACACTTGACGAGAGGTTTGCCATAGATGTTTAACTTTAAACGCGGAGTGAGAATCTAAGCACGCGACCTGTGTCCCTGCTCCGCGTGCTTTAAATGAGTTCGGCTCAGCGTGGCCCGATGGCTACTCATTCAGTCAATGCACAAACCTCCTCACAGTTACTCAATTTCTAATCGCGAATGTTTTATGATAACCGCATACATAAATCTGTGCAAGGGAGTGTTACTTAGAACTTGACCCTGCCTCTGTTCATTCTCCTGTGATTTTTCTGGTCACTCCTAGTCTAGGGGCTGCGTTTAAATTCATTGTGAGCTCCCTAGGTAGACAGCATTGTGAGCATCGTGTTTGTTTTTATTGTTTGTTTTAGCTACATGGATCGATTTGGTAGATTATTGGCTTGTACACTTCTAGTCAAGGCTGCGTTTTAACTTCTAGCGAGCTGCCTATCTAGACAGCATAGTGCGCATCATCTGTGTTTTGTTCTGAGCCACATGGGAATAACGGTAAAATTGCTGTCAAAATGGGCAGCTCGTTTTTTTTTTTTTTTTTTTTTTTTTTTTATTGAGACAAATGCTAGGAGTTTCCAGCAAAGGCCAGCTATTGGGCAGTATGTGTTTTGGGGCGTGTGCTCAAAAGGCTGTCTTGGTCGACATCTGATGACATGTCGAGACACCTCCTTAGACTGTAGCACCTGTTGCAGGGCAGATCTGCTGTCTTGCTCATGGAGTTGAGAGGCTGATTTGAGGTCAGGGCGTGATGACATTTCACAGATTGCATCTCATTCACTTTTGTCTTTATTAGATGCAGCACTGTAGCTCACCCTAATCTTGTGCCAACCCTCTATGGTTTTCTGTCCTATGTGGAACACTTGTTGTTTTTGTGTGTACACTGAAATCAAGAAGGGTTCATTGTTGTTTTGACTCACTTTTGCTTCAGGATATGCACATTAAAAAATATAGTCATACGGGTTTAGAATGATATTATGACAAAATGATGACAAAGTTTTAAGTTTTGGGGGCTTTCACACGAGCACTTTTGGTCCGCACTCGGGTTCGTTTGACGTCAGTGTTTGGGACGTTAAGCTAGTGTGAACGCTGTCTTCTGAACTCAAATGCGCACCCACAAACCATATTGACTACATGAAAGAGGTGGTCTGGGGTACGGTTTCTTGTGAACACTGGTATGGTTCACTTATGATGTGAATGCAATCCCACCAAATAATGAAAGTGAACCACCAACTGGACTACAAACTTTACTTTTGATAATGTTCAGTCGTGTGTGAATGTCTGTATCACCTACCTTGGAGACAAGTGGGACTGACTCAGTGCAAACATGTTAATAATGTCTACATGTCTTCACCAAAAACAACTTTTGCAGACATTGCATGATGTTCTGAACGTTTGTAATGTTTTTTTTTTTTTTTTGTGCAGAAGATAGGTGCAAGTGGCTCTCTGTATTTTGGTTTTGGTGACCAAATCGATAGATTCAGTAAAAGCAGAATGACCGTGATATGCAGATATGTTTTTTTTACAATAGTCACAAGTAAACAATATGTTTGGCGGTACACAAAGTAACATTACAATTGACCCTTCGCTAAGCCACACCCAAAAACTGCCATCCACCAATCTTGGCTAAGCAACTGTAGCAACGCGCAGGGGCTCTGTCAAGCTTTCAAGCGAGTGCATATGGATTGTGCAAATCCGGTATCCTTAAAGTTTCTATGGAATGGTGGAATTTTTTTTCCCTTTTCAAAACCAAAAACCCATAAAAGAAATGCCAGCGTGGATCAAGCTCTGTGAGGGGCGGTAAAGGAGTGGGGTTAAGTTGTACTATTAGAAGTTATAAGTTGTTAGCAATAACTCGCACAGCTCTTACCCTAAACAGATCTAAACTGTTTTCTACAAAACACAAAGCAGGTTATGTTTCACAGCTGTCTTTTTTTTTTTTTTTTTTGCTCAATATTTTGAGCACTGCTTCGTTAAAACCTTCGTCATAGTAACTTACTCATACTAATAGCGAATGGGTCATAATGACATGAGTTATTGATTTGGAAAATACGAATCTGCAAATCTGTTGCTAATTTTACTGAACTTCATATTTTCATGTATTTCAAGCTATGAATATTTGAAATTACTAATTAACAGAACAAAACCGAGATACAATCACAAACTGAGCACTTGCGATCAATGTACTTTACCAGCAGCTGTTTTTCAGTAATTTATAACGAGCACACAAACATACTGACAGTAGTAGGTAAATTGCTGTACAATGTTATGCGTCAATGAGGCTACTATTTGACACAAATCCATCAGTTTCCCCTTTCTGACGGTTCTTTATATGAATAAAGTATGTAAAAGCACTGTCATGCGCGTTTCCTCGTTGGTTAGTAACACTGTATTTTATTGCATAACAATTAATCTGTCAGGCTTTTTGGCTAAAAATAGAGAAATCACGGTTTAACTTGTTGTTATTGTTAGATTATTTTTAAAGGCCACCTCTCCTGAGCATGAGCTAAGCTGTTAATGGTTAGCATATGAGTCGGCTAGGCTAAGCAAGCTTTAATTTTGATTGAATTATTCTCTATTCGGTTGCCTATTGTGTCGTGAATATACCCTAAAAATTGCAGTAAAGTTACTGTGTGTGGCCACACATCGAATCTGAGGTCTGATCTCATCTCTCTCTCTCGCTGTCATCCAGACATTGATACAGACGCCACACAAGTCAAGTCGCAAAACTGAGGCTGGTACCAGCTGACAGGTGGAATAGCTGAAGCCTTTGCGAAATCTATCAAAATACAGCACTGAAATTAACAGGCATAAATGTCTTTGAGCCAAAAAAATCTATGTGAAGAATATCTGTAAAAACGCAATCAGAGCCAATATTATGTAGAAGTAGTGCATTTATACATACGCATTTATAAGCTATTTAAAAGCAGAAAAAAATTGAAAAAGAGGAAAGCCCCAGAGTGATACCGGTATTAGCAGTGTTGTATTATGTCGATTAACCGGTGGGGAAATTTCCTCATCGTCACAACCCTACACAACATGGCTTCTCTCTGAACACTGTAACAGGTAAAAGAAAGTTTTACTTCTTTTAATTGAGATAACTTTCTTCAAAGTTATCTCATGCATATTAATAAAGTTGCATCACATTCACAGTAGAGTGTGTTGATTGGTTTGAACCAAGTCTTTCTTATGAATTAAAGCTGAAAACTCAATGACGTCATTTTGTACATTTGGTACAGACATCCAATCTCCACGCTGAAATTTACACAATGATCTCATTGCCTCAACGTTGCTTCATACTTTCTTTTCAAATCGGACGAACGAATTTGCGCAAAACAATGAAAAAACAACCAGTTTTTACTTTTTAGTGAAATATGTATCCAAATAGTGTTTTTAGCAACATACATGACTGTCAACATCTCAAAAAACGTGTTTTGGTGTTTAGTGACCCTTTAATGGTTGCCTGTTGTAACATAATTTCCCATTGTGTTCAGTTTTGCTGATCATTATAATGTTTGTACTATTTTAAATGAATCCACTTTTGGTTTATTAGACATTTTTTTTTTTTCAAAAGAATAATTTTAGACCACAGAATTTCTCAAAAACAGCAGTGTAATTTTGTACGCTAACATATTGATGCCTTAAGCTAATTTTAGGGACTTTCGGGGATATTTTTTTGATTTCATTTGAGTAACACCTTGTGTGTTTTCAGGAATGTTTCAAAGGCAGCTGGGCCACCCACAAACTGCTTCACAAAAAAGCAAGTATGTGTGCTTTATTTGCTCACAGTATTAAATGGTGTTCAGTTTTATATTTGCATTTTGTGTGTACTATACAAGTCATGTCTTGCATAATAACATAATTAATATCTGCCATCTTGTCTGCAGAGGAAGACAAAACAAATGATGAGGAAAAGAACTGTGTGGAGAAAGAAGTCAACACAGACCCATGGCCCGGGTACAGATACACCGGTAAACTGCGACCTTACTATCCACTGGTAAGGACACTGCACACCAGAGATGGATATGAGCACCGACAGTGTTAATAGATCATTAACGTGTAATAATATTAGAAATGGACTGATTGACCGACAACAAACTGTAACAGACGCTGGGGGTTTATGTTCCAAAGTCTGAAGCGAGAGTTAACGTCTTCTTAAAGTGCCCCTATTATGCATTATAAAAGGTCATTTTTTATTTTTGGGCATCTCCAATAGCAGGCTGATATGCATGCAAACACACAAAAAAAAAAACACTTTCATTGTCTTACAATATAATATGCATTATTTTTTTACGTAATTATCCCATATGATTTGTTCAGTGATTAATTTTGCTCAGAAATGTGTTTAAATCAGTAAAGGAAGCAGCATGTGTTGCGTTTTCCATTCAGTTTTATATACACTTTGTGAATATCCCCATAAAGATTTTAACGGAACACACAATTAAATACATAATTTGCAAGCAATAAAGAACAAGACAACCATTTTATTCCCAATTAACTGGTTGTGATTTGGAGGAAGAAGAAACTAGGCCATATGAACAAATTCCCTGCCAATAATAGTTTTTGGTGCTGATAATAACAAATGGCCTTTATCCTGCGTTGCAGAGTAGGTTATTGTATTTACCATCAGAAAAATGACAGGAACAAATATAGCACAAGGTTGGCCTGGCTATACTGTGGTAGTGTTGGGAAAATAACCATTTATTCCTTACAACTGCATCTTGAGCCATCTCACAGTGGTCTGTGTGGCCACTTATATTCAGTCATGATCAATCCCATCCCCCCACACTCTGCTAGTGTTTAAAGGGCGCGTTTCAAGTTTTTTCTTTTTTCCAACGTAGGGCTAAACAATATATCGGTTGAGCATCGATATCGCGTGTATCTGCAATGTGTGTATCTGCAATAATTACATTGCAGGATTAAATTATTTAGTAAAGATAACCATTTTCTGTACCAATCGAATAACCAATCAATTTCTGTACTTGAATACTGTTTGACTCCCCAGAAAACCATAAAGCGCTGTTTGTTTATTCATTTTTACTTGTAATTTTATAACATTTTATGCAGATGCTTTGCTTAGAAAAACATTTGACCATCTCAGTCTATCTAAATTAATGATTTTTATCCAAATAGAGCTATTCAATCATCTGGTGAAATTTTATTCATATCGCAAAATATATCACGGCAAAACAAAATATCACAATGTCAGATTTTTGCAATATTGTGCAGCCCTCATATATGGTAGTGTTTTCTAATAACATCAATGCGAAATTGCTAAAGATTTGAATCCATGAAGATTGAGAATAAATACTTTTAAGCACGGTGCACTTTCAGATTTAAATCTCAGCTGGATTTTAAAAATTTTTAGAGCTGTCTTACTGCAAGGACGATAATTTCCAAAATCTCTTTATAGGGAGAAACTATATGTGCATTATTTTATCTATGACTTGAAGTAGTAATATTGGGCTACCTGAAATCTCATTGTGCTATTTCACGCTATTTGTTATGTGTGAAATATTGCAAGAAAGTCCTAAATATTATTGTGTTTGAATTTTAGTTATTTATGGGTGAATTCTACTGTTCTTTTAAAAGTGGAGATGTTTTTTTTTTATTCTTAGATATTGTTTACATGAGTAACCAAGGAAGTAAAATAGGTGCCACCTACTGGAAGAGAATGAATTTGCATTTTTATCCAGTATGTCCACCATTTTAAATTTGCACAGGCATGTTTTATGTAGCATAATTTCACTTAGGCTATGTTTTCAGTTCATATTTTGAAATTCATTCATTCATTAATTATTTTTTTTGGCTTAGTCCCTTTATTAATCCAGGGTCGCCACAGCAGAACAAACCGCCAACTTATACAGCACATGTTTTACGCAGCGGATGCCCTTCCAGCTGCAACCCATTTCTAGGAAGCATCCGTACACACTCATTCACACTCATACACTACGAACAATTTAGTCTACCCAATTCACCTGTACCACATGTCTTTAGACTGTGGGGGAAACCGGAGCACCCAGAGGAAACCCAGGTGAATGTGGGGAGAACATGCAAACTCCACACAGAGACGCCAACTGACCCAGCTAAGGCTCGAACCCGCGACCTACTACCAGACTACCTACTGCGCCACTGTGTCACATATTTAGAAATTATACATTCTATTTTAAAGAGCCCATATTATGGGTTTTTGAAAATTCCCCTCCATGTAGTGTGTAACACAGCTCTAAGTGAAGTGGAGTATCCAGCTAAGGCTTAAATCTGTTAGTGTACAGTGTTAAAAACGGTTGATTCATCTAAAAAAGAGTCGACTCATAATGCTTCAAACGAGTCGCCTTGATACGGATTCATTAGGTGTTTCGCCATGACGTACGAACGAAACCAAGTTATTCACGTGCACGCGCAAACCCGGGAGATTTCAAACCTGAGGCCCCGCCCTCTGACGCAGAAACCGAGACACACACACACCCACAAACACACACACACAAACATGCCGGTCGATTGAAGTCACACTGCAGATGGATATATTGAGTCTCTACCCAAAGATGAAACCTCAGCATTATAGCCAAGCAGTTGGAAACTACTGGAAACTTCTGGAAGCTACATGCTACAAAGAATACTTCATCAGCGTTTGTTAAAGGAAGGATCAGTAAAGAGTAACTTACTGATAGACGTCAGGATGGGTTTCTTCCTCCATTTCTCAAGTGTAAGTACGTGCGGTTAAAGTTGCCTCGTTGACTCTAGCTTGCAAATGTATTTAGTTGTGATTTGTTACTTGTAACCGCGTGTACTGTATCAGGTTAACTGGCTATATTCTCTTATCGTGTGCAAAGTCACGTTAAAAACGCGACGCGTGCTGCGTTAACGGAGCTCCGTGGACGGGGAGTAACGTTAGTGTGTGTGTCTGTGTGTGCGTGCGCGCGCTGTCGTCCGGAGGTGTGTGTGTTTGTGTGTGTGTTTGTGTGTGTGTGTGTGTGTGCGCACGCGTTGTCGTCCGGAGCAGGGTTAAGTGCGTATGTGTGTGTGTGTGTGTGTGTGTGTCTGTGAAAAGAGCAGAGTGAGAAGGAGATCTCCTCAACTGTTTTTGGAGTTTTTGTTCAATAAAATAGTCAGTCGTCTGTATTTTCAAGTTCATTGTCTGTATTTACATTGACCCACTGGCAGCTAAAATCCACGCCTACACTATCAAGCGTGTATGAACTGTGATTACTTTTATATTGCTGATTAGCTGTTTGGCATTTCACTCTCTCACTGAAGGCAGTCGACCAATCGCGACAGACTGTCATCGGTCCAATCAGCGCAGATTAGCTTCGCGCTAAGGAGGGGTTTGGGAACAAATGAATCCCTGAACGATTCATACAGGAGTCGCTGGGATAATTAGGTAAAAATAAATGCAGATTATAAGACCATGAAAGTGTTTTTTGACCTTGCATGCATATTAAACTGTTGTTGGAGACCCTTACAACCAAGATATGACCCTATTTCATGTATAATATGGGCTCTTTAAGCTGCCCAAGATCTTGTATGTTGCATTAGGGCTGTGCAATTAATCGAAAATTCAATTTAGATTTTGACTTCAAACGATTACGAAAAAGCATTAATCGAGATAAACGATTATTGCATCATATAACGCCCCATTTCCAGCTGAACACATGTGTAGCTCTTAAAAGCGCAAAAGAGCGTGTGCTTATGTGTGTGTGCAGCCAGAAGCATGCGGCCGGTCAGCATTCGGTCTCATTCGCACACTGAGACAAGCAGAGGAGCGCAGACATCTAAAGTCATCTTAACGTGAGCGCTTTAATGGTCAAATAGATGTCAAAACGCGATGTTTAGTGATTATTCATATTAACCCTCATTTGTGTAATAAACAAACGAGTTGAAGATCAAAAGACACATGAAAGAGAAACCATCAAAGAGACAGAGCACTATTCTTGCTGCCGCCTGTTTTTATCATTATTAAACAAAATGAGAAAATCCCTCTCTGCTCTTGACTGAAGGACTTTTGTTGCTAAAGTGTTTTTCTTACAGTGAAGATGCTTAAAGCACAGTTTGTTTCATATTTTTATTCTATTGTATTTATTTCTCTTTCCTTTGCAGGGTGGAAAATAACTTTATGTACAGTTAAAGTCAGAATTATTAGCCCTCCTGAATATTAGCAACCCTTTTCCTCCCCAATTTCTGTTTAATGAAAATAAGTTTTTTTTTTTTTTTTTACTTATTTCTGAACAATAGTTTTGATATCTGATTTCTAATTACTGATTTCTTTTATCTTTGCTATGATGACTACATAATATTTACTAGATATTTTTCAAAATACAAGCATTTAGATTAAAGTGACATTCAAAGGCTTCACTAGAGTAATTAGGCAAGTCATTGTATAACAGTAGTTTCTTCTGCAGACAATCAAAAATATGTTGCTTAAGGGGGCTAATAATATTGACCTTCAAATGGGTTTCAAAATATTTAAACCTGCTTTTATTCTAGCCTAAAATAAAACAAATATGCCTCAAAGAAAAAATATCATAGGAAATACTTTTAAAATTCCTTGCTCTGTTAAACATAATTTGGGAAATATTTATTTTTACAAAAAATTCTCTGGAGCGCTAATAATTTTCACTTAAACTGATAATCGTTTTAAATATTCGTGATTACAATTATGACCAAAATAATCGTGATTGTGATTTTTCCCAAAATCGAGCAGCCCTATGTTGCATCTTTGCGTGGATCATGATTAAAGTGCAGTTGTTGCCTCATTTAAAATCATTCAATGAAGGAATGCTAATAAAAAGGATCCGAATGAAGTATCTGAATCTGCAATATGTCTAGTAAAAATCAGAAATAATCTACTGTAGAAGAAAATCAATTTGTCTAGTCAAACATTTGTTTGTTGCAATTATTTTTCTTGGTTGTTTTCAGACTCCCATGAGGCTTGTTCCAAGTAACATCCAGAGACCAGACTATGCAGATCATCCTTTGGGTAAGATTGCACAAAGCTTTACGCATAAGTAGGAGCTCATTCTGTAAATTATGCACGCCACTGCTCCAATTGACCTCTCTCACCTGGACTAACTTTCTTGGCTCATGACTTTTATCCGAGTCATTGCACTTTCGCAACAGACTGCCCTGTCTGTTGGGTGCGCCTGTGTAAAATTTTATCTTTTGACCTTTGCATCAGTTCACCCACAAGCTTTTAAACTAATGGTCGCAATCTCATCAGCTAAAGTGGCCTTTGGTTTTGAGTGTTTGTTGCAAAAGTGCACATCAGCTGACCAGATTAAACCACAGTTCAATGTACATGCACATCAAGATGTACAAGATTACTGTTTGCAGAAAACTCAAGTTATTTGAGTGTATGAATTCTTTATCATTTTGAGTGTAAGGAGGGCGTTAATTGTATATTTGGTATTAGGAACAGAGACAGTGAGCCCAAATGCAAATTAAACCTTTTAAAAATGTTCATCACTAACCTGCTAGTTTATCTCATTTTTTGTGAACTATACAAAATATTAAGCGCTTTGAAAAGTAATGTTGGACCCTATAAAATCAGATTTATTTTAAATTTTAAACTCTTAATAATCTGGACTAGAGATGCAGCAAATTTTTGGCTGAAAATTATTGTTTGATAATCACACTTAATTGTGTGAAGTGCTGTGATGCACGACCCATTCATTTCAATGGCATCGAAAAGTTTACAGTATTGCAGCACTGGTGATTAACTTGTCCGCGCACTCTGGTCAAAGTTCAAAATATCTCTATATTCCGCTCTGAGGTTGCGTTAGACTTTCTCATTGTATGTTATTTTGACGGAGAGGGTAGTAAAATTTCCGTTATAACTTATTATTAATCGTTATTTAATTTGCAGACTTTCTGATCGCTTTTTTCATTCATATTTTAATAATGAACTTGCACGATGGGCATATAGGCTAAATTATTCATTTATTTATTTGACAAATGAACAAAAACTCTTGTCTGCCTTAACTCAAATCTTCCTCCTGCATCGACCTGAGCTGGGTGCTTGCCTGTGCTGACTGAGGGGGCTTCCCTCTAAGTCCGGTATTGCTCACAACGCACTCCAACGCACCCCAGATAGCAAAATACACTCGGGCCAGTTCCGGCTTAATTTTCGCCTGCCGGAGACTCTGGCTGCCGTACTCAATGCCTGTGGACTCACTGCCCGATTCCAGCCCGAGTCAATCGGGACAGATGGGGCGGCCGTAAGCAAGCTGACGCTGCCGCATCCAAGCCAGATTCAGTCCACGAGTAATGTGCGCTGCGGCACGGAGCTAGCAGGACTTAGTCTTCATATACCTTCATATAAAACCTTTTGGTATTACATTGTTACTTGATACATCGTATTACAACCATTTGAGTTGATATAACAGCAAACGCAGGCTTTAATGTAAACACAGTGTAGGCACTGCGTTTAACCTTTGAATAAAATGCAAACACCATACATATCCTATAACAAAAATAATCAAACAAAGGACAAAATAAATAATAATAAACGTTTATTGATTGCAAGAAACAAATAATACTAAAAAGGATTAAATTATTTTGTAGTGCACAAGAACATCAATATAAAAAACAATAAACCTGACTGGGCTTGTTGGTTTGGTTCCACACGACAGCTCTCATCGAGTTAACATCAGAGCTTGTTGGTCTGATACAGCATGTTGAATTGGCAACAGACCATCACTGAAGAGAGCGCTCTGACCGGATGTTCAACAACAAATCAGAGCGCAAGTGTGATGTAATGTAGCAAGTAAAAAATTCAAGCCTAGAAGGACCACAAAGATGCTGGATGTAATTTTAGATTATCAGACATATTTGCACAAGTGAATCTCTCTGGTGAGTGACAATTACTGTGATAATGATACTAAATTCTGCTTTGTTTACGTCTTGTTTGTGCTCGTCGGAAGTTCGGTTTTCCTTTGGGTAATGAGAAAGAGACTACTGCCCCCTGCAGAGCAGAAAGACACTCTTCTTGCACAGGCTCAGAACGTGGTTCTCGCTTTAGTTGGCTTTCATCCATTTGGTGTGTTCATTCGCAGCTTTTTGATCCAGACATGATCCAACGCGAGGGTTTCATCAGTGCTAATTGTTTAGCTTCAGCTTGATGTGACCCGGCACTCAAGAATTACTTTAATTATTATTTTGTATGTATTTATAAGCAGTTTCCTTTTCGGTCCAGAATATTAATTTCACTGCATTTCTAATCATGACTGCATTTTATTTAATATTTATTTTTTGTAATCAAACATTTCTGTCTAGTTGGTTTAAATCATAAAACGTATTCATCAATTTAGCAGCAGTTTAAGTGTTTGACAAACATTTTGTGATCCTTCTGAAATGAGTGTCTTTTTTTCAAAAATGTCATCCCTGTTGAAATTAAAACATGAACTTTTTTTTTTTAAATTAGGAACTGATGTTTATTTTTATTGTTATTATTTTAACAACTTCTAGAAATACATTCTGCTGTATAGTTGTCATTTATTTCTGTCACTATTTCTTCAAGTCTGTCAAGGTTTCTTCAAACTGAACTTTTATATTGACTGGTTGTGAAGATTGACTGGGTTCTGTCTTTATATTATTATTTTTTCCCCCTAAATTAAATACAACGCCCAAAATGACTGTCAGAGCAGCTATAGGGATGAAGTTCATATCTTTACAATGAGAAGACAACTGCTTGAGCATGTGTGTAGTGAATTAAAATAACATGCACACTTAACACCTAAATTAGATTTAACATTCACACAACTAGTCTATGTCTGAAATTGATTAGGTCAATAGAGCTAGCTGATTAATAAAAAAAAAAAAAAAAAAATCCAAAACGTTTTAACATTCCTTATTATACAGCTAATTACATTTTTATTCTGTGATTCAGTCTGCAATTTCATCTTAGTAAAAATGACAGGCCATAGAACTGCTATTATTTAATTAAACATCCCATGCTTCTATTTCATTGATTCCTAATATGATGAAATTTTGTTGGCTGAATCCTTTTAAGAGCCAATGAAATTGTTGAATGATCCTCCAAATGATGCATGATGCTCATCAATACAAATGAACTGAGAACACACACGCATACACACACAATTTCATAGAAACATCTCTCATGAATTAGTGTTTTGTGAATAAATGCTCATTTGTTCTTCATTAGCGGATGCTGCAGAGTCTTCCCGTAAGTAACCATTATGTTGGTGATTAGCTGGTTATTAGGCTCTTGTAGTTACTGCCTCTCTTTCCTCTGTTATTAGCTCGTCCTAGAGTCTCAGGCCCCTGGCTTTCAAACAGCACAATAGTGATGTATTGAAAAAGCCTAAATGTCTTCAAAAGCATCCAATGGTTAGGCTAGGAATGTGTGGGGATTTTAAATGCGAGCGTGTGTGTGATGGTCCTGAAGTCACCTTATACACGTTACCATTGACCTCAGTGTGTGTGTATGTATGTGTATGTACGTGTGTGTGTGTCGGGGGTGGGCTGCTGCAGTGTGTGTCTGAAGCTCTTCTCTCGCTCTCTGCAGCTGCAGAGGTTGGGTTGTTGGCAGGTATGAAGCCCCGCCGCTCCCCATGTGTGTCCAGCCAGTGCTGTCTTTTGTTTTAACAGTTTTACAGGGAGCGGTTCGCTCCACAGAGGGAGTGTGGGTGTAGTTTTGTGAGCGAGAGTGTGTCTGTGTAGTAGCATGGCCCTGTTTGTTTCTGCATGGCTCATATCGTTATTCAGCAGGGACTAGAGATGGGCGATATGACCAAACCAAGACTTATGGCTAGGGCTCAACACTAAGGATTTTTATTTATTTATTTTTTACTGCCTGCTGGGCTGTCAGTGGGTCAAATCTTTATGCTGCTGGTGGCTTAAATTTTACTCATCAAAAAAAAAAAAAGTATTTTTTTTTTGTACGCCTTGTTTTTAACTCATGTAGACTATAGGGCTGCAACTAACGATTATTTTAATAATCGATTAATCTGTCGATTATTTATTTGATTAATTGGATAAAAAAAAACAAGAAAAGCCTTAATTTCCAACCCTTTATTAAAAAAAGCTCATGTCTGAGCTGTTAATAATAATAATAATAATAATAATAATAATAATAATAATAACTTGTTTTCAATCCAAATATTTAAATGGTTTTTAAATGAAGATACATACATGAAATAGCATAAGAAATCACTTAACCTCAAAATTAAGCGATTGTTTGCTTAAAGCAAAATTATTTGCCAATGCGGTAAGAAAAATTATCTTAATGAGATCTAATCTCAAACAGCATCACTTTGTTTTCTCATGCCATTTTTCTTGTCTGGTCTTGATGTAAGATTTTTTAGATATTTGAACTGGAAACGACTGACTTGAATAGGATTTCTGTACATATGATTTGTCCCAGCTGTTTACATTCACATAAGACAAAGATGACTTTAAATTTTAAAGGTGCTCCCTCCAGTTGTTTTTGACAATACTTTGTATATATCGTCCATTTAAAAAGTTAAAGCAAAGTCTGGAACCAGACTACAATATAAAAATAAAAATCAGATCCTGTTATGAATTTGGATTAGCTGTTTTCAACCAAGGGAACCTGTGATGATAGTAGAAAGCAGGGTCAAAAATACCTTATTTTTCAAAAAAAAAATATTTCCATTTAATTATTATTGTCTTTAATTCAAATATTTAAATTGAAATAATTACTTTAATCCATCATAACACTTAACCAAAGCTATAGTATTAAAACGATATTGACAAACTTTAAATTTTATATAAATTATACATTTTAAAAAGCTGAAAGTCATTTCAAGTTATTATCACATTATTTTTGAGTAGTGCACTGTTTAGTTATAATGGTTGGTAAAGTTGATCTTGTTGTTTTCAGAGATTAGTGATGCTAATTTGACCACTTTTATTTAAATATGAATTAAGCTTAAACATTTTAATTTGGTGAAACAAGCTAATATTATCTTCCTACCTTTACTGATAGTGTGTTTTGCAATTGCATTGGAGTAAAACTATGAACTTTAGTGACTAGCAGTGCCTTGATTAGGCCAGTGACAAGTCAGTCAATCATCTCAGGTCTTTTTATGCCAGCAATCCTTACTGTTGAACCCTGAGCATAGTTATTTTTACTGAGAATTTAACGAGAGTCTATCTCGCATTGCATTACTCTCCTTAATACTTATTTTACTCTCCTTAATACTTATTTTGGACATATATTATGGTTTATGTTCACATTACTCCTAATGTATTTGCTCTCTTGTGAATAAAGCAATTGTTTCCATTGCATCCACCATGGTGCAGATGGTATATTAAAAGGATGGTTCACCTAAAAATGACCAGTTACTCACCATTTACTTACCCAAAAGTTGTTTCAAACCTTTCATGATTTTTTTTTTTCTGTTGAACACAAAATATTGATGAATATTGAAGAATGTTACTAACTGGGTAGCCATTGACATTTTATAGTATTTTAAAAATAGTATGGAGGTCAACCTACTAATTTCAGGCATGCTCAAAATATCTTCTTCTGTGTTCAACAGAAGAAAGAAACTGGTTTGTAAAAGGTGGCGGGTAAGTAAATGATGACAGAATGTTCTTTTTTGGGTGAACTATCACTTTAATCTATAGTTATTAAAGTGCACAATGAGTAATACCGCCCAGCTCTAGCAGGAACTGTTCGTGATCACGCATTGCCGAACTGTCACGTCCTAGACCTCACTGGATCAGCGACCGTGTGTGTGTGTGCGTGTGTGTTCGTCTCTAAGAAGTGGTTGTGTTGTCTTCATTAGCTGACTGGAGACCGTGCTGTTGAGATTCTGTTGTGATGAAGGTCAGTAGGCAGAGTTAGTCAATATATTTGAGTGATAGTGAGATGCTTTTGTGGGTAGATGGGTATCGGTGTATTTTTCTGCTCACCAATTCACCATCTCATCATCGCCTGCAGGGATGTCGGAGTCAGAGCAGACCATGAAAGGGACGTCTCAGATTAAGATCCTCAACGCTGAAGAGATTGAGGGCATGAGAGTTGTCTGCAAGGTAAACCAATATCACAATATGAAATTCTGTGATAACTTTGTGCAGAAGGATAACTGAAATGGATGGGTTTTGGCAGTGTTGTGTTGAGTCGAGGATGTGTAAAATACAATAAAAGTCTCATGATTGTGAGCAGTAATATGGAAAATTGGTAAACTAGTTTAACTTGAATTAGTAGTGTTATGACTTTTCAGAATGTTGAATATAATTAAAAATGGTCCTAGATCAGAATCTTTATTCCTTGAATTAGCATCCCATTAGCTAACAAAAATTATTTTACAAATTGTTTTATATTATGATATAACGTGTTACGATTTAAATAAGTTGTCTAGGGAGAATAAACGCAACACTTATAATATTAAATTATTACTGAGTGGATGGATGGAAAATACACCAGGACACAAACTTTACAATCAATTTGTTTATTCCTCTTACGAGGAGAAGATGAAGCCAACAAAAGAGAGGCTTACATGTGTGCGCTTTGTACAATGTATATATATATATATATATATATATATATATATAATAATAAAAGAAGAAATACAATCAAAAAGTTTTAGGGGAAAAGGAACTAGAGTGGCGCCAAAGCAATAAACTAAACAAAGCCAAAAGCCACCTAAACTAGAACACAAGATCCCCCTCTAAACTTACTAATAAAAATGAAAATGTGAAAAAGAAACCAAAATCTTCAGCGTTTGCGACGCCACACATAAGCTCCCTGAAATAAGCAAAAATACAAAATGCGGCGCTCACCCACATACCTAGTGTTTCTGAACATTGAAGTTACCTACGGGCAAAATGTGTCGCGCGACTTAGTAAACTATTCCCTTATCCCCAAAAAGGAATGATAAACTCTTTAACCATGACTTGATTTACATCAATGTACAGTTATTCAAAAACACGGAACAAAGCATACAGTATGAACAGAAGCGAGCGAACACAGACCAACACACACAGCACTCTGTAAAATGAGGTGTGCCGGTCGAATTTAAAGTCCGCGGATCGAAGTCCAATTGGTCCATGAGGAAACGCCCTACTGAGGAGTGACAGGCTCAGGATCCAATCAGCAGGTACCTAGTAGAGAAAAATAGCGGAGCAAAAGGTGATAGGGCGAGACTAAGAGCGAATGACAGACAAGGAGATGCAAAGGGAGCGAAAGGAGACAAGCAAAACAGAGAGGGAGAAGGCACAAAAATACAAACTCCCACGGACCGTAACATAACGCAACACCCCAACTTTAGCAAATGAGCTTCAATTGTCTACAGTCAAAACATTCTGTAATCTTGAAGTAGGTTTATTTGTGATGCATAAATGCCCGTATTTGAGCAGCTCTTTGTTCTGTAATTTGTCAGGGAGAGCCTTATAATAACATTTGGTTGCTTTAAATAAATTCACACCTTTTGGTGTGTGTGTGTTTGTGTGTGTGCGTGCGTGCGTGTGTGTATGTGTGCTGTCAGCCTATTAAATCTGTCATCAGCTTTAGCAGACATTAGAAGTTAGCTTTGTTGAAAATGAAGATGCTTGTGTCTTTCAGCTGGCTCGAGAAGTACTTGATATTGCTGCCATGATGGTGAAACCCGGAGTGACGACGGAGGAGATTGACCATGCTGTGCATTTGGTAAAATTTTAAACTTTAAATCTATTAGGTGGATTACATCTCCAATGTTAAACTTTTTGCTGATAAAGTTTAGTATTTTGATAAAGATGCCAAAGAATTGATTGAAACAATATTTAAAGTGTTCGTCGATATCTACATAAGTATGTGTCTTAGGCCAGTGCTAAACCATTAAAGCCCCAGGAATTGGCCCTAGAATGAAAGATCTGATTTTACCTTATTTTGAAGGGTCATGAATATTAATTCTGCTCTCATGCTGCTGCAGAAATTTGGACCTACAGAGATATATTTAGAGTTCAATTTTGACCTTTTAATGTATGTAAAATCATAAGCAGAAGTTAAAATCAAACCTCTGCATTAACTGAATTTTTTTTTTAAGTTTATTGCTTTTAAAGTTTATTGCTGTTTGTTGTTTCAATCCAGAAAATCACTTGGTTCAAAAAAGCTGAGTGATTTAACACAGTACATAAACATGCATTAAACGATAACATTCAGCAGTCTACATGTTTGTTGCTCTATTAGAAATATATGCAATTTTTACAATATACATGTTACACTAACAAGAAAAACAGACATTTTTTAAAAAGAAGTTCCAAAAACAGGAAATTTTATAAGCTGTTTTATAAAACTGTTTTATATTTTATAAAACTATAATTGTTGTAATCTTACGAGGAAGCATTGTGACCAATCCAATGCATAACATATTAGTGATCCTATGTGGACTGTCACAGTCAGTGTTTTGGCCTGTTTTCACTGGGAATTTACACCAAAGGTATTTACACAAGACAGAGGAAGCAATGGTCTTTCAGGCTCATGGTATTGCATTTCCACGGCACCTTTAATGTTTTTGACAACTTATTCTTTTTTACATTATACATGATAAATGCAGGCACAGGGATTTTTGTTTGTAATATCTACAGTTGTGGTAATTTGCAGACTATATAAATGTTGATGTTATTGGCTGATGTGGTTTTTCCATGTTTGCTGGTTAAGGCGTGTACAGCGAGGAACTGCTACCCCTCACCTCTAAACTACTACAACTTCCCCAAATCCTGTTGTACCTCAGTCAATGAGGTCATCTGTCATGGGATACCTGACCGTCGTCACCTCCAGGAGGGGGACATATTGAACAGTAGGTATCAGCACACGCATATAATACAGCATAGGGCTGTGCAATATGGGCAAAAGAAACCTATCACGATTTTCTTGAACAACATTGCAGTTTCTATTTTAATCATGATTTTGACACACACAGACATTTTACAATGTGAATATGAATGATTGAATTTACATCTGAAACAAAGAAAAACAATTAGATCTTTTCCAAAGAGCTGTGAAACAGACATAAGGCAAAAAAATAAAATCACCTAGTAAAGGTGTAATAAACTCTCTAGAACAGACCTATGGCAGAACAAATAAACAGTCTACAGACTGTGTCTGTGCGCGTGCTTGTGTACATGTCAAGCGTATGTAAAGCCTGGTTTATACATCTGCGTCGAGTGATCGGCGTAACCCACGGTGCATGCCTTGTGTGTTGCTGTGCATTTATACTACTGCGTGCTGTTTGTGCTCCTCTGCAACACTGTAACACTACCGAAACGCTAGCAGGCAGTGAGGTGTTAATGTCCCTTTGTCAAGTTTTTTTCACCGGTGTTTTGTTTTTTCTGAACACTTTGAGCCACTTGAGTACAAGTGGCTCAAACTCGCGCATTTTGAGGCAGGAACCGGCGGATGTGCAACAGCTTTAACCATAAAGTAAACCCAAAACAAAACTTTTCATCTGGAGTTCCTTACCGGACTTGACACTTGTAACACTTGCTCCAACACGGCTCTCAGTCCCGCCCACACAAGTCAGCACTACCAAGCTGACCAATCACAGAGCTTGCGCTACACGTCTTTGTGATGTGTAGTTAAATTTTTTGCATGGTACGCCTCAGTGACGCCGACAGCCACGGCAAGGGGCTATGCATCCACGCTTAGGCTGCGTCGTAGCAGTATAAATCGGCACCGATGTTCTGTTTGACCACATGTCTGTAATGGTTGCATTCAATTCAATTCAGCTTTATTTGTATAGCGCTTTTACAATGTAGATTGTGTTAAAGCAGCTTCACATAAATGGTCATAGTAACTGGAACAGTGTAGTTCAGTTTTTAGTGTTTAAGTTCAGTTCAGTTTAGCTCAGTTCAGTGTGATTTAATCATTACTGAGAGTTCTAACACTGAAGAGCAAATTCATCGATGCGTAGCTCTACCAATCCTGAACCATGCGAGCCAGTGGCGACAGCGGAGAGGGAAAAAAAACTTCACCTGATAGGAGTGAAGAAAAAAAATCTTGAGAGAACCAGACTAAGTTGGGCACGACCATTTTAATTTCTCCGCTGGCCAAAAGTCTTGTGCAGAGCTTCAGTCACCGTAGTGGAGGCTGGAAGATGGCCTCAGCAAAGACTCGTCTGTCCCTGGAGCGTCGCTGGAATCAGACTCATGTTCTCCACTCCCCATGACCATCAGCGCAGCAGCAGCTCAGGAAATGGCCTGGTCCCGGATATGGAAACCTTGGGATCATCTCGTCGCTGGTCTTGGATCCAATCAGTGACTCTGCATAATCTGAGGACCTCGGGATGAGTATCCCCAGGTGAAAATAGAGAATAAAGAGAATAATTAGCGTAGCTGTTGTTCATAGTGTATATAAGCAAGATGCAGAAGCCTGTGTGGAACCCGCTAGGTGATGCATTGAGTGTATGCTTTACTAAACAGATAGGTCTTTAATCTAGTTTTGAACTGGGAGAGAGTGTCTGAGCCTCGGATGTTATCAGGAAGGCTATTTCAGAGTGTAGGAGCCATGAAAGAGAAGGCTCGACCTCCTTTACTTGATTTTGCTATTCTAGGTACTACCAGAAGCCCTGAATTTAAAGATTTTAAAGAGCGAGTTGGATTGTAGCGAGACAGAAGGTTGGTTAGATAAACAGGAGCTAGATTATTTAGAGCTTCATAGGTGAGAAGTAATATTTTAAATTCAATACAAAACTTAACAGACAGCCAGTGTAAGGAGGATAAAATTGGGGTGATATGATCATATTTTTTAGACCTGGTAAGAACTCTGGCTGCTGCATGTACTTTTGCCATGCATGGATCATAGATCTCTTTGTGATGCTGCGGTGAAATAGGCTATTTACATACTGTGTCTTAAAAGTTCTTTATTTCCAATGAAGGCGCCTGGCTTTTGTATATTAGGAGTGATGCGCGCGTAATCAATGCACACAGAGTTGATAAATAAAACTTTTATTGAAACTGCAGCAATGTTTTGTTAGTTTGTCATCCTCTAAGAAATTGTTTGATGCTCACCGAGCAATGACAGAAGAGCATGAGCGAAGGAAGCTGAAGGAAGTGATGCCCCTCTTGTGTTCCACACGCTTTTAGATGCAATATGTAACTGGCAGTTCTAAAAATTACCTGATTCTGCAATACATCAGTCTTCCTCTATCCAAAGTAATCCCACACCACAGATGTTCAAGTGGTGCTCACTGCAGAGCCATTTGGGCAGAGCTGAGCTCCAGCGAGGGGGAGCATGAGCTCTCGCTCCTCCTTTCTTGCACTTCTTCTACGAGTGATGTCACTGGGGGTAGGGTTAGGGGTGGGGTTGGTGTACGCATTAAAACAGCTTATAGGAGGAGGAGCGAGAGCTCATGCTCCCCCTCGCTGGAGCTCAGCTCTGCTCAAATGGCTCTGCAGTGAGCACCGTCTCCAAATGTTGGCTATTTTATTTATTTTTTTGGCATCAAGTCATGCACTGAATTCATCATACCTGTTTATGCAGGCTATTTGTCATTAAGCTCAGTCTCCTGTTCTCGTGCTCTGTTTAGGCGTGCTGCGTTATGATTGGTTCAAATAGCATACTGTGGGAAAATCGAGTCTGCCTATTTTTGTTATTTTGCACTGTTCTCATTGATCATCTTCTGTGAAGGTTGGGTTTTGACCATTACATATTAAAGTGACCTATTCCACAACCTGTTGATTTACCAGACTGGTTTCAATATATGCAGTAATATTTTAAGTATTTGTGATACTTGATGTCATAAGATTCCATTTCTTAGCTCATTGCCTCTTTAAATAGATAAACACATCCTTCCTCTCAGTCTAGATTTGGTTTGTTTGTGCAGATTTTATATAAAGATTCACTACACATTTTCCATCTGTAAATTAATTGGCTGGCTTTTGCAGAACTGAAAATATTGTCTTTCATTTTGGTGCCATTTTTCAAAGAAACACATTAATAAATGCTTATTTATGCTGTCATCACAAAAGATAAAGAAACAACATATGATCAGTGACATGTAGATTGCATGTTTTGTCTTTGAGCTGTAATATCACCAGCTACAGATCTGTTTCTGTTTACATTTAGATGTCAAATTTACATTTAAACTGATCTTATGAGGAAGGCAAATTCCACATTCTCCTGCCTATTTTTTTTCTGCATTGTTTTTGCCCATGTTGTGAAATCACTCATAACATATGTTATTTGGATACTACATCACCCATAATCATAGTAGCTGAAAGCATAATCAAATCATTTTATGCCAGCTTGTGTAATTTTCAGTTTTGTGTAACGTTTGCAGACAATACTCAGACTTCAGTTAAATTGCCCTTAATGCTACATATTGCTCAGTCAATCATATATCATTTTTTCCTCTGTAGTTGACATAACGGTTTACCACAATGGTTACCATGGAGATCTGAACGAAACCTTTTTTGTGGGTGAAGTGGACGAGGGAGCCAAGAGATTGGTTCAGACCACATATGAATGTCTAATGCAAGCCATCGACTCTGGTGAGAATGAATGTACATGCAAACATGCTAAACAATTCACCCCTGCGTGATGAGCTTTTGATGTCTTGTGTAATATTTAATATTTGATGTGATGTACTCTAATGACCTTTAGAAGGCTGCCTTGCACAGCAGGGGCTGTGTTTTGACCTGAGGTTGTTTGTTTCTTGCATATCTAGTGAAGCCTGGTATCCGCTATCGTGAGCTGGGGAACATCATCCAGAAGCATGCGCAGGCTAATGGTTTCTCTGTGGTACGAAGCTACTGTGGCCACGGCATTCACAAACTGTTCCACACAGCACCAAATGTACCGCATTATGCCAGTGAGTGACATCTAATTATAGAGACTTTGAATGATACAAGTATTGCACACTGTGATGTAATCTGACCCGGGGAGGTTGCAAACACTCTAAGCGTGCGCTGTCCTTCTTTTATGTGTTTCTGTAGAAAATAAAGCTGTAGGGGTGATGAAACCTGGTCACGTGTTTACTATTGAGCCCATGATTTGCGAAGGTAAGAGACAAATCACGTAACTTTGTTTATCCTTATTGCACAGTTGTTCAGGATTGTTTAAAACAGGGATGCGATTTGTGAACAGCCCCATTAGCAGCTACACATTCTCTTCACATTCAAAAGATACCTTCACTCCTGATCCTGCACAAAAATTCAATTAAGCCTCTTTAGGCTGAGTTAGGGTGCTTTCACACCTGTGAATCGATTTAGTTGTTCCGAAACAGAGATTACAATTGTTACATTGTTGCTCTTTGCTCTTGGAGCGGTTTGCTTTCACACTGCAAAGTTTCTAATCGGACCAAAAGAGCTAAAACAAGTCATGAGCGAGTAAACTCTCCTCACATTGGTCAGAGTGTCAGGGTTTATTTTGCAGCGTCCCGCTAAGCTGTCAGGAGAGGTGGTGGTTTGGTGGTGATTGACAGGGTGCTCGCGCGCGACGTGTCTGAGGAGAGATGCGGTGGGGAGGGGTGAGAAGGGTGCGACGATGCCTATTTGAGGACCGGGAGGGAGACGCGAGATTACCGGGAGATCATCACTCGTTTGCGGGCATCCAGAGACTCGCGAAACTTCCCGCCCTACTCATAATTCTCTCTTCATATAGCCGTAAGCCTATTACATATCCATAAAACACTGTGATATAACCGCGCTCGGATCGGATCGCTTTCTCATTGGAATCGAACCGCTCCAAGGTTCGTTTCAATCGAGCCGAGACCACCTCATTCAAGCGATCTCGGAGAGATTACTTTGGTGCGGAACAGAGCGCGTTTGCCCTGTTCACATATGCCAAACGAATCGCGCTAACTGGGCAAACGAGACACGTTCCGGAATAAAAGTGTAGGTGTGAAAGCACCCTGAGATCCAGGCCCGGATTGGCTAATCAGGAGGACCGGGAGAATTCCCGGTGGGCCGGTCTGTTTTTTGGCCGCAAGGGCCGGTGTTCCTAGCTGCTTGCACACTCAGCAGTCACACTTTTTTCATTTATTTATTTATTTGACCATAGCTTCACTCTTTTTATTCATTATTTTGCCGCAGCTCCGCTATTTTTATTTATTTTCTCGCAGTCCCGTGACAAAATGCAGGCTGCAGGTTAACTAACGTTAATGATGATGTAACTATCGACCCCAAACAGCCGCACCTTAGTAAATATATAAATACGAATAATTAATATTAATGAATAATACACCTGCTCAATGAAAATGAGATGATTTACTACAATAATATATCTGACATAACTTGATCAGAAATCTAAAAAGGGGAAAAAAAGATTAAGCCATCAATAGAAAGTAATGCTGTGTCTTAAAGGGTCACGAAACACCAAAACACATTTTTTGAGCTGTTGACAGTCGTATATGTGTCCCACACTGCTAAAAACACTATTAGGACACCTATATTTCAATAAAAAGTGTAAATTGGTTGTTTTTGCGTTATTTCAAGCAAATTCATACTTCCGGTTTGAAACTAATTTTTGAAGCTGCGTCACGGCCATGACATAATAGCGTTGTATTCCAGCGTGCAGACTGGGCGTCTGTGCCAGAGTGAGTCTTATTACGTCTTAAAGTGTGTTGCATTAATGCATGAGTAAGGCTTGGTTCAAACCAATCAGTGCGCTCTATTGTGCAACTTCATTAATATTCATTGCTGTCAGAGTGTAGACGGCAGAGACGCCACGTTGTATTGGCAAAACAAGCGTGAAGTGTTGCTTTTATAGTTTGCTGCAGTTAAGTTTTGTTTTCATTTTCTCTCTGTGAGAGCGCAGACTCACGCGTGGATTAACAGTGTATGCAACGCGCGACAACAATAACTTGCGTGTCTAAGAAGGAACATTGTTTACCGGAGAGCTGTTCTCATCTAAAAATGCTGAGATCCGGATTCGCTTGTAGTCTCCTCTAAATAAAGACGCGGCTCTAGTTGCTGGTGATTGTCCTGTCTTTACAGATTTGGTAAGTGAGCGACCAGTGCTCTTTGTTTATTCAGTTCGTATTTTATTCGTATCAAACAAACTATTAGACAATAGTTAGCACTAACAGTTACAACCAAACTATAACCTCGTGTTGGATTTTGTGACCGGAATAACACACGCGGCTTTCTGACGCTACCTGCCGTGTGCATCTAAGTTTCCGGGAAATGCTGAGTTTTTTTTTCTCTCATTCGCCGTGCGGTATCAAACATTGCATGAAAAAAACACGCTTAGAGCAGATCCTCGAATCAAATATCTCGTTTGTCGGGAGGGACATGAATGAATTCCCTGAATGAAAAAGCCAAACTGCAGTTAAAGTCCACCATTTAATAATTTGGCAAATAATTCGACAACAGATGTCCATGTAAACACAGTCACCTTGTCCGCTGTGCTTGTGTGTTTTGACTCTGAAATTCAGCGCGCCCAAATAGACACTTCCACACCAAGCCTCTTTTCTTCCTCCGACACTCCCCCCTAAATAGAGATGGACACGCCCACTTTTCTGACTTTTTCCAAAGTAGAGGTGTGAAAACACCCTGCTGAAACGAGGGGGTTTCATGGCCCTTTAAGGGTCACAAGTCATCACTTATTTTTTAATCCCTGTTATTAGCGGCATTGTGGACCAGTGGTAAGCACGTTGCATAACAACGCCACGGACCCGTGTTCGAATCTCACCTGAAAATTTATCCTTTTTTTTTTTATTTGTTAAGACATATAGTACTGTTAGGGCTGTTGAATATTTGAATTTCTAAAGCAGCTGTTTTCTTGAAAAAGGCGTGATCGTGCCATTAAAACCTGAATTGGAATCAATCGTAAACTGACGTGGGCCGGTCTGTCTTGAAACTCCAGGGCTGAAATTGAGTCCCACTCCGGCCCTGGTTAGATCGTTGTGTTTTTGTGTTTCGTGTCCTCTTTGGTGACAAGTATTGTTGTAGAATGTTTTCTGTTCAAGTGCTTGGAACAAGTTGCTGGTCAAGTTAAAAGCAGTGGAATCTAAAGTATTTCAAACATCTACAAAGACAACTATCAAATTGATTGATTCTACTTTGAATGGACGTGTAGGTTAATGTGTGTATTAAACTACTTGGCGCATACATGTGATTAAATACCCCAATCATTTGATAGCCTAATATCTCTGTGCAGGTGGCTGGCAGGATGAGACATGGCCAGATGGTTGGACTGCAGTCACTCGTGACGGCAAGCGCTCAGCCCAGTTTGAGCACACACTCCTCGTGACAGAGACCGGCTGTGAAATCCTCACCCGTCGGCTGGAGGATAATGGCCGCGCGCACTTCCTGTCCCAAATGTAGGATGCTGGGGGGGGGTCACATCAGCCCTGTTCTGCAGTGGAGGATACAACCGCTCCGCCCCATATCACCGATCAGCCAGTCACACAGTGGTTCTCTATTGGGCAGGAGATGATTGGCCACGTGGCCGTGTCAGTGGATTTGGGCAGGAGATGGAGATTTGTTAACTTCTGAATGTGTCACCTGACTGTCACATTAATCAGCTTGGATCTGAGTCAATTCAAAGGCACCGGGCTTAAACCGTGCCGCCACACTCTGTCCGTGAGGCAGAAGTATCAGTGTGAGTGTGTTTGTGAGAGCGCATCGGCTGTATGAGGTCTGCTTCAGTGTGTTTGTACACCTGGCTCGTTGCAACGTATTGTGTCTGTTTTGTAAGCCATTATTGGGGGTTTTCGGGATGCGAGGAGTGTGTGTGTGTGATAGAACACTGTGGAGTCTCTCCAAATCTTTATCAAATTGTGATTGATATCTGAAAACTCTTCACAGCTGAAAGAGTGCCTCGTAACGTTATTGAACATTGTACAAATGTTTTTCATGAACTTCTACCAGCGCTCATAAGGTCTATTAAAATCAATCCTATTTCAGTGAGAGTGTCTATGATGGCCTAGACGAAGCATTAGGTTAAGTGCAGTGGTTTAATTGTGTGATTGAGAGGATGGCCTTTCTCGATGTCCTCTTACTGCAGTCATTCTTAGTGAGTTTTGTTCGTCTTTGGTTGTTTCATGCCACTTAAAGAGAATTCTAAAAGTCTGAAAAGCAGTCGCAGGCCTCTTTGTTTGAAGCATCTCATGAAGTCAGTTCCAGTATTCAAGCTGAATTAAAGTATATTTTCTTCTTTATTTGTTTTTTTTTTATGCGCAACAAAGAATCACATTTTTCAACACGTGACAAGATCGTTCAGGAGCTTATAATCATAATTGGAGTACAAGATTGACACACTTAAGTTACATCTACAGTACATTAAACTTGTATGGAATGTCTCCATTTCCATCTGTTTGTCTTGTACTGTAGAGGTCAGTATGGTGAAGATAATTTCCCTCTTATTTGGACATATCCAGGATGCATCGAATGCTGTAAGATAGGGGAAAAAATGTTATGATCTGACAGGATTAACTAAAAATATAACCAAAAAAACTTGATAAATGTACCATTCTCCATTCTTCATGAGTTTGACGACATCATTGACTTGCTCCAGTTTCATTCTTTGAGTTATAAACTCATCCAGCATTATTTTGCCAGACATGTAGTCCAGAACCAGTTTTGGAACACCGTCTTTGATCTTAAAACCTAATTCACATGAATAGAAATTAGTCTTTGTTTCCTGTAACCCATGGGTGTCCAAACTCGGTCCTGGGGGGGCTGGTATCCTGCTGAATTTAGCTTTGACTTGTCTCAACACCAACCCTGGCGGCTGTTTCATAAAAATCATTTAGAAAAGAGCGGATTACAGTCAAAACCTGACTTCAATGAGCCGAACTAAATGTTCACGCTTAAATTGGTTCCATAGCAGCAAGTTGAAGATCATTTGATCTAACTAATCTGAATTTGGTTTAAATAAATTAGATAACTGTTTGTGCATGTTACTGTCATGAAATAGATGCATCGATTATGTTGTGTGCTACCATGGCAACTACGAGAGCTGAAAGTGCTCTGAAATAATCAAATGATATAATAGTTTAAACAATCAAAAACTACAGCTTGCAAGAAAGAAGGCTGAAAAGAAATTGCAGATCTCAATAGGCTTAATATGTAGCAACATTCTAAAATATTTAGGCCTATTAATGTTAAATTAAATGTCACAATACATTAAAATTGTGCTTGTGCACGTGTGAGAGAGATTACGCACTTCCTGCCAATTATTACTTGCAGGGAAAGTTTTGACTGTATTGCAGGCTCACTGTAACAAACAAAATGTACTTAACATCAGCACATTAAGATTAAAATAATGGCAACAGAGCCGTGCATGCGCAAGCGGGGGGATTTTTTATTTGCTCCTGAAACCGCTGCAGATTGCTGCTTCCTTTTTGACGCTTGTGTTTCCTGCGCCCCATGGTAAAATATCTTTTTATTAAAGTGAGGCTACTGCTCAGCCCGGATTCATCTCCATTATTCCACTCAGGGTTTGCAGATTTGAAGTCATCCTTTAAGAAATGTGGCCAATTTTTTTATATCAGTCAATGCTTTCTTAATATTATTTTAAGTACACCCCTCACAGATCTCTCTTTTAAATGAATATTTTCTACAGGATGCTTTACAATAATATATTTGTGCATATACATTCGATTATTCAGTACCAAAACTAAATTTGGAAGTAATCTAACAAAAACAAAAAGGGCAAAAATTTGTACACCCTAATTATTATGTTGAGGGAAAATGTTAACATTTTATTAAACGGGAAAAAAAAAAAAAAATCAACAGAAACAAAATGTATATATATATATAAATATATGTATATATATATATATATATATATATATATATATATATATATATATATATATATATATATATATATATATATATATATATATATATATATATATATATATATATATATATATATATAATTTAGTAGAAATGTAGTTTGTATTTGTTTTGTTTGCAATAACTTATTTCAATTTAAATCCATCTATGATTCTATTCTTGAATATGTCTGGTGTGTGTATATATATATATATATATATATATATATATATATATATATATATTACAAAGTGACTATAAAGTTACAATCATTATTAAGAGGTTAAGTGAAATAAAAAGGCATCAAATTACGGTAGGTGAATGTTAATGTTACTTTGATTAAGCTTGAGCTTCAGCCTTAGTTCATAAGACAGAGTTAACCTGCCCCGTACCAGGCTAGTTTCCCAGCATACGTTTCCAGAGTAAATGAGTTTTAACTACCGTAAATTTGTGAAAAAGTATCCGCCATTAATAAAACTGACTTGTTAAAATAAGTCTAGCTTTTTCTCTAAGCTTGGTTTATGAAACAGCCCCCTGCAAGGATGTTTCTAGAAAGCCTAGTAAGGGCTTGATTAGCTAACCCAAGTGTGTCTGGGGTTGGAACTAAACTTTGCAGGACAGCAGGCCTCCAGGACCGAGTTTGGGCACCCCTGCTTTAACCCATAGGCAGTATTAACTGACAATTGGTTTACCTCCTAAAAGAGTTCCCTTCCAGGTTTTTCCATATATGAGTTGAATTGGCTTTGAAGAGAAGTCCGTATTAGTGTATCCAACCAAAACACTCAAACCCCAACCTTTAGCACACGACTCCAGTGCAAGCCTCTGAGGTGAAAAACATTCACGTTCAGCATTTAAATGAGTATAGAAATGCAGTGTATGCGTGCGTGTTAGTTAGGGCTTACCGATACTTCAGTGTTGCCCACACACTCCAGAGAGAAGTCCACTCCTCCATTGGTCATTTCTATCAGCACTTCAGAGATGGGTTTATTGTATGCTTTCGGATTCAGGAAATCTGTGGCTCCGAACACCTTGGCCTTCTCAAACTTCTTTTCATTGATATCCACAGCAAAGATGCGAGATGCTCCGGCGTTTTTACAGCCCATGACTGCAGCTAGACCAACCGCACCAAGTCCAAACACGGCACACACAGAGCCTGGAGTAACCTGAACACAGACAAAATCACTATTGTAACCCACCTTAACATTCACCTCACAGTTTAAGCCACAGAAACATCAGGACCCTTTAAATCACACCTTTAAAAAAAAGTAGCATTTGCAACATTTTTGAGTTGGAGTTGAGGTTGGCTGGATCCAAATTAGTGTGAATTGAGTGTACAAACCTCCTGGGGTTTTTGATGGAATTATGTGCATCTTCTACATAATACAGTCCAACCTATTGTGTTTTATTAAGGTCTACAACTATCCCAACCTTTAAGGGTCATGAAACTCCCTCTTTCAGTTCAAGCCAACCTCAGAATTTTTTCCAAAAAATGCTTCATTATGGGCGAGGAGTGGGCCTGACCAGGAGAGAGAGGGGAGCGAACAACTGTCAGTTGACTCACAAAATGAGACAAACCGTGAGACCAAGGATTTTATAGTTTACAAAGTTAAAATGCAAAGAAATAAACAGTAAGTAATTTAATGTCCTGCTAGACATGCTATTTATAATTTCATATACATAACCACAATTTGTTTTATCATTATAAAGATAATCGTGTTGATATAAACACTATAAATGAGGAGGACTTCTCTCCTCCTCACTCCCCGGGTCTAAATGCAGACACAGTAGAGCAGTGCAGCAGGACTCTTGCTCTATTCATTTCAATCATTAGCCCTGCTGGTAATCCTGAGGATTTTACACCTGTGCAAACATGGCAGCACGAGTATACGCGATGTACAGCTCACCCTACAAAAATGCTTGCTGCACACAAACAGCTTTGCTGTAATAGCCCTTACAGCGCTGCAGGGAAAAACATGCAACAATCCCCGTGGATCATGGAAATAAACACTTGTGACACTTCATGAATGGTAAAATACTGCATGCTATGCGTGGCTGTGGTCTAACAGCTTGGCAGGTCTGTCATTGAATAATCAAGCGGGCTCTTCTCATAGGATAAGAAAACTCAGCCATGAATAATAATAATGAGAAACTGACGTGTCATCACTGGACAGGCAGATGAGCAATACGCTACCGATTTTGATCTCGCCCCAAAAATGTTTTTAAACCTGGAAGATGAAATTAGCTTTTGAAAGCTCAAAATTATCCAGTAAAGCTAAAAAGTGCTAATGTTGTCTTAAATGATGCTCAACACACACAAATATGTTAAAATCTCAAGTGCTGGAGGGTTTCCTGAACCTATAAACCTACCCCTTCCAGAAATGAAAAGACAATATTAGTTAAACAGCATCAAAAATATGATGCGATATTGACATGCACAAGCTCAGTTGTCGCAACTGTTAACACTTTGTCATAACCCAACCTACCTGCGCCAGAAATTTCTCTCACTTGGAGATCTCAATGCTGCAGCGAAATATACTACATGTTTTCTTCTGGGTGGCTAACAATTAAGATGCAGTACCAGTCTTGGCCACCAGGTGCTAACATCAATAATCTGGGAATAGGTGTGTTGCTAGATCAACTCTGTTATGCTCATTGACTACTGGTCACTTCTGTTTAGCTGATTATTAAGACATACAATCAGCCAGCAACTCTGGCAAGGTTCAAGACACCCTTGAGTACTTTTTTTTTTTTTGAGATTTTAACAGATTTGTATGTGTTGAGCATCAGTTAACACAATGTTCACACAATTCTGAGCTTTTGTCAGCTAATTTTATATTTGGGTTTAAAATAATTATTGGGGCAGGCAAAATCTGCTAGTGGAGTGATGACATGTCAGTTTCTCATTATTATTTATAGCTGAGTTTTCTTACCCTGTGAGAAGATGCAGCTTCTTAATTATTCATGACTGCATGTGCTTTCTGATCACAGACTAATATGGACAGACCACAGACCTGCCAAGCTGTAATATGGTGCAAGACACAGTATTTATACATTCATTAAGGCTTCTACATTTTTGTTTCCATGATCCATGGGGTTTGTTTCTCCGCAATGCTGTCAGGGCTACCGATACAGCTAACCTGTTTGTGTGCAGCAAGCATTGTATGAAAACTGTATGAGAACTGGAGAATGGCGGACTTTGTCTTTTATCTGTTGAGTTCGTTACTATTCAGACACATCGCCTATATCCAGGCTGCTGTGTTCGCCTATGTTTAAAAACCTCCAGATTACTGGCAGTAGTTGGAGAATAGAAAGGGAAAGAGACCTCCTGTACTGATAGATTCAGACCTGGGTCTCAGGAGGAGAAAAGTCCTCAT